GACAAAGATGCAGTCGAATAAGCTAGTTTCTCGAGCTCGGCTCTGGAGAAGTACGCTGGACGATCACAGATCGAAAAGTGACTAGAGACGAGGCTGGAGAGGAGGAGAGGAAGTAGGGGGATGACAAAGCCGGCTGAGCGGATTGTTGAGAAACCATCCGGAGCGCAGAGGGGCCAGTCTTATATACTGTTTGTCGACCATCCCCCATATCACGGTCGCCGAGTACAGATTGGCAAGTGAAGCGCCCCTCGTCGGGAGCCTGCGCGGCGTGCGGTGCAGGAGTGTTCTATATCAAGGCCAGCGCTCCACACTTTCCCGGCGCAGCGCTCCTGGCGAGGCGAGGGCGAACAAGGAGGGCACGGTCCCTAAAGATGCGCGAAGCCTCGCGAACGCGGCGAAGCTGGTGTGCGGGGTAGACACCGCGATGGGGGTGGTGACGCCATTCGGCCCCGTGCGGTTGCCATGGCCATCGTCCGGATATGGAAGGTGTTCAAGATCGTCGGCTTTGGCCCCGCGCCTCCTACCAGAGACGTCCCTTTGTTGCCTGCCACGATGTTTGACCCATGTTCGTTGCTAGACGAATTTCCCTCGGTCTGGCTAGCTTGCAGTACAGGACCGTGTATGCGCCACCGGCCAACTCCAAGCACGAGTAAAGCGCTCTTCAGCGGAGGGTCACAACTTGTCCCCAACTCCCGCCGATCCTATGCTAGCCAACTCAGGAAGGGCCGAGAGCGCCCATAACGAGCGCCAAGGTTAATCGAATGTGGTCGCAACTTCTGACGATCCCGACATGGGCCTAGTCACTTGTTCATCGTCCGCCCTGCTGACGTGCTACTGCTAGTCCCGTAAGCAACGCTCTATCGGCTCCGAAATTCTCTGGAAGAAGCAGAAGTCCGTGAAAGACTGGCCATCGTCGCGAGGAGTCGCACGTACGTACTTATTTTGGCGATCGCAAAGCTTCCCCAACTTTCCAGGTCGTACCTACCTGTGCCCCGAGGCCATACACAGTCGGATGCGTCTAACAGTGGTTCTGATGCGGTCGATAGGCGTGTACGATGCTACGAAACTTGATGGAATATGAGTTAGGATCGCTGCGATCTCCCGTCGCGGTCGTGACGCATATACATGGCACGCACGCGCTTCGAGTCCTTTCCTCCTGCACCGCGTTTCCTACTTTCAGTCGGCGACGCTTATGATGCATGATTGAAAGGACCGGGCGACAATCGTCCCGAAGACTCCGATCATTCGGCAGTAAAAAGCAGTGGTGTCGCAGTGGAGGTTGATGCAGCAGCGCGCGCGCGCATATATCGCGCATGCACTCTTAGCGCGATGAATATGCTGAGTGGTAGTCCTCGTCACATGATCGCACAGCGGAGAGAGCAGATATACAGACCATGGGAGAGAACGACGGCGACAGCATGCCGGGACTGTACGAAACGAACTATGCCACATTGGATCGACCCTTGGCTTTGCCCTTCCAAGCATGGTGTACTCGAAGTCCAAGAGTGTTGACGACCAGCCGGATGCGAGTGTCAGAACAAGCAGATCACGAAGCCTAGAAGGGACAGGTCGAGGGTGCCGCAGACCAGCATTCCTTACTTGCAGACCGTAGTCCCCAATCATGTGAGCGCCTCTTCATAATATCCGAATTGCACAGCAGAGAGCAAGGCAGCAAACACAACGTCGTGAATTATAGGGCAAGAACAACAGCAGCAACTATCAACAGCAACACACGAGAGTACTAAACACAGAATACGGCAGGAACACAAGCACACATACACAGAGAACAACGGGGAGGCTCGGAGCGCGATGCTCATACTCGTGATAGGTGGCGGCGGGGACGGCGCCACCAGGTATATGGTATATATACTCGGGTTCGATATCCCGCGCAAGGGCCAAAGTACGGAACGCCAAGCACCAAAAATCGTCATCCACTGATAACGTCTAATCGTCCATACCCCCTTTAGAGGGTGGCGAGAGCGCCGAGGAGCAGTGGGACGACGGCCAGGCCGCCGAGGGTGAGCGCGCGCTCGGCACCGGAAGAGGATGTCTGGGTCGCGGAGGCCGAAGCGGAAGACGACGGAGAGGTCGCGGTAGCCGAGTGCGAGGAGACGGTGCTGGAGGCGCCGGTACCGTTCAGACGGACGGCGTTGCGCTGCGTAGAAATAGGAGGCGTTAGTGAGGTTCGCTCGCGTGATGTGTGACCCGTGAGAGTAACGAAGAAAATTTGGAGGTTCGGGAAGAGAAATAAAATACAAAGGGGGATAGGGGTCGGTGCCAATAGGGGAAAGGGGGGAGATAGGGAGGGAGGAAGGGAATGGAAGACTAACCTCGAATCCGGCGAGGGTTTCGAGCGACGAGTCGTTGGCGTTGATGACACCTACACCGCCCTTGCCGCAGAGGGCGGCGTCGTAGAACCACATAGTGGTGTTGACGTTCTCCGGGAGGATAGGGACGGACAGGATGGTGATGGCGGTCCCGTTGCCGGCATCACGGAAAGACGAGTCGAAGCCGTTGATGGTGATGTTCGTCTCATGCGCGGGGATGCAGGGCGAGGCGAACGTCGACTGGGTCGCAGTGTGGTTGCCCTGGGTAACTGTATGGCAGGGTTCGTAAGAACGAGGAACGAGAAGGCGACGATTTTTTGAACGCACAGTTGAAGATGACCGTGTCACCGAGGGTGGCGTGGACTTCCTGGGGCTGGAAGACGAGCGAGGCGTTGGTGGTCGTGTTGCCGCCGACGGTGATGACGATGTCCTTTGCGGACGCGAGGGTGCCAGCGAGCTGCGGGAGACGTTGTCCGCATTAGCTCCTCGTTTTCTCTCGGTCGCCCTTGACGACGACGAGAAGACTCACAGCAGCGAGGGCGAAGGAGGCGCGCATCTTGAATTGACTGACTGAAGTTCGGCAGGAGAGGGGCGAGGGCAAAGGAAGGTGGGCGAGGGTCAGACGCAAGGAGGGACAGCGGGTCGGGCGATCGAGGACGCGGGCAAGAACACACGTTGGGAATTCAACATGGCCGGCGCGCCGTACGTATAAATGGTCATTGCGAGGAAAAAGATCCTCTGATGGCCGCGTGCGATTGGCGGATAAGGCTCGGGAGGCGCCGAGCTAACGTACGGACGTCAGTTTGTTTGTTCTTGCTACGTATGGGACTACGTATGTTACGAGAGGGCCATAGGTATGTTGAGGAATATGAGTTTATGGTGCATGAATTTACAGAGAGTCTGGTACTGCACCACTGCCTTGGCCCCTCGAGGCTGCAGGGACGAGTGAATCAGGACGGCGTCACTCACCGTCGGTCGAAGGAAAAGGAGGCGCTCGCACGATCCGAGACGACGGCTCCATATCACGACGCTTTCAAGTCACAGTAAGTCGCTCTCACGGTTATGCCGTATGACTGCTCTCCCAGAACAACGCCAGAACCTGAAATGGTCTGAACCGCGATTGATGTTACCAATGACGATGTCGCGCACGGCGGGGGAACAGACAAACGTTGACCTTATGGTACGGTGAAATGTTCGTTTTGCAGGTGGGCATTTTACCCTAGGTGAAGGTACATGTAGCCTTGTAGAGCCTTAAAAGTTTGGTTCACTTTGCTATTGGTTGTCTTGTACTTACAGGTAGGCCATTGCACTGTGCAATTCAATTGCTCCCGGATAATGTAGGATCACGTGACTCGTCCGTGACTCGCGTGTCGCATCCACGATCATGCGGTGTGACTTGTCGTGTACCATTACCATCGAGGTGTCGCGTCGACTCAGGCCGCAATGCAGTCCGAGTCCGGCGGCCCATTGTTGCGGAGAAACAGCTCGGGCGTGATATATAGTCTCAACGCAGTCCCCGATGTTGCCCGATCGCTCCCCGACGACGACGACAACGACGGGGACGCGCCAATGGACGGCCCGAAGCCGTTGTCTGCGACGAACCTGGCCACGTACCACCACTTACAGTGCGACCTCTACCTTCATTCCGTCTACCACCGCGCTCCCGTCTCTGCGTTGACCGCCAACAAGGATGGCAAAGGCCACACCCCCGCCCCCCGCCCGGGCGCCACCTCCCGCGCCCACTTCTCCCGCGGGCTCAAGTGGGAGCACGACCTCCTCCACGCGCTCGACCGCGCCAACCAGCTCCTGACTATTCTCTCGGTCCCCGTTCCACACGACGGTCTGATCGCTACCATCGACTGCGACGAGCGCGACCACTTTTACATTGCCAATGCCTCCTTTTGGCCGCCTCAGCGTGCCCTCGACGCACTTTACGCCCAAGCCGGTATCTCAAATCCCGTCCGCTTCGGTCTTGCCAAGCCGGATCTCATCGAAGTCAAGCGCGCTGAGGGGGTGACGACCTGGCGAGTCATCGACGCCAAGTCAAGCGCGTCCGTCAAGACCGCGCACCACGTCCAGATCTACTTCTACCATCTCTGCTTATCACATATCCTCCCGGGCTCCTACGTCCCCGCGACCACAGCGGGCGTCTGGCTTCCATCCTCTCCGCCCTCCGCCTCCTCCCTCGTTTCAACACCCATCGCGCTCCTCGCGTCCTCACTCCGTCCCTTCCTCTTCTCCCGCCTCCCGCGCCTTCTCGCCCTTCCCGCTGCCGACGTATCTTGGCACCTCAACCCTCTTTGCCGCACCTGCCCGTACGAGCCTGCCCATCGCACCCGTGCTCTGACCGAAGGCGCTATCGGCGCCATCCCCAACGTAAGCGTCGCTGATAAAGGCGCCCTCGAGCGACTCCTCGGCGCCGCCCGAGCCCGCGACGCCAAACTCGGTATTGGCGACATCGAAGACCTACATCTTCTGTTCTCCAACCCGAACGCCGTGGACGCGCTCGAGCGCGCGTTCCCGAGCGGTGTCAAGAGCGCCAAGCGGATCCTCGGCGTACCCTCGCGGACCCGCCCACATACGTCGCGTCGATCCGGCCGACATTCTCTCCCTCAGTCGCAAACCCGGACTCCAGCAAATCCGAGCGCGGTACTCGAAGCCGCGCTCACGCGCACCGTCCAAGTCATCCCCCGGCGCAGCTTCACTCTTCCTGTCGCGGAAGACCTCGCACTCGTACTCTCCCTCGTTCTCGACCCCGCCACCGACGGCGTCGCCCTCTTTTCCCTCTCCCTCTTTCCTTCGCCTGTGGTCACTCTCCCATCCAGACTACTCGATCAGATGGGCAAGGCCGCACAACTCGTGCCCGCGCTCGCCGCCACCATCCGCGCCACCCTCGCCCTCGGGCAAGTCGTCCGTGCGCAGTTTTACGTCTTCTCGTCTCAGGAACGCACCGCGCTGCAGCGGCACCTTATCGACGCTGCCCTTGTCGCGGGTTCAGACAAGACTGGGGATGATAAAGGCCCGACCGACGATGAGGATGACGTCCGCCTATGCATCGCTGCCCTATGCGAAGGCGCCTCGCTCCTCGCGACCGCCTTTCAGCCCCTCATCCTCTCCGGCGCGCTCCTCGACTTCCTCTCGCGCAAAGGCACGCGCACCAAGGCCGAGCTTCGCACTTGCCTCCGCCGCATGGGTGTTACCGACCTCGCGCGGACAGAGACGGTGGAGCGCCTCCGCTTGCGTGTGGCGGAGGAGGTCGAGCGGCTGAAACAGCTTGGCGGGCGCGCGCAGCCTGACTCCGACGACGGAGCAGGGACCGCCGGCAAGGAAATAGGCCAGCTGCCGCTCGTCGTCGTGCTCAAGCGCGAGATCGAGCGGCTCGTCGCGTTGCCCGTGCCGGGATACTGGGATCTGCCGGAGTGCGCCGTCGCGCTGCTCGGATCCGCTGCCGCGTACGCGAGCGACGACGAAATCTTCGCGTCCTACGACGCCGGGCGCACGGTGGAGGCCGAGGGGACGCTGCGCAAGCGGAACGAAGGCATCAAGCGCGTGCTGGACGCAGTGAGGGCTCGTATCACCAAGGAGGGACGGCAGCTGCTGGTCAACGAGGCAAAGCCGCTCTCCGCAGAGTTCATGGATTTGTGCGAGCAGCCGCATATACGCAAGTTGTTCTACATGCAACAGGTAAGCAGTGGTCCCAGCCAATCGAAGTCCCATCTGATACTCATTTCCGCGGCCACAGTTCGAGGTGCTAGCGAAGCTCAGCGAGCTGTGGCGCAACCGCGTCGACGGATGTCCAGATGCACCGGTACTGGAGCACATCTCCTCGTCGTCATCGAGTGCAGGCGGCACTTTGCATACATTCCGCCTCTTATCCGGCACGCTCGACGCCCCCGGCGGTGACAAGCCACACGCTCCGGACCAACAACGCTCCTTCTTCGACTTCCTGCTCGCCCCGGACGACGACTCTGAAGGGTCCGACTCCGATATCCCACCGGAAGCTCTCTTTGACGACCTGCCGGTGATGGGCATGGTCTTCCCGCTCAATCGCTGGACGCGGCCGCGGTGGGATATGCAGCCCGCCAGGGTTCGGCGCTCGCTGCTCGTTGCAGACGTGCGCGACATCACCATCGACGCCGACGGGATGCACACGCGCGTGACGCTGTGTACGTGGGGTGAGCGCGCCGCGCAGCCTGGCGTAGGGCGGCGGTACCGGCTGTCGCCGCGCCTGGTCGATTTTAACCTGACGAAGGCGTTATCCACGCTGCTCGAGCTCGACATGCGATGTGCTGGCGAGGGCGGCGATGATGACGAGGGCGATGGCGTACCGCCATTCGTACAGCTCATCTCGGACCCCCGAGCGCTTGCACTCGAGCAAGCACCCGAAGGAGCACGACTCGGCTCGCGGTTCCTGCGGCGGGAACACGCGATCCAGCGCACGTTCAGGGAAAGAGCGGATCTTGGTACTGAGGAGGCGCGAACGCTGCTGCTCAAAGCATCGCAGCGGCAAGCCACGCGCCGGATCCTCTCCAGCCGGCTCGCGGTGGTGTGGGGACCACCAGGGGCAGGCAAGACGCACACGATCGCGTCATCTCTGCTCCGGCTGCTGGAATGCCAGGCGGGAATTGCGCCTCCCCAAATCCTGTTCTTAACGGCTATGACCCACGCGGCGATCGACGCGTGCCTTTCCAAACTTGAACTTCTGATGAAGTGCTACAAGTCTATCTCCGGGCTATCCACGGCGTGGCTCGACAAGGTGAAGATCGAACACGTCCTCAAGGGCAACGAACATCCACTCCCCGCAAAGAACACGCCGAACACGCACATATACGCGGGAACCGTGTTTCAGGTCAGATATCATTCTTTCATATGCTCTTATACTGACATACTTAACGTGCATTCGACGTAGTTGTACAACTTCAGCAAGCGCCGTGCTCTGCACGTTGACTGCGTCGTTATCGATGAAGCGGGCCAACTGGGCCTCGGCTCCGCCGCTCTCGTGCTCCGCTCACTCGGATCACGCGGTCGTATCGTCATTGCCGGCGACTCGGAGCAGCTCGCACCCATCTTCGCAGCGCAGTATCCCAAGCTCGAGACGAGACTCTTCGGGTCCATCTTAGACTGTGTAATGCATCTTTATCGCGCGGCGCAGGAAGGTCTCCACGCCGAGGCCACGATGGCTTCGCTCGTGGACACGGAGCATTCGTCCGAGCAGGTCTCATCCCAGCTGAGCACTATTGTGCAGTTGACGGAGAATTTTAGGTGCGTGGTGTACTTGTTTACGGTGTTCGGTACACTACCCGCTCTTGCACAGGCTTAACCCGGACTTGGGCGACTTTGTCTCCACAATCTATTCACGCGCCTTCAAACCGCAAAAGGTGCAGGTGCAGACGCTAGCGACACATCTGGGCAATATCAGAGGGTTACACGTTCAGTGCCGCCCTGGCCTGGAAGACGTTCTGGAATCGGCCAAATCCTTCTTGGTCGACCTGTCGAGGGCCATGCTGCGCAAGGATCAGCCCCGGCTGCGCCCCCCAGTGGCGGCGGCGGCGTCGCCGACTGACTTACTGACGGTCCCAGGACCACTCCCAATATCTCTCGCTATGATATCTCTTAAGGCCAGGACAATGCACAGCTCGCAGCTGGGGTATGAGGCCCACGTCCGCGGCGAAGCTGCCCTCGCAGCGAGTCTGATATACTGGCTGCGCAAATCTTGCCCGGACGACAGCATCTTTGTGGCGACACCGCATCGCATCCAGCGGTACGCAGTGAAAGAAGCACTGAAATCCATGAAGTCTCTGGAGAGTGACGAGGATGAGCTCGCTCAGGCCATGACTACCCTGGCTGTCAGCGATGCGACAACTACCCAAGTTACGATTGACACCGTGGAAAGGCTCCAAGGTCTGGAATCCACCTGGGCTGACAGCATCAAAGAGACTCATCTACTTACAGGCTCGGAGGCCGCCTTTGTTATCTGTTTGTTCTCTGATACTTTCGCGTCTAGCTCTTCGTCGACCTCATTAAACTTCCTGCTCGAGAGGCGCAGGCTCAACGTGGCCATAAGCCGCGCGAAAACACTCTGCATCCTAGTCACCTCCAACGAAGTCCTGAGACCCTCCGTGCGCGTACTCGCCAACGAGGAAGCCGCGAAGGGTTACACGTTTCTGCGCAGCTACGAGGACCGCGCCTGGAAAGGGACGATTGAAATCGACCTGGACACTCTGCAAACGCTCGCGTGATCCACTTCAGTGCCAATGTACGGACATAATGATATATCGCTCTCTGCTCAGCATTGCTCTCTGTAAATCTAGCTGTTGCCTGTTCGTCCTCGCATGTTGTCGTCCCAATTGGTTGTATTTTGTGAAGCATTTCGATATGACCTTGAACAACAAAGCTAGGACACAATTCTATAGGCCAATGTTCCTGGGCGCCAAGAAAATAAGGGTCTACTCCGGATCTATCTATTAATGTAGTCAACGGGACAGCAATACGACGATATCGAGGTAAGTCTAACGCATTGATCACGACAAGGTGGGTGAGCAGGTAAGTTTATAGTACAGACATGAAAGGCCAAATCTAAAAGAAAGGAAATGTAAAAGGTTTGCGTGATGGACAGACAGTAGTGATCGAGGATATAGTAAATGTGGTCATAGGCGTGTTCCTGCAATTGTTCGTTTATAGAATAATGATAAGTCTAGTGTGGACCTGCAGATGAGATGATGTTCCACAGTGTCGTGCGAGCGTCGTGTTAGTCGTTTGGGTGGAGCCTGACGATCACCCTAAACATGTTCGGGGACTTGAGGGAGTTGACTTGCCCGGGTGCGGGTTCTAGGGAAGAAAACGTTGTGGTTCGCTGTATCCTGGCTGGATTGTGCTTGGCCAAAGCTCGTTGTGCGAGTGCGCTGAGGTCGTAGATTCACACCGCTAGCATTGGAGGTAGGCACCGCTGTGATAGTAGCGCCGTCCTGATTTTCTCGGTCCCGCAGTACGCGAAGCTCGTAAGGGAAGACCACAGCGCGGTCAATAGCCTGAGGAAGCCCTCTGTGGCGACTACAGAGTGGAGTGAGGGATAATTTCAGTTGATCCACTCCTTGGGGACTGACCCTCGGATGATAACTGCGCAAACAACGAGCTTTGACAGCGGGGACAGTGCTCCTGAGAAGGAGTAATTCGCCTGAAGTCGTCATCTTGCTGCTCGTGCGCATATACGAGGACTTCACTCACATTCGGGAGTCCTAGACTCAGCCCTACACCGCCATACGCCGAGACCAACTCAAACACTAAACGAATGTGAGCCTCAAAGCATGCCCGTTAGAATGTGCCGACTGACGTATATAGAATATGTTGAACCATGATGCCTTTTCAGTTTCGTCAAGAGGTTTGCGCTAAGCGGCTATCAGAATGTGATCATCACGTCATTCAACCTACGACCAACCTCGATGATGCACACAAGGAAGAGGGCAAAGCCCAGCCACCACATATCTGTTGATGGAGTCCGTCATCAACGGCTGGCAGGCACATGAACTGAGAAGACGCACCGAAGGATAGTTGCTTTCGCGCATGTGATACCAGGTATTTGCCCCATACCGCCACGCGACCAGGCTGGGCTGCAATATTCTGCTCTAGCTCCTGGTTTCTTTCCTCTTCCTCATCTTCGTCAATGAAAACGCCGAGAGATCGTTCTTCGTATACGTTCGTGGAGCGTACACTGGACAGATGTTCCATGAGCCTCCCAACTCCAGCCGGATAACCATATTTTCTAGTCACCTCATCGCGATAGGATCTGAGAAGCGAGAATGTATGAGACAAAACCGACAAGACCAGAAGAGACACGAATACTGACATATACTGACATACATCATGATGACATAGAGCACCCTGTCAGCAATGGTCGTTAGCTAGCGATCAAGGACCTCGGGTTGTTGCGTACTTGACGGCTGGCGCTAAGTTGGATATTGTCACCGTGGCAAAACCAGCTGCCCTCACAGCGAAAGCCTGGAAGAGTCCCAGCACAAAGCGTGTTCCTAATTTGATGGAGTCTATAGCGGGATTTCCAATATCCAGCACCATGAAAAAGAACCAGTCTGTGGAACTTAGCATTAAGTTAGTATAAGGTTGAGGATCCAGGTGAATGGCATACTTCAAAACAACGACCATGAGCAACAGAAACCACGTTTGGTGAGAGGGAAAGAGGTAAAGATAGCAACGTCTGATTGTCAATGCCGATGAGCGGCTAGCGCCAGACCAAACACAACATTAGACAGACCGTGGATGATCGAGAAGGAATCGAAGAGGACCATGAAGATCCGATGTGCTTGGAAGTATCTTAGTCAGCGTCCAACTAGGCGATGTGTGAGCATGCATCCGGGACAGAGATGGAATCCACACCCACATGAGCAAGCGCAGGCTATTCAAAGTTGATCATGTTTCAGTATACGTAGTTTCTCATGGGATGCAGTTCACTTACAAAAGAGGCTGTAACACTATCAGTTACGTGTCGTCGAGTGTGAATGCCACGGACTCACGAAAGATGTGTTGCCACACAGGATTAGGAATGCTTGGAGGAAAATCATCGGGTATGCCTTTTGGAACGGGATCATGGATTGATCGACCAAAGACATGCCGGTATTTGTGTAGGAGGAGACCACTTGAAAAAGGGCGAACCTGGTGGAATGCTCGTGAATCAGCCGAGATAATATATCTCCGACGGCGGAATGTTACCATGGGGGCGGAACGTGCTTGTGCAAATTTGGCGGTTCGAATGCACTCTTCCACCTGGGCTGCGAGATGTACGGTGCGATGATCACAAATGCCAACATCTGACTGCCAAACCATAGCTGTGGGGGAACATCTGGAATGAGCAAAGGTCGTCTCGTGAATGTCAAGTATGAAGAAGAGACATACTCCGCCAACGAGCCACAGAAGGAGGCAGAGAGCCTGATATTCAACGCCGCCCACCTCCTCCAACTGTTCGTGCGTTAAGTACGGGAATGCCGAGTTTCGCCCCGCGAACGCATCGAATGAGAAATACGGAGCGAGTTTCACGCCCGTGGGCAAGGGCCTACCGTCGTGTTCCCCTGGATGGCCATATGCATGCCGCGTGTATGTCGTGGTCAGGGGCACTGTGAGAGTCCGATGCATCTTCTCCTGTAAGCCGGGAAAGAGCTTGTGTAGGCCGTTGAGGAGTAGTTTGTGAGGCATAGGCCAGCCACCAAATCCATGATGCTGGCTCTCATAGAATGTATCATGAACAAAGCTGCGCGCGTGACTCTGCACGGTGTGTATAGTGTGCATAGTGTGTGTGCGCATTGCTGGACCAGGACGCATGTGAGATTCAGAGCGGGACCGACGCCCTTCATGTGGTTCGGTAGAAGGGCTTGTACGATCTGGGAACACGGAACCTGTTATGGTTGGCTCACGCAGGATGGAGTTACGACGGGTGGGACGGCCGCGGTCGTTGATGCCTTCACCGTTGTTGTTTGTGGTGTCGCGGATTGCCCTGGGGAGCGCAAAGTCCACTGTGGCAGTTCGAGCGATCTGCGTGTCTACTTCCTGCGTAGGTGCGAATGTCCGTGAACGATTCATCGGTATGGCTGATATTTGAGGAGACGATCCTGGTTCAGAGAGCCGGCGGCTCCGCCTAACACGTGATCGTCAGAAGACGGAAAAGCTCAAAGCGGGTGTGGATGCGGACGGACTTTTCTAGGGCCTGCATAGGAGAAGTCGCGCCATCCTCGGCCGTGGACTCGGACGTACTTGACGAGGACGATGCAGAGCTCGGACCCGGGTCCGCGTTGTCGACCTTGACCACGTCCAGGAAGGTGACAGGAGTTTCGGACTCGCCCGTCTCCGCGGTCGTAGAAGCAGACGGCACACCGGCTTCTGCAGACGGCATCGGCTTCGCATCCGGACCTGGGCCCCCCTCGCTGATCCAGCCACTAGGATTAATCAACATCGGCCTGTCCGTCGTCCGGCGTATCATATCTGGCTTGACGTGTTTCAGCACGCCGCCCTTTTTGCGCTTCTTCAGAGGCGTCGCCGGCGACTGCTTCTCCTGGAGGACGTAGGCGTCCTGCGCCGGCCTCGTCTCAGGGTGCGCTGAGCGCGTAAAGGTGCGGGTGATGCGGGTGCGCCAGTTCTCCAGAGGGGCGCTCTCCGGATCGTTCCGTTTGGCGAGCTGCACCTGTCTTACCCGTTCTCGGAAGGCCTGGGCAAAGTAGTGCCTGCGACCGCGTTATGAGGGATGGGGGCATGTGCACAGCGAGTGGGAACGAACCTTCGGACGTAGACCATCCAGAAGGACACGAAAGTCTTCCGTGACGTTAGATGTGATGGTCGGTAAAGTGCCACTAGCGTGCTTACCGTGCTCCCCGTGTTCATCTGGATGAACAAGATAACTTGCTGCCATGGTGTGAGGGCGCTGAGGTCGACCGTGGTAAGCCCACAGACACAAAACGCGCTGACAGAATTGAACAAAGCGTCGATATATGCGATGTGGGTGCTCCCGTTGCTGGCGTAGAAAATCCCGGACCAGATCAAAGGGACAAAGGTGCTATCGGAGAATCGAGAAATTAATTTACAAACGCGTGGTTTTCTGTGCAGTATAACATACAAGATCAAGGTGTGAACACGGTAAAAGTTGAGCGAAGCCGCGATACGTTCTCGTATCCTTGTCCAGGCGGTGTAGGATCTATTGGGTGGGTCATCCGAGTCTAGTGAGGGCGACTGAGACTCGTCCATCTGCGCAAGACCGTGAGGAACGTCGTGGTCGTCGTGATGCAGGAGTGGTCAGGACTAGGCGGGGATGAACGTGAGTGGACTCGGCATTAATGGCAGTGAACAGAACTTGACCGAACCTCAGACTGGCCCCCCTATGACGCGAAGGTTAATGCCACAATGATCTGCTCACGTGCATCTGAGTTTTTCCGCCAGCCGAGTCAGTGAAAAGGTCACGTGTTATCTAATTTATTCGGTGCCCGCGGCTTCCCGGGGTAAGGCCACCTCCCGCAAGTTCCGCTTTACTGTGGTCGCAGCCACTTTTGCTTGCAGTGTCTGGAGCCCTGTCAGCCCACGATGACCTCGTTACCGATGGTCGCCCCGATATTTCCGGCGGGGAAGGAGCCGTTACCGCCTGGCATCACCGACGAGGAGAAAGCCCAGTATGAGCAGATGAAGCGCTGGCAGGGCTACACCACCATGGCCATGGAATCCTGTGTTGCGAAGACCGCGATCGCGGGTGTCGGAGGTGCGTGGATGGCGAGCCGCTACGACCAACGCGTGCATGAACAGTGATATCTCAGTCCGCTAGGCTTTGCGATCGGCGCCTTCTTTTCGCTCATGTCTGCGTCCTTCGCGTATGAGGATCCGCTGTTGCGAGATCAGATGGCAGAGCGGATGAACACGAAGCAGAAGACGGTTGCGTACTTCAAGGATATGGGCAAGGGCATGTACCGTAGCGGGAGCGGTTTTGCCAAGGTCGGCGCGTTGTTTGCGGGGATAGAGTGCGTTATCGAATCGGTCAGTGATGTCCCCTTCCTTCGTGGTTTACTTGTCTCCCCCTTACTTACCTGCGACGTGTCATTGTGCAGTATCGAGCGAAGAACGACATGGTCAACCCCGTGGCGGGCGGCTTTATCGTCGGTGGCATCTTAGCCAGGAACTCGGGTCCCAAAGGTGCCTTATTAGGTGGCTTGGGCTTCAGCGCGTTTTCTGCCGCCATCGACATGTTCTTAAGGCGGGAGCCAGCAGAGTGCGTATTCCTATGACATTATAATTAGCCTCGCGCTAATGTCGCTAAAACCGTAGCGATGACTGAATCCTCCCATCGATCTTCCACCCACGTTCGGTGTCCGCAGAGCTTAACTTATTTGCCGCATCACACCCAGCTCGTTCTGCTTAGCATGCTCCTATGTATACTCTATAATAATCTCATTACAATGGATGTTCACGAACTACTTAATCGTACAGGACGACGGTTGTTGATCAGCAGCTCGAATAGTCCAGGGAGTAGATGGTGCAGTGCACGTCTATAGTAATCAGCAGCAATTAGTGCATAAAATAGCCCATTATAATCCTCTCTTCCGTCCCGTATTTTTTCCCTCCTGATCACCTCACACTGTTTTCGTTAACTCGAACCTGAAAACTAATGCGCGGTCCTGCTTGCATCTGGCGTGCCGCCGACGGCGACCTCATACGAAGGCGGCGCCTCGCCCTCCTCCGTGACCCTCCCAGCGACGAGTCGCTCGAATTGCTCGCTTGTCGCTTGCGGCGAGTCTGACGCAGACGAAGCAACCGTCGCAACGGATTCGTCAGACCCATGGCGAGGCAGCGCGGGCGGTCGAGCACCGATCCTTCTGGGCTGGTGACAACGACATGAAGGCGTCAAGGCTCCGCTGCCTCTGAAAAGCTCGGTGTATCGCGGGAGCGAGGTCATTTCCGGTCCGCAGAGACACTGTATATAGTGGCGTCAATAACAGCAATCGAAAACTCTGAAGTAGATATAACTACCGATAAGATGTGGACCGGCATCTGCACGACGATGTCGAACAGCTTCCGTTTCCCGGTCTTATGGTCCACAAACTGGTCGTCGCCCCTCTCCACCCTGAATACAATCTTGAGCGTGTGGCTGATGGAGATATTGCTCTGCCGGTTCTTCGTTGTAAAGTGAAGCTGCTCGCACGAGTCGGGAAGGGTGAGCGAGCAATCGATATCCCACGGGCCGGGTCCCATGTAGGACGACGCGAGCTCGTCGATGTCGACGGCGTTCGGATCGACGATGGAGGACAGCGGCGAGCGCTTGAATTCCTTCGCGAGTTCGCCAGAGAGCGGCAGGATGGGTTGAGACCCGTGCGCGGAGTCTGGGTGCTTGAGGGCGAGAAGAGTCGTGCGAGAGGGCTGGTCACTTCGGGCGACACGTTTCATTTGGGTCAGATAATCAACGCGCTCTGGAACCCGATCGTTGAGCTCGATGACGCGAGAAACAACCAACCAAATGTACGCACCATCTAAGAAAACTGATACCCGGTGCACCTTTACCTTCGCCAGCGGCATGAGGGTAATATGAATGGGCATTGATCCTCCGATGAAGAACGTCCGCCCCGAGACAGTGATCAGATACTGCAGCTGGGTGTCCCACTGCCTCTGGACTACGATACTATCCTGGTCCTCCATATCCTCCTCCCCAGGACACGCGACGAGGCTCAAGTACTTGCTCGCGGTCAGCTTGCTCTTGAACGTGCCAGGCCGATGGACCTGCGCCTTGAGGCGCCAGGTGACGGAGCCGAACGCGGCGTGGATAGTCGGCGGCGAGTTGGCCGGGACGGCAAACGAAATCGGGTACGTGTATGTGCCTAACCGTGGCGGAGCACTTTGACAGTCAGACGACACCAGCAAGAGCACGCATGGAGCAGGTTCACGGGGCTCACCTTTGCGGAACTCCTTCCATCCGTGTCCACGTTCTTCGCTAGGCGAGCGCGCCTTCTTCTTTCCCGAGCTCTTCTCGAGTATCTCCAGCGTGCGTCCACGCTCATAGCCCTGATCCCGGTCGACGCTCCTCTCCACCGCGCGCGAAGTAGATCGGCTGTGGCCCGCGACGCGCTCCTTGAGCGTGCCGAGCATGGCGTTCAGACTGAAGCGCGACTTGTTCCGACCGCGTCGCTGCTCCTCTTCGATCGGAGCTTCGGTGGGCATAGGCGACAACCCGCGTCCGTTGATTCGCGGCTGCTCAAAGGACGGCCTCCGCTGTTCCATCGAGGGTCTGCGAGAGTGCGCAGGGGAGCGCTCGGCGTCCGAGCCATCTCCACCGCGGGCGCGGCGTTGCGTGGGAGAAATGGACCTGATGCTCGACGCCCTCGATTCGAGCGGGGTACGAGAACCCGTGCGAGTCGCTGTCTTCCAGATAAGCTGGCGAAACGCGAAATTCGAGACGAACGCTGCTTACATCCCAAACCCATGAGGAGCGCGTTGCGCGATTCCTCGAGCACTTGTCCGGGGTTCTCATCTGCACGTGCGGGAGACGCTATATGCTGAGAGTGGAAAACGGAGTTTCTTGGGCTGAGAGTGAACGGCGTAGGGGCCTCCGATATAACGGTCGTAGGCGTCGAGGGGCTGTACGGCGGCGTAGGAGGCACCGAGACGTTCTCTGCTTGGTGGGACACAAACTCGGACTGGAAGATAGACTGATCGGCGCTGATGCGTCTCCTGGTCCTTCGATGGGGGGAGTCGCGCGTGGGGGTAGACGTCCCGCGCAGTTCGCTGTCGCTGTCTGAATCGTCCACCGCGTATTCGTCCTCATGCAGTGCGTGAACTCCCGGACCCAGGGACATGGTCCGGCGAGATGCTGCGGTGCTGGGCTCGGAGCCGGCGCGGAAGAAGACCGTGGAGGCGGAGAATATCTTGTGCTCTTCCGTTACTTCGATCCGGCGCGCACCGACGCCTTTGAGATAACGATTCAGCGACACGAAACGCAGAGACGATTAGATTGATAAACAGCGATAGACATTACCTTCGGGCCAGGCCGTCTCCGACTTTCCCACTAATTCAACCTCGATGCTCGTGATCCTCGTCGGCTTCACAATATCCAGCACGAGCAATCCTCGAACCATAGCAGGTGGCGCATTGCTGGACGCGGGACGCTGCCTGCCGGTGATATCGCCGCCGCGAAGGAAGACGACGGGTTCGGTGAGACGGATGGAGACAGAGTTGTGCTGGGGCTTGCGGGTGGTCGACATCGTCGTGGTCGGTGGTCAAAGGGCGGCTGGAGTCAAACTACAGTACTGGCAATAACGCCCGCAAATGGCGCCAGAAAAATGAAACTGCCCCTTCGTTCAAGTACCCGTCCGGCAGCGGGGCAGTGAGGGGTCACGATGCGCGAGTTTTGGAGTGATAACTGCCGATCGCACGATCTCCGGTACGGATGGCGACCGATGAACACGTTCGTGAGGGGTTGGTGGACCGATTATCTGCGCGAAATTTCTCTTGGGATGGCGCGGAGGGTGATGGAGAAGACAAAGGCGAGGAGTTAAAAGTCAAATGGTGACGACGGACGGACTCGAACGTAGCCCCCGTCCCGGTGCGGCCTCTCGCAAAAGCGGCGAGCGGCGCACTGGGGATCTCCTCGACGCCTGGACCGTCCGGATGATCGGCAAACTCCAAAGCCGCATGGCAGTGGCGATGCGGCGTGCCTGGCATCCTCCTCCAGCGTGTCGACTGTCGCCAGATGATCGATGAGCGCTGAGCCTGCAATTGCCTACTAGTCCTCAAGCAGCCTCAATTGGCACTACTCCAATGGGCTTTGCTTTTTTGTACAGCTTACAGTCGTATATAAATGTATAGCATGCTACGCTCGCCCTCAATATGCTCGATACGTTCGGTTTAAATTTGCACCACTTCTGCCTTACTCTTGACTTAGCGCCCCATCGACATCAAGGCGGCTGACTGAAGGAATGGTCGAACATGGCTCAAATACTGTCCTGCCCACGGTGCGCCCTACCCACCAGGTTTCAGCTGGAAACCACGATCTTCACGCCCATCGCTAGACGCAAGACGCTAAGCGCGGACTTGTCAACAGGCGAACTTCGGTTGTTTGCCCAACGTGTCTCCGCATTGATCTGTCACCCACGCCCACAAGGAGAAAAGTGTGGGTGTGTGTTGTCACTGATGGCCTCATCCTCATTGCTGCAGCGGTCGCGAAACAGCAATAGACTCGCCTAAACCCAAGACACCCTTTGAACTCACGGTCCCGGGGTGACTGTGCCCGGCGATTGTAATAAGCTGTAAGTACATGTTATACACAGGAGTCGCCACAGACTATCCCTTATCGAGGTATGCCATGTCGTAAAACCGAACTATGTACCTCCGCTCTAATCGACAACCCCGTGTTATCGTCCTTCGGCGTTTCGGATCGCCTTGAAAGAGTACCTCTGACTTCCGTTTTCAACAGACATTCCTCGATGTTTTCAGGCTTGAGCGTCTATGATTGACGTGCTATCGGGCGAAAACACTGGGGAGCTGTGAAAAGAGGATTCAAGTGGCGTATATCTGCTCCACTTGGTGTTCACATGGTTAACCCGCCTCCCGGAGAACGCTGGTTGCCCTTGCACATGCTGGTATAAATCGCCGTTGGCCATCCGGACTGCCTCTTCATCCTTCTTCTCTCCCTTTCATATTCCTTCAATTTTCCATGATGGAAGAGCAGTTACTTGGGCTGCCAGAAGTGGTCAATGATGAGCACAGTGGTATGTATATAGCTCCTCGACTACTCAGGCGTAGACTGACTAGATCTTTTCCGTATAGCGCTAATCCTGCCTGGGGGTCAGGATTGTCTATATCAGTCATCTAAGGAGACAATAATCGAGACCTCTGGTATCATGGACGATCAGATGGTCTCTGGGCGCCTTCAATACTACAGCTTCGCCTTATATGCGATCCTCTCTTGGGTCGCCTACATTGTGGCCCTGGTGATCCTGTTGTAATGTTGCGCAGCCATCCGAGGCCTCCCGATTGTATGGCCAGGATCTCAGATGTAATGATCGTTCTTTTCGCGCAAGGACATGGCCCAATCACCGCACTGTACCTCGCTCGACTCTCTATCTCGGCGATACAGGATCAAGCTACAGTTCCACGCTCGTGGACGGAGCTGTTCTGGCTCGCCGATCGTAACTGGCAGGGACCGGTCGCCATCGGTCGTACATACTTCGTCATGTGCAAAAGTCGTATCTGTCCTTCTGTGATGTTTGTGCTCTTCACAATCATTTCGGTGACGGCTCTCGCTGCACCCTCACTCCTTCGTCAAGCATGGCCAAATGACGGCGCTGTCATCACCCAGCCCTGGCGAGTAACGCTGGACGCATTCTCCCCACCCCGATATAACACCATCGACGGCGCCTCCCAAATGGCTGCTGGCGAGGGTTCATGGACAACGGGACTTTCCGCGGCCGAGATTTATAACTCAAGCACGTTCGTTCCAGCGACGTCATTGACAACTTCCGAGTCCACCTTCCAACAGTACGGCGAGGACTATTTCTTCGCAGCAGCCAATGAATACCTTGTAGTACCCCATATGCCGGGCGTCCGCGTGACTGGCAGCTGCTGGACAACTCCTTCGCCGCCGCTTGCCAACGACACCCATCCTGCTCTTGCAAACTGGTGCGACAGCAATAACCTGGACCAGTTTAAATCTGATACAAGCTTGCTCGCCGGCAACGTCGCTTTCAATATCACCTGGTGCAGTGACTTCTACGTGGATTCGGCTACAGGACACAGGACCGACTGGATGAACAATGTCCCGTCGTCCACCGCCAACGTCGTCGCCCACATTTCGGTCACAGACGGGAATGAATCCGGAGGCGCGCACGGGTTCATCAGATGCAATTATACCTTCGCCACGGGCAACGCCACTGTTGGCAACATGTTGGACGCCTTCAATACATCCAATACCTACCGCGATTTCCAACAGCTGCCGTAGTGCAACGACATGGACGTCCGCGCAGACGTTCCCTATCACCCGCTTTTCGCTGCGATCTTTTCTATCACTCAGGCTTTCGGCTCCGACTCGTCGAACGATACCGCTGCCGCCGTAGACGCTGAGCGAATCAGCGGAATACTCAGGATGTTGGGTTTTAGGGCATCGTATGACGACCAATCCGGTGAAATCACCTACACTCAGCCTAATCTCAGCTCTCTCGTGATACCATCCGGTTCAACGATACCTTCGACTACTCATTGGTCGACGGACGAGATCGGGTCGACTGGTTGGCAGGCTTGTTCGGAGTCTGCATCAGCATCTGGCTGATCCTCTTGGCCTGCTGCACTGTGAGGATGTACAAGCCCACCTTCGCGAGCAGCCTCAACTCTTATTCCACTGGGCGGCTGTTGGCCCATCCGAATTGGCAAGGGCTGGCGAATATCCACACTTGCGGCGATATGATCGACAACCAAGAGTTGCAAAAGCAACCCTTTGGCAGGGTTGCGGATGCCTGTCCCATGGAAGATACTGGCCAAATCGCAGTCGTCGCGGACGATGATTGTCGTTCTCCGGATTTCAACCGGCTGTATCGTAGCAAGGTTGTTGTCTAGCTGCGTATTCGTGTTTTGACTTCCTCTGCCCCGACTACATTACACTGCCCCCCTTTGGATCAAACATGAACAGCGCTTAAATTCTAATATGCGGGCTTGATCAGGAGATGAAGCAGCACATCTTCGGCTCTTCCTGCTTTTGCGATAAAGTCACCGTGTACTAATGTTCCGTTCTGGTATCTCTTCCATCTTACTATACTTCAGTTGTTGTAGGTATTGTATGTCATTGATCTCTACTATAGTGGGCACTCCGTCACCGTAACTAGCGGGTGACTTTAGAGCACTGAATATGATAAGAACCTTTTATGAATGATGAGTATAGCGTGGACAGGGTGATCAATGTCAACCCATTCTCTTAGCAAGTAACTTATCTGATATCATGACCATCAGGCAATGAGAATGCACGAGTATTAGTATACACATGGCGATCCTCGAGCTCTTTAGTAGTATTCTCTTTGATCACCCATGTGCGTGGCTCCCTCTACCGAACGAACCTGAAGCGCATCCAGCGCATGCGGCCCTCAACAGCCCGAACCCGACGCCGGCCATCGCGAAGTCCCGTTATCATGAGCCTCAGCATGGATATTTTGGAGTCTAGCCCCTCTTTGCCGTATATACTTACCAGCACTCGCTCCGAGTCTTACCCGCCCTTCCTCCATGTCCTCGCCAAACGGTCTGATTTGCTTCACCAACTGCCTCCTCGCGCTCGAGGATGGCACACTCGCCGAGAAAGATCTCTGGATCGATGAGCGGCGCGGCGTGATCCTGGATGCACATGTAAGGAGTGCAACGTTTGCCGAGAGGAATCGAGACCAAAGTATGCTTGCAACGTGTAGCGAACATTCTTTCAGAGGAAGGAACGACCGGACAAGATCATTGACTTGGGCGGCAACGTGTTGAGGTGAGGCTCGAATCTGTTCGCCTTCGCTCTCGCTGATATCGGATTCCCTGCAGTCCAGGCTTGATTGATATCCAAATCAACGGCGCTTATGGCTTCGACTTTTCCGTTTACGATGGCGATGATGAATCGTACCTCACCGGGCTCCGCAAAGTTGCGAAGAGCATCGTCGAGACGGGCGTGACATCGTCAGTCTTTGTCGCCTTTTGAGTCTTCAAAAAGGCTGACTGGAATCTCACTAGACTTGTCCCGACAATCATCGTGAGTCGACGAGTCGTTGTTGATGGTATGCGTGTTCAATTCCCTTCTTCACAGACCCAAGAGAAGTCTCTCTACCCGAAGCTTCTGCACCTTCTGCGACCTCTGTCGTCCCCTGGCTCCGCCACCCTCCTCGGATGGCATGCAGAAGGTCCATTCCTGCAGATGGCAAAGCGTGGCGCGCATACACCTTCACTCATTCAGCCCGCAAAGGGCGGCTTCCGTTCCTTCGAGGAGATATACGGTCCGGAGAACCTTGCGGACAGCGAAGACTGGTTGATGAGCGGCGAACATGATGGACTCGGTGTCCGTATCATCACTGCAGCCCCGGAGATCGAGGGAGTGATGGAGAGCATCGATGAGCTGGGTGGCAGAGGCGTCGTGTTCTCTATTGGGCACAGGTACTTTGTTATTTCTATCCGCGAATCTCGCGTAGAAACTTATGGGTGTACAGTATCGCGACTACCGATATCGCAACAGCTGCCGTCTACCATGGTGCACGCCTCATTACCCACTTATTCAACGCCATGCCCCAGCTGCACCACCGTGACCCTTCCATCATCGGTCTCCTCGGATCATCGCCATTCCTCTCGTCCAAGTTCTCCGTCCATCCTCCCCCCTTCCCCAGTTCCTCTCGGTTACCTTCGAAGCCCACCTCGCCGGATCTCAAGGCAGAAGCTTTGAACGAACTGGAGACGCCGCCGCAAACACCTTTGCTTGCTGCGAGCCCAAAAAACGCGCCGCCGCCGCTCGCCCTCGAGCCAAGTAAAGAAGGAGGAAAGCCGAAGAAGGAGAAGATTCCTTTCGCGAGGCCGTTCTATGAGTTGATTGTCGACGGCGTGCATTCCCACCCCAACTCCGTGCGATTGGCCTACTCTTCGTACCCCGAAGGATGCATCCTGATCACGGACGGTATGCACTTCTCTTGTGAACCGTATATGCCCAACGCGCCGACTGATTCAGCATCGCCTATAGCCATGAAGATCCTTGACCCGCACCTCCATGACGGCGTACACGAATGGCGCGACGGCCAGCGTTTCGTCAAGCAGGGGTACAAGCTCTTCCTCGAGGGCACGGACACGCTCGCCGGCAGGTATGTGCCCTCTTCTCTCCCTGTCCGCATTATGCGGAGAATCTGATCGCGCCCGTTCCTCCAGTGTGGTCACCCTCGACGTGTGCGTGCGCAACTTCTCCAAGTTTACCGGGTGCTCGCTCGGTGAGGCGCTCAAGTGCGCGACGTACAACCCTGCCAAGTGCCTCGGCATCGAAAACAAGAAGGGCACGTTACGCCCAGGCGCGGATGCCGACTTCGCCGTCATGGACCGGTTCGGGAATGTCCTTTCGACTTGGGTCAAGGGAAAACAGGCGTGGGCTAAGTCGACGATTGCATAAGCACCTCTGAGATCTTATACCTGCATCGCATGAAGGGACGACATGGATCACCATCTATATGTTGTGTTATAGATATTCTATCGAAGACACGAACCTGTACAACGGACAGTGAATCAATACCATTCACTCATGAGCCGGATTGTGGCGCTTCGTAGAGAGAAATGTGTACGCATAGTTAACTGTCCGCAAAATAAGTCATCCCAAAGTTATCTACGAGGTTTAGTAATACATCATGCAATTATTGCGGGTGTGCCATTCCATCGTAGAACGGGTCGCATAAGCATTCATATTGATCGGTAATGCGTCGCGCCTGGATCCGTCGTCGGTATAGGATCATAGATCGGTTACTGTGATGGTGCACCTGAGGACGTCGACGGGCTGGCGGTTTTGTCGGTACCGAATAAACCCGAAGCCCGCATGACCTCCGTCGCGGCGTCCTTGACCTTCTGCACCGTGCCCTCTTCTTTAGAGCCCGCATTCCGATCGGTTCCCGCCGAGGCAATGCTCGACGTCGAGGCAGAGATGGACATGCCATCCCCGTCTTGGTACAAGCCATGCTGTTCAATGTACTCCACCACGGGTCCGGGGATAAGGTAGCGAACGCTTAGGCCGCGCCTCAAGAACAGGCGAACCTATGCGGATCATACGATCAATATTGCAGCCAAGGACGACGACATGGAAGTGCAGACCTTGGTTGACGAGACGTCGTTTTGGATAAGCTGGGAGATGAGATGGATATTGTTCCGCCATTTTGCGAGATGCTCAATGGCCTGATCCATGTCGTTCCCGGCACGCTCCACGATGAACGTGCCGTACCGTCCCAATATATGGTCCAGCTAACGGACAGCATCAAGAATAAGGCTTCCGTTTAGCAGGGGGTTACGCATTCACGGAAAGAATGGGCCGCACATCTGCTTCGGACCATACGCCAGGCTCGGACATGGTCGCGATGAGGTCGCTGCCCGCGAGCAGCATGACCCGCACCGGGCGGTGTTCGCCTGAGGCTGTCTGCGCGCCTCCGAGAACGGTGTTGATCTCGTGATCGAAGTGGTCGAGCACGACGGCCGTTCGTTGGTACGATTGAAAGGCTTCCCAAGGGTCAACCATGAGCCAGTTCGAGGTCTGCTCCGTCGCCAGTTCGCACATGGTCACCCTGCAGCGCACAATAGGATGTGAGTCTGGAGATGGATTACAATCTCTAGTGCATACCGGTGATGGGCAGAGAGGAGACCAGGCTTCTTGTACATGTCACTGACGGGCGAGAGGTAGCCGCCGAGGATTTCAAAGTCTGTGTTCTGCCGGACGTAGTCCACGGCCATCTCGAACATGCGCAGATGCAGGTACGTGACCGGGCTGAACGATCCGCATGCTACGAGCACTATAGGCTGTTTTCGGTCATCTCGAAGCACGCGGCGGAGGCGGTGATGTGGGAAGGTGTAGTTTGGGGGGTAGTTGAACGCCCGCGGGGACGGGGAGGACGCGGCGGACATGGTGGGGCTTACGCCTCGACGGCGATGGAGGAGGCCAACCTTGGAGACGGGAGTCGAGCTCAAGTCATACTTAAGCCCGGATGATTTCACCATAGCACCGCAAGCAACCCGGCCAATCACCAATCTAATCGTGGGAATCGGCTGCGCAAAGCCACTGGCCCACATCCCCTTTGGTCCGTTCCGAATCCCGACGTTGCAGGAATTAGACACGGCCGCCGCCACCGCCGACGCCGACTCCGTGCTGAACAGCCCCGACACCTGGCTGGCACGGCTCTACGCATCCACGGACGACGTAGACAGACGGCAATGGTTCGACGCTCCATCGTAGTTTTCGGCACTCCGTCTCGTACCTCTTGCATCTCGTGATCATCCCGCCATGATTTTCTCAGCTTTCCCCTTTCCATACGTCGAAGAATGTTTCATCCGTGAGTGTTCTGTCGCAATGCGGGCTGTTATGATGAGCAACGTATCCCTTATCTACAATGACGGGAGGCCTTGCATCTGCGAGAACGCTTCCGTATGACCACGTCTCTCACGAGACGAAATCTTCTCTCTGATTCGCTTCACCTAATCACTTGTGGCTGGTCGTAGTTCAAGTCGCTCATGCGCCACTTTCACAGGTCCTCATTACCCCGGTTGCTCGCTGTGTTCCAACGTCTTGCCAGTGTATTAGCCGTATACGCCAATATAGCTCTATTATACCAGGAAGTCGTGCGCGAAAAACGTCCAGCGTCCCTCAAAACAAAAGTCACCTAGAAGACGCAATCCATCAAGTCCCTGGCCCTGCGCCCACCTCCAGCGCACGCCGCAAGCGTCCTAGCTTCATGTCTAAACGCCGCCGCAGCCTCTCCGTCCTTCTCCCGGTCCGCGCGCCAGCCCCGTCCCTCGAGACACTGTGCGAGCTCCTCGAACCCCCTCGCGCACCCGGCGTGTCCGCGCGGGTGGGCCGCGAACACCTCGCGATGAGTGAAGATCGCCTCGAGGTACTCGCCGGACGTGGTCCCATACGTGTCGCTGTCCAGCGAGGACCGCATCGACTGCAGGAACGCACATCCGCTGTGCGGAATCTGCGCTTCCTGTGCGTGCTCTTCGATGGGCATGCCGTTTGAGGATCCCTCCTACGATAGACCTGTCGGAACACGCACTCACGCACATCAAAGCTAGTTTACTCACGAAGTGCGGGTAGATGGTGGGAGGGTAGTTGCTTTGAGATAGGCTGGGATCTTGGCTTGCGCCGCCGACCAGATGCAGGACCTGCGATCCCGCGTCGGGCGCGTTTCCCTTTCTCCAACATATCGTAAGCGTCTGTGCGGCCTTCCGGGCGTCGACGGTCCTCACCTGTACCCACGTATTCGCGGCGATGTTCATAGTATGCAAGAGATTGCAGAGATCTATTTCAGCCTGCCCGATCATAGACGGTTATTTGTCCTGTAGGGTCGACGCAGATTATTCGCCACATGCCTGAGTGTAATCCATGGTCATTGTGGTGGTGGCCATTGTGCAGGGGCGGTCAAAGCAGTTATGTAGATGGGGCTTGCGTTAACGATCCTTCAGCGAGTCATAGCGGAAGGCTTATTATGGAGGGCTGCAGACGCCATGCGGCAACCGGTCCCTTGCCTCGTGTTCCGAAATCGATCCAATTGGATCTACCCGCTTCTCATCCATCTCATGCACCTCGCCCATGACACGTTCATTCATCTTCGTGGAGCTAACGTCGATGCGTTTGCTGCGGGTCGCAGATCGTCTCAAGATTGCGTGTACTCTGAGAATACAATGACAGGAAGAAACGTGCGGTCTGCTAATGTAACGAAGTCTCGGACCATCGCATCGTGGAGCGTGGATAAATAGCACAAACTGATGGAACACGGGGATGGAGAGGGAGAAGAGCTAGGAAGGAAGGACGACATCCAAAACCGGGAACGGTGCATGATGGATTATGGTGGGAGCGTAAGGTGAAGGAGGCGGGGAGTAGGACAACAATGCAAGTGAAGAGAGACAGAGAGTATGTCGATGCAGTAGGGCAGAAATACAATGCGGAGTGATCTATGACAGCAAACCTAGCAACTTGTCCTTGTCCATGGACTTCTCGGCGAGTCGTGCACATTGATCTGAGCTCATGCCGGAGCCCTTCATCATGATGGCCATAAGATCGAACGCCTTGGGAGCGTCGATCGCGACATCGTCGAGTATCTCGGCGGTTGGCATGAAGCCCTCCTCGAACGTCTCGGACGAGCACAGCTTCTTCTCGGCGGCGCGCTTGAACAGGTCGCCAACGAGTTGAGCGTCAGCCTCCTTGGATTCGATCGCCTTGGTGACGAGCTTGTCGACGAGGCGGAAGTGGTGCTGGGCTGGTAACCGGGTGAAGTAGTCCTCAGCCTCGTCGATGTTGCGAATACCAAAGAACTCTTTGACGTCCTCGTCGATCTTCTTGTTCGCGTCCGCCTCGGACATCTCGTTGGCAGCAGGCTCCTCCTCGTCCTCGGAAGGAGGCTCGGATTGCGCAGGTGTGCTGCCGGAGTCTTCGAGAGGCTTGGAGCGAGGGAGCAGTTGCAGTTTCCTCCGACCCTGAGAAGAATCGGTCGGCGCGTTGAGATCGACGCTCTGCTTCCGGCTGGGACCACGGGCAGCTTTGGGAGCAGCGGCTTCGGCGGCGGCTTCCGGGTTTTGACTGAGCATGGAGAACATGTTGGAAGTGGAGCTCGTCCGGGAGATGGACTCGCGCTTCTTGTCCTTGCCGGCAAAGACGCTGCTGGGACCGAAGGTCATCTGCTGCGCAGGCTTGTTGATCTTGCCGAACTGCGACAAGTCGCCGGCCTTAGGTGGCGGGCGAGTGGAGCTCGCGCCGCCAGCAACGGACCAACCGTCCGGTCCGACCTGAGGTACGTCCGTACGATCGCCTCCACGACGAGATCCACCACGGGACATGCTGAGTCGCGAATAATCTTGCGATTGCTCGTGAGCCGCCTGTGGGGAGATGAAGGTTAGAGCAAGGAACAGTCATTAGAGAGCGCAACGCACGTTTTGACGAATTTGGGCAATCGTGGACGGCGTCGCCATCTGGTTTCGGGGAATCCAGTTGCGCTCACGCAGCTCGATGAGATCCTAAACCACGTCATCAGCTCAGCTACGAGTGTCTCCGGATAACAAAGTTGGCATCACCTGCAACATGAACTGCATACGCGAGTTCACCTTCGGGTTCTTCGCGAGCTCCTTCATCCTGGCGAAGTAAATGTCCATGTGCGACCGCGCCTTGGGGCTATCGAGTTGCTTGCCGACGGTGGTGAGGAGCTTGCACAAACTCTCGATCTCCTCCTCTTCCGGGTTATCGACGTTTGCGAGCAACTTCTTCACGCACTCGTGCATAATACGCTCCGTCAGCATCTGCAGCTTGAACAGCTCGCCGATGAACTGGACGAGACCGAGGCCACGGCGCTTCGCCTTCTGGGCCGCGTAGTACTCGTCGGAGTACAGAGCGGTCTCGCCGTCCGCCGCCTTCTCCGCCTCGGCCCTCGCCGCCTCGTCGTCGCCAGCCTTGGCGGCGGCAGCAGCAGCCGCAGCGTCCTTCGCCGCCCAACCGCGCTCGAAATCCTCCTGACACCGGTTGAGGAGGTACTTCCTGAACAGCTGGCCACCCGCGATGGGCTTGTCGTCGGAGCGAATGCTCTCGTCCTGCACCTTGGGACTGATCCGCTCCATCATCTTCCGACACAGGCGAGCGTACATCTCGGACCACGCCGCCTCGTCCGTCGCCTTCTCGAACACGAGCCGAATGACCTGAATCAAGGTCCGGCCGTCCTTCTCCTTCTCGGACCGGTTCGCCCACTCGATGATCTGGTCCGAGATCGAGTCGAACTTCTCCATCGTGAGCTTGTTGAGGAGCGCCTTGACCTTCCGATCCACGACCTCGGGCGAATCGGGGTTGACGGGCGCCGGCCGCTTCGCCGTGCTCTGCGGCTTCCACGCGTTCTCCGACTTTTCCAGAGGCGCGACGGGCTCGAGCGGTTGCCCGTTGGGTCCGATGACGGGGAAGCCAGGCCCGAACGCGTTCGTCGGCGTCTGCATCTTGCCATCGTCCCGACGCGTGCCCTTCTTGCTTCGCGTGCGCCCCGAACTTGACCCGCCCTGGCTGGGGGTGCGGGTCATCGGCGCCGACCCTGGGAACCGAGCGGTGGCAGACACTGAGCGCGACTGCTCGAAACGCTCTTGGCTGGACAGCTTACTGCCAGGTGTGGAGAAGTTGCCCATGGCGAAGCCGGAGCCGCCCTTGCTGAAGCCGCCGATGCCGAGTCCGACGGAAGCTTGGCGGGACATTTGGGGTGGTGGCATCGCCGCAGAGCTGCGACGGCCCGAGCCGCCGCGGTACATGTTATGAGTCTGGTCTGCGGGCTCGAGACCGATGGCGTCGAGAGGAGGCAACATGTCGGGCTTTTCCTTGCAGACCGACATGAACTGCAAGAGGAAATCTCGGTCGTACCTGCAACAAGCACACGTATCAGTCTGATTCGAGCATACATGGCGCATATATACGCACCTGAACTTGCCGTTCTTGGCGTTGACGTTGAGTTCGACCTTCGGGCTTTTGATGCCGTCGGGATAGGAGATCGCGGTGATGTCCTCGATGATGCGGGCGGTGGCGAGCGCGGAGGGGAGCGGTTGCGAGATGTTCTGCTTCTGAGCAGAAGAGAGATCGAGGGGACCAGGGCGACGTTTCGGCAAGTGCTCAGATGCCGTAGGCGAGGCGACCTGGGTGTCGATTCGGAGTTTTTCCTTCGCCGCAGCCTTGGCCTCGGGGCTTTCCTCGACTTCGCCTTCCTCCTTTTCGGACGAGGAGGAGGCGGCGGCGGCGGCAGCGGCGGCGGCCTTCTCCTCCTCTGCCTTCTTCAGACGCTCCGCCTCCTCCTGCTTGCGCTTTTCCTCCTCCACCTTACGTATCCGCTCCTTCTCCTCCGCCTCCTTGGCCAGCCGCTCTTCCTCCTCACGCTTGATCCTCTCTTCCTCCTCGCGTTTCTTCCTCTCCTCCTCCTCCTTGCGTATCCGCTCTTTTTCTTCTTCCTCTTTTCGTATACGCTCCTTCTCCTCTTCCTCCTTGCGCAGGCGCTCCTCCTCCTCGCGCTTCTTCCGCTCCTCCTCCTCCCTCGCCTTGCGCTCGGCCTCTTCCTTCACCTTGCGCTCGGCCTCCTTCTTCCGCTCCTCCTCCTCGCGCTTCGCCTTCTCCTTCCTCTCCTCCTCCTCGCGCTTCTCCCTCTCCTTCTTCTCCCTCTCCAGCCTCTCCCTCTCCTCCCGCTCCCGCTTCGCCTCCGGCGTCTCCATCCTCACCACGCTCTTCCTCGACTCGCGCGTGCCGTGTCCGAGCACGACCGCCGGACTCGCCGACGGCGCCTTGCGCAGCTCGCCCACGTCGAGCTCGCGCCCGAGCTCGTCCTTGATCACGATCTTGCTCGCCGGCCGGCCGCCGGGCACAAACGCGTTCGCGTTCGAGTTGAGCCGCCCGGCCGGGCCGCCGGGCGTCGGCGGCGCGTTGATCGACGGCCCGGAGGAGGACGAGGGCGAGGGCGAGGGCACCGCGTGCGCCTGGGTGGGCGTGCCGGGCGTGTGCAGGTGCGCGGCGGGGTTGCGGGGCGACATGGGCATGCCGCCGTGTTGGGCGCCGGGCATGCCTTGCGGCGGGGCGTGGTGAGGCGGCGGGAGGTGTTGCGGAGGGTGCATGGGAGATTGCATCTGCCACGGGGCGGGGGCGCCGTAGGGGTTCATGTAGTGTTCGGGAGGCGGCATGCCCCCGTAAGGCTGGTACTGTTCGCGCATGTTCTCAGTGCCCGTTCCCCCGCTCATGCTGGGAATGAAAGACCACTCACGTAATAACCTGGCCATCCGGGCACCATGGTTTGAGGGGTCTGGGGAGGAAGACCTGGGGTAGGAGCGGGGTGCGGGTGAGGATGCGGCGTCGTCATTCGCGGGCTGGGCAAGCTCGCGTTGACGGACGACGGCGTGGGAGGGCCGTTCGGCCCTGGCGGCCTCTGGCCGTTGCTCATCTGGCGCGGATATACGGGCGACCGTGGTGGTTGCCCGGGTACGCCGTTAGCGCCATTCTGTTGCGGCGGCGGCCGGAAGCCGGCGCTGGGCACGAAGGTGGTGTAGCCGTGAGCGCCCAGAGGCGAGGGGGAGGCGGCGGGCTGTCCCAGGTTGCTGGCACTCGGAGGCAGCTGTTGAGGCGGCTGTGCAGGTGACCGCGTGGCCGAGTCGGAGGCGGGTGGTGTGGAGGACGAGGGCGTCGGGGCGGAGGTGCTGGGTTTTTGGAACAACTTGGCGATATCGGCCTTGTTGATGACCGGCTTATGGGGCGTGGACGGGGTCTGGGGTGTCGCTGATGCGCCGGCGGCTGCCGATGATGCGGCGGCTGTATTGCTGGCGGTGCTGGTGCTGGTCGACGGCGTCGGGGGTGCGGGCTTGCCGTTGGGCTGCTGTTGCAGCTGCTGCGACGGCGGGGTATCTACGGTTACGGAGCCGAACTTCTTGACGCCACCCTGGGCCTTGATAGGCGCGGGTTGTTGCGCGGGCGAGGACGATATGGGCGCGGATGCGTCGTCTATGGACCCGAAGGTCACGGAGGGTGCTAGAAAAGACGGAAAATGCGTGAGCTTGCGTCAGCGCGCGGATGAGACGCGCGGATACGGACCCTGCTTCGCGGGGACGTTGCCACGGGCGGCGGGGTTGACGGCGACACCATCCTTTATGGATACGCCCTGGCTCAGCGTGCTGGGCCTGCGGGAGTGTGTGCCGGTGCTGGGGAGGGGGGCATTGGAGGACGCGGGCGACTGGGTGCGGGCGGTGCCGGGGACCGGGCGAGGAGAGCTCGGGCGGGCGGAGGTGGGGGTTGCTGTGCGCGGCGACGATGCGGACGTCGGGGGACCCCTTGCCCACGCAGACTTTGTCGAGAGCGACGGCGGTTGTTTTGAGCCTGAAGCGGTTGAAGATTTGCTCATCCTGGTCGTGCGATGAGTCGGGGGCGGGGGCGCAACGGGCGCAGGGGTGGGGAGGGGACGTACGAAAAGGATTTTGTATTTTCGTCGCGTGTGGTCGGTCGTAAATATGACCTGCCAGCAGGCGAACAAGTAGTCGCAGTCGGGTGTGGCTTGCTGAGAACGGACAGAGGATGTCCGCCGAGGTTGTCCAAGGACAAGGACAGAGGCTGAGCCACCTCCGATTTTTCGCAAGCCACCCCCGCCCGTCCCCCGGCCACCCCTGACTCACCCCACCGGCCTCACGCCGCCACGTGGTCCACCGCCTGAAACCCTCAGCGTGCGAGGAGGCGATTCGTCGGCACCAGTAGTATAGCACAGCTCCGTAGGCGCCCAGGGACCCCGGCCACGCCTGCATAGCAGCTCGTGGCCGTTGCCGTAGGGCATGACGTTCTATCGTGCTCTTCATTCAGCCAGCTGCAGCCCGACCCCTGGGTCCCCCGAGGCGATTCATCACGGCCCATCTCAACGTGCACGAGCAACGGTCGTCTGCATGCCGATCTCATTCGCCTTCATGTCCGCCTTGCGACTAGACGCGATCACAGCTCTCACCAGGGCTCCCTTCAAATCTCCGACTCTGTATGCATATCACTACTGTACTCGCCTCACCTCAACCACCTGCTACGTTCCAAATTCATCGGCTTGTGACCATGACGTTTCCAGCCACATCCTCGTGCGAACCCGAATAATATCCACTTTTGAGATACCAGAGCAAGCCCAGGTAACCTACCTGCCTATACCGTCCCGTGCGGCAGCGCTCGGCACTGTGACGCTTGGCCATACCTACAGGAACGTGAATCCTGTCATTGACAAAGTCCGAATCAGCCACAGACGAGCAACTGTTTCCGGTGGATGGTGGACGGTCGGGACCAAGTATCGAGCGGTATGATCATGCAAAAAACCCTCGGCACAATCCAAGACCTGTTGCAATATTCTATTGTCGCATGGATTGTATGTATTGCACGTGTACAAGATGATAATGCAGAGAGACAGAGACGGATGAGAGAGGGCAGAAACGCAACGAGCATATTAATGCAACAAAACCAAGAAGAAACCTCTAACAGATGAGTGAATAGCGCGTGCCTATATGCTAGGTGGCATGTGCACGCCAAGCCGACCGGGAGCTTAGACGACCTCGAAGGCCTTCCCGCCCGCCGCGGCGTCGAGCCGGATGACGTCGTCGAGGCCCATGACGCCGAAGAACGCCTTCGGGTCCATGCCCTGCGCGGAGCTGAAGTCCGTGCCCGTCTTTTTGAGCAGGTGCATCGCGTTGCGGATGCCGTGGTACGCAGCGACGCACGACACGAGCGAGAAGACTGCGAGGGACGTGCGTCGTCAGCAAGCCGCTCGCAGAGGCACACACGAGATCCTGAAGCACTCACTGATGATCTTCGCGCCCATCTCCTCCGCCTCCTGGCACGTAAACGACGGCGTCAGGCCGCCCGAGATGACGTTCACGAGCACCGGCTTGGGCGCGAGCTCCCCAACCGTCTTCTCCAACAACTCCTTCGTGCGCACGCCCTCGATGAAACACACGTCCGCGCCCGCCGCCGCCGCGAGCTTCAGGCGGTAGATCGCCTCCTCCATCCCGAGCACCTGCGCCGAGTCCGTCCGGCCGATGATCACAAAGTCGGACCCGCCCGGAATCTGGTCCCGCGCGATGACCGCGGCCCGGATGCGGGTCACGAACTCCTCCCGAGACACCACCTGCTTCCCGAGCAGGTGTCCGCAGCGCTTCGTCTGCACCTGGTCCTCGATGTGCAGCGCCGCGACGCCCGACTTGGCGTACTGCCACACCGTGCGGGCAACCATGGCAGGACCGCCAAAGCTACGAGCGCCCGGTCGAGGTGAGAATCGGGAAGAAAAGCAAAGAAGAACGAGGAAAGCTGCTTACCCAGTGTCGGCGTCGGCGATGACGGGCATCGTCGGGTCGAGGCTGCACACCATCTGGGCGGCTTGAACGAAGTCGTTCAAAGTAGCAATCGCCAGGTCGGGCATGCCAAGGCGCGAAGCGGTCGTGGCAGCGCCACTAGAAGAAGGCCCTCATATTAGCCTGCAGAACGCTTCTCGTGTACGAACGCAAATTTACCTTTGGTACATGCAGCTGAAGCCGGCCTCGATGGCGCAGCGCGCACTGATACCGTCACAGATACCGGGGGCAACGACGATACCAGGGCGGGCGAGCAATTGCCTCAGCCTCGTCGCGGGGTTGTGCGAGAGCGGGCCCTCAAGGAAGTTCTTGGGGTCAAGACGAGGGTTGTAGTACCACTCAGACTGGGGCGGAGGTGCGGGGATGCCATTGCTGGCAGCCTCGGAGCCGGCAACGTCGATCTTCGGCTGCTGAATCGGAGCCTCCTCGGGGGCAGGCTTGGAAGGCGGGAGCTCCACGATCGAAGGGGCGGGGGCGGCCGTCTGCTCGTTCTTGAAGAGGTCGAAGCCGGGCATTTTGATGAGGAATCGAGAGAGGGATTTAAGCATGCAAATGCTGGCGGGAGGGCCGGGAGCTGGTGAGGAATCCCTTCTAACGCTCGGTCGGGTGCCTTTATACTCGAACCCGTCCACTATGTCCGCGTAAGGGTGCATCACTGGACCTGCGAATGTCGGCGAATGGGCTCCTGGCGTGTCGGCGGGTGGAGCGAGAAGCTGCGCACTGCGTGCTTTCTCTCATCAGAGTGTTACCGATCTCCTAGTTCTTCTGTCGCCCGACCGCATGCCAAGACGAGCCCGATGAGCTCGGTCCATTGGCGAACAATGTAGCTTCCGCGGACGTGAGACTGCGCCGGTCGACCGACGAGATACGCAAGACGATTGCCCGGCATTCAATACTATTGGTCCCGCGAGCTCAAGATAGGCCGCACATCGGCGAGCAGAGGACCAAAGAGGGATAAGGTCTAGGCGCAGATCTTGGCCCTTCCATCCGCATCGCAGTTGAGACCGGAGATAGAAGACTGCTACACCCACCGACCGCCCATGGCGGGGCACCTTTGTCGGGCTTGGCATCGGTTGGAAGAGTCGAAAATAGGCACACCGACTCCTGAATAGGCACGAGAGAGGTGTCATCCCGGTGCAGGTTTACGCTGCGTCGAATAGATTAGATGTCGCGGATGTGAAATAGATTGGGATCTTGAGAATAAACGACCGCGCGTATTGACATATCAACTTTGGATCCTACGCCCAGTGGGTTAGCGACGACAAGCGCAAGCCATCTCCCATTCCAGGCGTAGCTTACCATAGTATTAGAGTGGAACCGTGGTCCACTTCCCATAAGAGTCAAGGAACCAGGTTCATTGCGTGAGTGTAACACGTTCGGTGTTAGAGCGGAACGCCAAGGCCGGGACGAAAAGCGACGTCCGTTGTACATGGCGGCGCCGCGGCGGAAAGCGATCGGTCCAATCCTCCGGCAACAAACGTCATCTCTAAGCCAAGTCATGATCGAATTCCGGCTGGTGAAGTATGGATGTCGTATACACATATGCATGACAACCCGGGGTTACTCTTCGAGCGACGCCGGTAAGATCGCGGTTTGACTCAGGAATCAATTGGTGGACCCTCTGAGTCGCAAAACGCGAGCGTCGGGGCCGATGCAGATATAGACCGAAACACCACAGGAGGCATCCGAGAATAGAAGGCTTCGAGTAAACGGCACACGTCGGTTCGGTGATGGTGGGAGGACCTGTGAGGACCGACACCTGAGAATGAAATACGTCGAAGGCAAATGAACGCGCGCCGATGTGCTTCGTGGAAACCGTGAGAGTCTGCCCGCGCCTCTCTCTCTCCCGCGCACCACTTCCACCACTTCGACCGGAGCGCACAAGTATAGGAGCTCGCATCGCGCACTCATGCCGTGCTTCAACATCGACATTTCTCCTAGGATTACGTTGGTCGTGAAAATCCCTATCGCTGATGACGAATTCATGCTCCGAGTACCCCTGTCGCGGCGATATACTTACCTGGATGGACTTCAATATGCGGGTAGAAATTGGGTGGTTCTCCTATGTCGGAATTGCAGCTACTCGCGCTTTTTGGTGTTTGCGTATATTATCTCCCTTAACTGGATACTAAGTGGCAAGTCTTTGCCCAATTCACTCACCAGCCTCATGTTGTCACAGCTTTCGCCACTTACGTCGAAGAGGACATTGAACGCGGATATCTGGCCGGAGGTCTTTTGGTCCCGATGGTATGCGGAACGGACGCTGCTTACCTGTCTGGTGCTCTCTGCTCGTCTTGGGGATACCACGCAGCAAACTCGACGTCACTTGAATCTCGGCTATCTCCAAACCGCAACAGACAGGTTCCGTAGCAAGATATATCGGAGATCGCTAGGTGAATCACCCTCTTCAATGGCCAAGCTAGTCAATCGGCGGAGTCGCCCAGCGGGGTGGATATTGTCGCAAATCACTCCTCTTTCATGAGACTCAATAGACTTAGCGTTGTCAAGGTGGCAAAGCCGATCGCAAGAAGGATGGTCATAATCATACAGGTTACTTGCTCATCATAACTGACAACATCCGATAATCAAGTGGACCTCTATCAGGTGAAAATGCCTATGATATCGATATCCTATGCATTTCTGCGCTGACCGAGCCTGCTGTCAGTGTCGGCATGGAGTTATCTGTGTCTAACGCCACTCTACGCCCGTCTCGCATCGGCAGCTATGGCTGATGGATTCCTGCCGTTCGTTCGGTCTATCATCGGCCAAGGTTCGCTGTCCGCGGTCTCCTCTTCAGGAACCCGGATTTGTTGTGCTCGTCACTCCTTTTACAGTCACTTCGCAGAAGAAGAATCTACGGCTTGTTCATCGCTATCACATCCTTCGATCCCTCGTTCCATGAACTCCCTCCGCCTTGGCATGTGAGATTGCCTACGGCAGTACGGAAGGCTCGGGTGCGAGGATAATCATGGTCCAGTTCCTGAGTAAGGGTGATTCCAATGACTCTCCACAAAAGACGCACGGCGACGGGACATCGGCAATGAGAAAGGGTCCATATTTACAGGGCTGCTCGCCACTATTGAGGTATGCTGCGTTCTGGCACCTGCGAACTGGTTGTTCTGTCCCCGCTCTGGAATCATCGCACTCCTCTAGAGCGGAGCTCCCGAGGTCCACATCGTCTGTCACCCTGTGTCGGATTTCTGCCGTCCATTGGCTGATGGGAATCCGTACCTGTTGGCAAAGTCGAATGCGTGAGACCACATTCTTAGCTCTGACCGCTGCTTTCACGGATCGGGTGGATCTTCGGAGTTGTATCCCCCCACCGTGACCCCGAGGCTGACATTATCCAATCTAGTTACAGACTCTTGCCCGCTTTTCCGTCTGCGAGAAGAATGGACGTCCTAAACCTACCTTTGAAAGCCCGAGTGCGCTGGCCCGTGACGGCATACGTCTTGACTCTTGGGACGCCATCTGTAGGTACCGGCGTGTCCGAACGATGGGTCCGAACGACGGGTTTATAATTAGTAGGCGCTCTACTCGATGGTATTCTTGGCTCATGCACGATCCTCCTACCGCTCTTGAATGTTAATCAGCGCTACATCCCGGCAGAAGGAACGGCTGGCGCCTTGGCCGGGTATCAGCGTACACGGGCAGCACCCTCACGTACTCCGCCTACATCAGATTATCGTTGAATCCCACTCAAGCAACACCGTACAAAGCGGTAGCAGCAGACTCCGCTCGGGAAGGCTCAGCCCATAAGGCAAGTATGGAATTGAGAGCGATACGGTAGGAACGAGACAAGACTCAACATAATGACGCAGAAGTACAGTCGCAACAGTTCTCAGGGCTGAGGATGGATTGGGGACGATATGGTAGCGCTTTGTTCTCTGTGTGGAACGGTCGGTGATCGCACAGGTCCTTCTTCCCTTAATGGCGCCTTAGAGGCTGCCTCGGCCTTGCTCGCCAACAAGGCTGCATAGGGATTGACTACCGCATAATGAGGTCAGCATTCGGCGATCCACCCATGCCAAGGACTTACGAGATCCCCATGACGCCGGCGCCGCATGTTGAGGCTGTGGAAACGTTGGCATGGCCAACGGTGCTTCACTAGCGGCATCAGAGCTCGAGGGCATGGGCGGAGCGTGGAGCGCTCGTTGGAATGCCTCCAGGCCTCCGCGTCCATCTAGTGCTGCATCAGACGTCGAGCTGGAGGGTGAGGACGGAAAGCTTGGGGGGCCATCGAATCCAGAGGGAGCGTGAGGTCCGTTCGGCATGGCAGGTGGAGGGGGACCCTGTGGTGGGGCGTACGTGGGAGGCGATGCACCCCCGGTTGCCAAGATGCTTTGAAAAGTTTGCCGTCGGTACGCATCCAGTTCTGAGCGCAGTCCGTTCAGGCGAGTGGAAGCACCTATGGCTGCTTGGCCAGCAGACTCGGCACGAGCGCTTGCGACTTGGAGTTCGTATTGGAGCTGCACCGATCATGAGTATACAATGAGACAGTAGACTGACAGGATCTAACCTGTTCATGGCTCTGGCGGAGACTCCTGGTGGAATCCTGGATCTTATCTGCAGAGAATGTACTTAGGAAATGGTTGATACTATCACGGTGAGCCTACCATGAAATGCCAGGTCGCTGAAAATGTTGTCGAAATAAACGTCCATGAGACCCCTACATCGAAGAGGGTAAATTATCGTTCAGGGGAGAATATGTCGCCAAGGCCTACTTACCCTTGGGCTACTTCAAGCCGTCCGATTGGCTTGATAACAGGCTGGATTCGTCGGGCTTGATTAACCATCATCTCAACTTGCCTAGCTTGGTTTTGCTGATGGTGAGCACGCGTGAGACGACGTTCTCCATGATGAATGTGAGCTATCGTACCGCCATATTCAAAGAAGACCGCTCCATGACATCCGCCATCCTGCTAATATATTAAACACCCCATAGTCGAGCACGCCGCCAGGACGTACGGGCCACCGAACCCCCATATATCTATGGTTACGCCGTCTGGTAAGACCGATTTGACACCTCGAACCCGAACAGATCGGAACTCACCAGCCTGGCTACTGCTCAAAGCTTCGCTCATGTTCGCCAGACAACCTCGCATTGCTTGCTCGGCGTCAGATAATATACCTGCCGCCTGTGCCTCTGTATTCAGGATACTCTGGGCCCGCGCGTATTCATCCTGCGCTGCCGCCACCCGGCGTTCCAGGACATCTTCCTCCGGCGCATCTGCATACGAAGATCAGCGTCATACAGGAAATAATGCATCATACCAACCTGGGGTTGGTCCCTGGAAGATGGATTCGTATAGTTGCTTGAGCTCCGCTTGATCGAGCTCATTCCTCCTTGCGACCTCGATTAGCTGCGATTTCTGCGCAAGGTCATTGGACCCTGGGTCAGCAGTGCTCATTAAGGGAATTATATCAATGAACATACGATACGGTCTGCCTCAGCCAAGTCGGACTTCAATTTATCTCTTCGTTGCTTCTCTTCGATCTCCCGTTGCAAAGCCTCCAGGTACTCTCTGTCGTAAAAGCTTCCTCAGAAGTGTACATGGCATAGCTTCGTATGATGCTCACCTTTCCTCCTTGCTCGCCTTGGCCTTGAACTTCTCCCCTTGACCGACGATCTTGTGAGCAAGCTTCCTCACATTGGAGTCACGCATATGTTCGTGTTCCACGCGCTCTTTCTTCGTCTTCTGCTCTAGCCAGGTAATCGCTTTCTCGCATTTAGCCAACTCTGACTGCAGATCTTCTATATAGCCTGTCTGCTGCTCCAAAGCTGGGTTTGCGTAATCCGTCTCTGCAATGGACGCCAGAAGCCGAGCATGATGAGGGGCCGCGGAGAGGACGTGCTGAACGAGAGACATGGCGAGCGTCCAAAGACTGGGCAAACAACAACATCCTGGGGTCGATCATGGTCGCCCTTATAATCATTCCATGCTATTGAAGCGATAACAATGTGTGCGGAACAGGGTGGAACCTTGATTGCGGGTGGACTGTGATAGATTCGTGCACAGCCAGATGAAGGCTGTGGAGGCGGTTTTGTGGCCGCTTTAGGGTCAGTTGAGTATAGGTTGAGTAGCATCTGCGATGCGTTCTCGTCTCTGACCTCCTCACACGATACCGGGAGAGAAACACTGCTTGAGAGGTCAAGCCGACCGGACAGGCGATGTCTGGCAACGGCGGGCGTTTTAGCCCCTACAAACAGGCCCTAGCCGCCCTGGCGGCACGCACTGGGACCCCCGTGTCGTCGTTGATCGTCTCCTTTGGCATACTTCATGAGCTCACTGCCATCCTACCCATTGCTGGTTTCTTCTACGGCGCCCGGGCCTTTGGCGTTGGCGACCGCCTTGCCGATCCTCTTCGCCGCCTTGAATCCGAGGCTGGACATGCTCGTGATGCTCAGATTTCTGGCGGAACGGAGGTGAAAGGCGCCGAGGTCGCCGTCGGAGATTGGGCCACGGAAAAGACACGAGAATGGGTGCATGACGGTGGAATGTGGGCAGAACGCGTCGGAAGGCGATATGGACTCTTTGGCTTCGAGAAGGGGAGCAAGCCGGGGGAAGGGCCGAGCTTAGCTCAGGTTGGCCCGAAGATCGCTGGGGATGTCGCGAACGTCGTCATTGCATATGCTGCAACCAAGGTGGAGTCATGTTTTCTCTGTGTTTGCTCTCCATCTCATGCGTGTTGTGTTGCAGGCACTTCTTCCTGTCCGAATTGGACTATCCTTGTACCTCACCCCTGCCTTCGCCCGAAGGATCGTGGACCCTATCCGTAGTCAGCTTATGTCCCCATTCCGACGCAAACAATGACATGCTCTTCGGATCCTCCAAGTGATTCTAACCGTGCCAATACCGTCCGTTAGCTCCACAAACTGAGAGGCTATCGTCCAAGCACGGCTTCTGTGCGTTCGTCGGCACAAACCGCACCCGGGAGTCATGCGTAAGGGTTAGCCTATCTGCCTTCATCTTGGCTCACACGATTCTTATGCAGCAGTCTGTGCGATCTCCGGTCTGGAGTTCCAGTACCTGGAACAAATCGTCCGGCGGTTTGTTGAACCATCACAATTGAACCTGTAGGCGGTCTTTCTCGCGTTGAAACATGAATGAGTTGGCGACAGTGCCAGTGCATCATCAGTCTAGCAAACGGCGAAAACAACGCCTGAAGCGTGTTCTGGAGCGGTGATGCTGCTAGTGCGCCTTCGCCCATTCCTCGTGAACGTTACAGAATGTCGCTTCGGCCTGTCTCGGCTGTATCAATAATGACTCGCTTGGTGATCCAGTTCGTATTTCCTTTCTGATAACGGCGTAAAGCGCTCGTATTTTCGCTCCATCCTGCAGTTACCAGCGGCTCAAACGAAGTTGTAAGCATGCTGGCGAAAACCACTCATTGGCAAAACGAGGCACTAGCCAATCACTACCGCCTTGAACGTTTGAAGTTGATCGCGATAGGCAGAGCACGCCATAATGACAGTTGTCCCTACGGATGCTGCAGGGAACTGGACACGTCGTCCGTTGACGACTTGGAATTCTTTCCTCAATATCATAGAGATCGTGGGTCCCCAGGTCAGCGCTGCATAGCATCACCTCGTAAAGAACGATCTAACATCTCAGGGTGTGCTTCTTGGAAGCCTACAAGCATGTAGGCACTGAGTCTGACCCTTTGTCAGAGGCACCGGTTGTCGCATCTACGGCTATGACGTCTTAACGATCGGCTCAGATTATCGAAGCATCGGTCCACCATCGCGGAGCACACGTTTTCCGCCAGCTTACACCGAAATTGCTCCGGGAACACGGCTCGTCGATTCCATGTATACCACGTACGTTCTCGGTCGTGATTCCGCTTGTCAGATACTGCTCCTGATGCGTGCATGCCACTAGTCTCATGCGTACTCGTCGCCCTTCATCCAACCCAGTTGCCGCCACATGTTCAATTTGTCCCACTCTTTGATGAAGCTCTTGATCTTGCCGTCTCGCACCTCGAAGATTGCCGCCGCGGTCCAATGTGCAGTCCGGCCAGTCGGCTGATCGCCATTGTGAGGTTGACCACAGTGCGAACCTGTCGCCGCGTAGCGCAGCAGGACATGTCCGTCCTTCGCAAAGAGCACATCGAAACTCTTGATATGCAAGTCCGCAATCGACTATCACCGGGTCAGATGCCATGCGCTGACCTCAGCCTTGGCCTCTCGATAAAGAACAAGAACGTACCTTCATAACTTTTGCATGGGAGTCTGCATAATCGAGCGGCGTGCGACCTTCCGGGAACGTGGTCGGTGCAGCGAACGTAACTTCATCAGCAACCAGATGTTCGACGGACTCGCGCCCCTTGTTATCTAGGGGGAGTAAGCGATAGACATTTACTCCGTCACGATCCTGATGTTCTCCTGCGTAGTTTGCCGAGGAAATGAGCAAGCACGAGCAGATGTCAACGTGTGGAATGCGCCAGAGAGTACGGACTAGGCACACCTCTTCTGCAGGCGTTTGAGGAGCACGCACTTTGATTGGGGTGTATAGCGGACAGTCGTCTTCAACGTCGATACAAAGTGGCGTTCTCCGTTATACTGATGAGCTCCAGGCAATGTCGCCCCGGTTGACGTCATCCGAGCGTGGAGGGAAGAAGTTTGTCGTGGGTCTAATTCTGGTGGTGCCGGTGAGCCCTCATGCCTGTTGTCATGCACAAGACCGACAAATGCACCATTCAGAGAAGCGGCGAGGATTCAAACCTCTACAAAGGCACTTCATTCCGGAGCGCTCCCTACCGAATTGCCGCTGACTGGGATTAGAAGGTGCCTCGCACTAGTAGTCAAGCGCCTGAGGAACGCGAGGCTCACATCGCGCCGGTGTGCATCCGCGATACCATTTTGGCAAGGTCCGCTGAGTTGGAATGGCCTCACCTTGGCTTACAGCTTCATATGGCCAGTTTTCAACCATACCACCCGCCTCGTGTGTCACCCGGCAGCTCGTCGTGCCGTGTCACTTAGGTCAGACATCAGCAAAGCATCTTACCTGCTTGTTGTGGATTTCTTGTTCCCTTGCCGAGTATGCCTTGCCAGTATATAATGGGACCGTCATATGCCCCTTCTGATCCTGCGCATTACATTTCCACCCACGCTTTTGAACTCCATGCATATGGTGGATCCGTTCGCTCAGGACACGAGCACCATCTGCTCGTTCTGGGACGCTATTCTCGCTACCGCCTTCTTCAGATGCTGGCATCTTATCCTCTTCTTTGCTGGCTGGTCTACGGCCGTGTCCGTCATCAGCCATAATGTTCATTCTTTGTCGATACAGCCGACTCTCCTCACAGCGTACGGATGGCACAATTCTGCAGTACTGTGTTCTGATAACGTTTGCAGGCTTGGAACCGTTCTCGGATTCGTCGTTTCCTGCAGAACCACGTCCAGCTTCGAACGATACAACGAAGGCCGGAAATATTGGGCTCAGATCGTCTTGAGCACCAGGACATTGTCGAGGACGATCTGGTTCAGCGTTCCTGGTGAATCTTTCGCTGCCATTCTCCTTTCTGACGCTGACCGTGCATACTTTTTAGACACCGTTGAGGGGAACTTCACTGCAGACGAAGCGAGAACACGTGCTCTGATTGAGAAGAAGACTGCCATTAACCTGCTAGAAGCTTTCGCAGTCGCTGTTAAGCATTACCTCCGCGGAGAGGAAGGAAGTACGTTCGTATTCGGGCACGTGAATTCACGGGCTGATCTTGCCAACAGTTCACTACGTTGACCTCTATCCCCTGGTCAAATACTTACCTGGTTATGGACTTCCGCCCGGAATGCCCTCCATGGATAAAGTGAATGACGAAGACGTTATTTCCTCCCTTCAGGAGAAGACCGCATTCGACGAAGCTACGATGACTGAGAATGCATCGCACCTAAAGACTGGACTCAAGATTATCATTTCACCTCCTCCGTCCACCCTTGCTGTTCCGTCGACAATCAGACCGAGTGGTACACGCTCAGGCAATCTCAGTGTCGCTGCCTCGCCTTTGTCTCCTAAATCGTTCCGGAGCGCTAGAGTTCCACCGTCGGTTTCTACCTTCGCAAGCGAGAATATACTCCTTCCAGCGCGCATGCCCCCAAGATACGCTTTGCTGGACTTCTTTCCTTTCTCCCTGCTCCTTAAACCGCTCGATCACCAAGGCAAGGAGTTGAGAGGCAAAAAAGCTGCCCGATTGCGGGCGAAGAGAGTGGGGCGCGAACACTCCCAGAATATCCCGCTCGAGATTTCTTTGTACTTGGTCCGTCTATGATGTTTGCTCAACACTACCCCACGTTCATCGAACTTCGTCGCATTTAGGGATCGTATATCGCCACTCTTCGTGTGTTGAACTGTTTTTGCCCTGTTATCACCGACTAATTCTCCGTAACAGAACAGCGAAAAGTCATGGAAACGCCCACTTGCAGTACGTCATCTCCCTGCCTGACATGATCTCCGCTTACTTTCATCTAGATTTACTACTCAATTGTCTAACCCAGCTCGTGGACGCCTTGACTGGTCTAGAACGCATACTTACCACTCCTATCCCATTTTCGTGAGTTCAGGGCCTCTACCTGGGCTTCGGTGGTGAACTTAAATTCATAGTTATTCTGCCCATTTATGGTCAGTGACGTGGATCTATTGTTTCTTTTTGGTACGCTGGAACGATCTGTTTGGAGTCTCTCTTGTATATTCTAATTTCGTAGCCCTTCCAACTGTATGCCATGCTCGGCTGGCTCACGATTCCTGGGACCACGCTTGTGGTGGGTGCTATTCAGCATGCATTCTGGAGTGACACGAACACCTAACGGCGCATCAGTCTTTCATTTTTTTCGGCTTTCTGGCCATGGGCGACGAGATTGAGAGTGAGTGGTCTTTCATGCTTCTCGTGGAAGCTCAACTCATTTCGTCAATGTAGATCCCTTTTGTGAGTTGTTCGAACATCCACTCCTGCTTCCGGACTCAGGCTGAAACGTCGTCAGCGTATGAGAGGAACGACCTGAACCTAGATCATTTCACGCAGACCATCATCCGTACGCACCTGTACCGCTATTCACATCGACCGCAAAGCTGAACTATTTCGCAGATAATGAGATAGTGGCAATCACGTCGACGCCTATGCCACAGGTGTCTAACTGGGCATTTTCGCCTTCCAACGATGCACTTGCACGACCTTGCGGTGTAGACCCAGTCCAGCGTGTCACCCCCGAAGAATGGCTACGACGAGGCTCCGCATGCATGCTAGCGGCCTTGGCGAGCTAACGTTGTAGGAGGAACCCAGACCAAAGTCTCTTCACTCTAAATCCTGCGGTTCGGGACGTTTAGGGAACCTATGTACCTATGAGACTTGAGATGTTTTCGACCCGATCGAGCTGCTGGTAGCTACCCATGTGTATTATTGTGACTGCGGGCATATGCTATGTTTATAGATTAATCCCGATCTACAAGCGTTCCCCGGGGGGAGGGTGACGGAGGGTGCAGTGTTACGAAGTATGACCCATCATCGCCAATGCCCAAATATGTCGAATAGCCTTTCGCTAATCTTCTTCGGCTTGGAAGCTGGTTGACCTTCACCAGTATTGCCTGGACCGGATTTGCCGAGTGAACGACGATTGTGCGTCCGGTCAAGAGCAAGGTCGGCCTCTCGTTCCCGTTGCGACTCGCCAGCCAGCTTGGCTTCGTACTCCGCTTTGGCTCTTTCATATTCTGCCTTCTCTATCGCAGCTAGACGGATGGCGCGGCGTGCTTCTTCCCTTTGCAGCTTGTTCGATTTCGGCGGTACTGCGGCAATCTCGACGGTCTCCTCGAGCGGCTCGGAGGAAGATTGCGAAGTGTTAGACGTTGAAGTTGAGGTTGACGGGGGAGGTGCGGTAGATGCGGTAGACCTTGACGTGGCAGCGGCCGCAGCTCTCGCATTGTTGAAAGCTTCCAACAGAGATAGAGGTTCTTCCCGCTGTGCAGTAGCAGTTGGTGAGGTGAAAGCTGCCAGCTCGTCCTCCGTGGCCCCACCAGCTTGCGCTTCGGCAGTGTCCCTTTGGATAGCGTCCACTGGAGGCGGCATGCTGTCACGGAGCGCTTTCCAGTTTTCCATCGCTGCGTCCCACAACGGTCTCGTATCGGTCTGAGGCGGAGCAGACATTGAGGTCGCAAATCCGCCCCACGTTATGAAAGCGCGACCGAAGCCTTCGCGCGTCCGCTCACTACGTCTAGGGCGGCCGTGTTGTAGGCTCGAACCAGCCGGACCATCTCCACGCGCTACAGTCATGCTTGTTGAGTTACAACTACGAGTACCAAGGGCAAAATTATGCACTGACGCGACCGTATGATGCGCACGTCTAGCAACTTTGGCTCTGCATCAGCCTTGGCACTGATGGACGAAGCGCTTCCGGGAAGAATGTACGAGTGAATGTGTTCACGACCGATTCCTCCGAACTGTTCCACAAACGTCGGAACCCGCGCCGGAGCTTCTACCTGCATGTCTTCACCTGCCTCAGGAACTTTTGCTATGGCCTCGGAGTCCTTAAACGTGGCGAATAGGAATGGCGCATAGAGATCTGGTCTGTCGTCTCGCTGAGGAAACATTGAGGTATTGCGTAGCAGTCAGCCACTATACAACGCACCCGGACTAAGCGGTATTCCTGAACGGGGCCATATTTTCGTTCCACTGCCTGGACGATGGCCAGGCCTTCTGGCATAGAGCTGATCCCATTCCAGGACTTGACGAAGACAGTCCGTTCAGACCGCGCCCGTCCCGTTGGGACCGCTCGCTCGGTAGATGGCATTGAGGTGTTAGCCTCCGTCGCCATTGCGCGCCATGCTTGTCTATGAGCGACGTTTGCGCGCGCCAAGCCGCGCGTTGAGGCCAGCATATCCAAGTAAACTGCAAGTCGCTCTGCCGTCACGAGGACGCACGGCAAGCACTGAACAGCCCACAATACCGTGACTAGCAGTGATGGTGCATTGATACGCGCACTGACGTTGCCCGCATGTTTTTCCGTTTTGCTCTCAGTTCCGTCCTCCGCCCTCATACTTCGCCCTACCTCACCCTCCCTCGACCAAGGATCACTCGCGTGAGGTCGATAGCACAACGCAACATGGCCGACAATAGCAAGGGAAAGGCTTGGCCCCTTGCCGACGCCGACCTTACTAACCAAGTACGCTCTTGTTCACCTCTTCTACGGCGCTTCGCTCATCCTTTCTGCTTCAGATCATGGACTTGGTGGAGCAAGCATCTTCATATAAGCAACTGAAGAAGGGTGCCAATGAAGGTCTGTTGTTTGGGCTATGTTGCTCTCGACATAGCACTCATTGCGTCATGAATAGCGACCAAGACCCTCAACCGTGGTATCGCGGAGTTCATCATTTTGACGGCAGACACCGAACCTTTGGAGATCTTGCTTCATCTGCCGTTGCTTTGCGAGGAGAAGGCGCGTAGATTATTAGAAGGCTAGTTCAACCGCTCTAACCGTATCCCATCCTCAGAACGTCCCGTACGTCTTCGTTCCCTCGAAGGTCGCCCTGGGTCGCGCCTGCAACGTTTCCCGGCCTGTAATTGCTGCGAGCGTCACCACCAATGAATCTCGCGAGCTGCAAAGCCAGATTCAAGCCGTCAAAACTCAGATCGAGAAACTCATCATTTGATCACCCTCATATGCTGCTGTTTTCGATATTGCTCTTGCTCTACTCCAATGCCAAAATCCAAAGCTTGAACCAGGCTCAGTGTGGCCTGACCATGAGGGTTGCATAGCTTCAGAGAGCGCCCGCAGTCGTTGCGCTCATAAAGCGATTCGATGCGCCGGCTTCAAGGCAGAAAATTGTGGCATGCATCTGTCGATTGTCGAGCGTCTCTGTGCGTCGCATCGGATCTTGTCAATGACAATACGTTTCCGTCTACGTCCATCCCTTGATTGCGCTCACCACTCGACTGCGCTAGATCGTAATGGAGATGAGGTCGGCGGACCGGAGATAATTACATATTACGCGCGCACAGATGATGTGTCTTCGGATATGTGTCTGTCGTCGGGGTTTTGGCCGATCTTGATCCTTCTTGGGCGCTGATCGAGCAACACCCAGCTGGGCAGCTGTCAGAGTGGGAAAGCGTTGAGTACGGGCCAAAATAGCCGAGTGTGGTTCTCACATGTTCTAAAAATACAGCACTCCTAAGTTCGTCATTGATCCAGCTGCTCGACAGTTTCTAAGGGCCCGGAGAAAGCGTAGCCTCCCGGGTCTCCACAACGCTCATATATGCCTGGTGAGCTATCTTCCTTCCAGCCGCTGGTCGAGATGGTCTATGCGTGCTGTAAGTGGTACGGCAACGCAGCTCATCTGGGCTTGACAGGACTCGACTCGTCCGATTCAACAAGTCACTGCAATAGTCCTCATCTCAAGGCGGATGGTTTAAATTTATCGTCAAGGCGTGATTCTCGTGATAGAGTAGCTTCGGAGTCAGGCACCATGATAGACTCGAACAATTCCCGAACTTGAACCTGTCCATGACATCGAAGCATGCATCGGCACGCCTGACCTTTCCCTGATGGCATATGCTCGCGTTGGTGCTGGCAGTGGAGACCATGGTGTGTTCATAGCCGTCTCGCGCAATCCAATCCATCTGAGAAAGACCCGACAGTGTTTATAGGCGCGGCAAGCACGCTTCCTGCGCCCGCAACGCCTGGCAATCGGGTCCCCAGCGCCAGTAAAGACACTACCTCACAGACCCTGTTTCTTCTTCATCGAAATGATGCACGAGAGATCGGACAGACTGTGCGATAGTGCCTTGCTGGTTTGTGCCCCTTGATCCCGACAATTTCCATACCGCGGGCATCCTTGTGCCATTCCGCCGTGGTCATACCGCTCTTCGGCAATCACAACCACCTTCATGCGCGGCCGAACACCGTTAAAAACCATGGCGGATGCATCTCCCACGACGGTCATTTGGGCGTATGCAACTGTCAACGGAGTGTAGCGCTCATAGCACGCGATGGTGATGGACGACACCGTTGGCGATAGCGTCATGAGTCAGGATGTGCAGCTTGCGCCGCGGTTCAGGACACAGCACCAGAAAAATGCGTATAAAAGCTGACCATATATGCCTCCAGACAATCCAACAACCTGCCTCTTCCTGCTAACGAGAGTTCAGGGAATCTTCAACATGCGTGTATACCCTTTGGTCCTCCTTCTTGCCTCTATGGGCGCGCAGGCTTTGCCTCCGTCCATACAGAGGCGTCAAAATACTATCCCGTCGTATGTATTATCACTTTCATCCCGGAACGCTGTATCGTCTGAAAGTCGTCTGTTAGGACGTATGATTCATCGATCGCCTCTCTGATGTAAGTCAGCTTCATGCAGTGAAGTATGCCAGTTGTTGACATTTCTCTCGCAGTAATTCAATCGGGACGCAGCGTGGCGTACCGGACACGGTTATGCAAGCTGCCTTCGAGACCGCATGGGTATGTCATTGAAATGCATCCATTACATCGCATTCCTAAGATGAATCACAGGTCGAGAGCCATATCAGTGCGTATTCATTGGATATCTTACAGTCCCGTAGACTGTAGCTCATCCAATGCATCACTTCAGACAACCTCAACTTTGGAGACGCGGACAGCTTGGGTATACGAACAGATTTTCCGTGTTCGAGAGCCTTGCTGATTCCCCACCACCATAGGTGTCTTCCAACAAAGACCTTCTCAGGGCTGGGGCACCGCCGCTCAGGTACAAGATCCTACGTACGCGACCAACGCGTTCTTCGATCAGGTTCGTATTTCATGGATGGCAGCGTCATTGCCACCTCAACGCCCTCATCGCACTGTATTTTCAGGCTATGAAAGTCTACAACAACAACCCTTCGCTCGCTCCGGGCGATCTCGGTAAAGTTCTCCGCCATATAGCATGATCGCTGTCCTGAACGAAAGCCCTATAGCCCAGAAAGTTCAGCACTCTGCTTACCCTGATCGGTCAGTGAACACATTCTCGCACGTAACTCGGAACCTCACCATGTGAGCATCTAGTTACAACCAGGCCGCGGACCGCGCCTCCAAGATTCGCTCGGATGTCCAGGATGGCGACGCTAGCGGCGACGAAGATGATGACTCAGGTGCGTCTCGGAGACTTGTGTTTATTGATCACCTAATATTCATTTTGCTGTGCGCTCGATAGATGACGATCTTGACCTCAGTAAGATACTTTCCCCTCTGTTCGAATGGCGACTCACTAACGTATGTCTCTTGCAGTCGATGATGAGGATGATGACGGCGAAGTACGCCAGCATTGTTGCAGGAGTGGCTTCCGAATGCTCATTCGCTATTTATCAGGATGATGACGTGGACGAGGACGGTGAATTCCCTGATGGTGGGGACGATGGTGGGGACGATGGTGGGGACGACGGCGGGGACGACGGCGGGGACGATGGCGGGGACGATGGCGGTGATGACGGTGGTGATGACGGAGGCGATGGTGGTGACGGAGGTGACGGTGGCGATGGCGGCGGTATGTCGCATGATCGTATCTCGTCCTCCTTACTGAAGTGTCGCCCTGCTACTCACAGGTGATGGCGGAGGAGGAGGAGATGGAGGTGCGTCTATCCGCTCCATGGCAAAGGTCTTCAACCCGCTGATGTCTTTTTGGTAGGATGCCGCCGTCGCCGCGACCTGGAGGGCCGGGAGATAATCAGCTGCGACTTTGAGTTCTGATCCGGAAGGTTGGTTAACTCAATTACCTTAGCTTTCTGACCTTGATCTGATCATATGTGCCTTGTCAGAATGTCTCTTCCCTCTTCTTCTCTGCGATTATTGCCCTGGGTCGCACTCTGCCAAGTTTCACGACATGCCAATGGCCATCGCTATTGTCATAATCGACTAGTCTCGAGGGCTAAGGCGGGAATGAGAAGCTCTTCAAATTGATATCGTTTTGTGTTGTTGGTTCGCTAATGTCGTTGGTATCATGAATTCCAAAATTCCGCATTCGAACCAGCTCGAATGACCACATCCGTCTTACCATGTTTTCCTCATACAGTTTGCTGTGCGAATTATCATGCATATATCTTCATCAACAACATGCTTCCGCCTTCGTCTATTGTTGCGTTCACCGCGGGGGGAGTGAAAATGAATGCCAAAGGACGATTCAATCGCGTCGTCCGCCTGCTACGAAAGCATCCAAACCTGGAGCATCTTGCGCGGACTCGCGCCCTGCCCGAGGTGAACCTGGCGCGTCATGAGTCCGCGGAGACCGTCCCGTGTGCTGCCTCGTCTGATATGTCAGATAATCAATCAGGGTACAGGGAGAGATATTTTTTATTGAATATCCAGGTGACGTTGCATTGGGAATGTATACTACGGAGTACATTTGCAGACGCTAGTTCGCGAAAGCCGCCAAACCTGTCATCGCCTTGCCTAATATGAGGGTATGGATATCCTTTAAGAGAGTAAGTCAAATGCCAATGATATGTACTAAGACTTCCCAAACTCACGTATGTCCCTTCGTACGTGTTCGTAACCTGCAAATTCGCCACATGTCGGCCGATATGGTATCTGATTTGGCATGGGGTCAGCTTCCGAACGACGGAGAGACATACATGACTCGCTCATCAGCACAGGCGTTCCCACCGAGCACGTCGAGCACTCTCCGGGAGTGTTCGAGCGCCTTTCCGCAGTTATTGCGTTTGACGAGGCTAACCATTTCCGGCGCGAGTTTGCCTTGGTCCTTTAGCCTACCTACTTGCAACGAGGCAAGAAGTCCGAGAGTAACTTCGCTCTGATGAACCCGATGAGAATGCGGACAATATCATAGAGGGCGCCTTGAGCACCTGAGCGTCAACTAGCTTCTTCTGGACAAGCTGGAAGGAGCCGATAGGGCGGTCGAATTGCTTGCGTTCCAGCGAGTACGCAAGGGCACGGCTGACGCAATCCTCCAATGCGCCCATGACACCCCAAGATATGCCGTATCTGGGAAGTGACTAAGTGCTGCAAGCGGCGGGTGCGTGTCGGTATCTACCTTGCGTTGTTCAAGCAGCTGAACGCGCTTCCCAAACTCCTTGACTTCGGCAAGAGAGCATCATGCGACACTTTCACGTTGTCCATGAACACAGATCCTGTTAGAGACACCCGAAGGGCGAGCTTGTTCTTAATAGGGGGAGCCGAAAGGCCTTTCATGCCCTGTAGATGGCGGTATCAGTAAGGTGAAGCCATAGCAAAATCTTCCCATACTTACCTTCTCAAGTATAAATCCGCGGACTTTGTTGTCCCATTTGCACCGGGCCCATATAACAAAAACGTCCCTGGGTAAATCAAATGTCGTCAGCAGGCGCATATGCAACTGCTCCTTGCGCGGGTAACCCACGCAATAGGCGCATTGCTAATCCAAGTCTTGCTGCCATTAATTACAAAACCGCCGTCAACCTCTGCTGCGGTAGTCTCCATTCCTCCAGGATCCGAGCCATGGTTTGGTTCCGTCAAACCCTTGATGTATACGATAAGTATTGTTCGCGGGGAGAGTTTTAATAAGCGTACAAAGCATCCGATCAGGTCGCCTTTGGCCAATGCCGGTAGGAAGCGCTCCTTTTGGAAATCGGAACCGAATGCATGAATGGGGTGCATGACGAGGGACGATTGCACAGATGCCGTAGAGCGGTACCCGGAGTCTATGCTGATAGAAACTCGTCAGTGTGTCGCCACAAATAGAGGCTCAAAGCAATTTACCGTTCAATTTCGCGAGCAATGAGTCCATAAGCAACACTGCTCGCGCCGGCACAGCCGTAACCATCGATTGTCGGCCCAAGGAGACCTGGTTAGCGGTGAGCCTCAACAGGGTGATTATACGATGGAATGTGTCAAGGTACCAAGTTCGCCCATCTCCTTCATTATCTCAGGTGTGAATTTCTCTGTGCGCCATGCTTCAATAACTCGAGGAGCGAGTCTCTCCTAAATGCCATTATGTGGAAAGAATAACGGGGTGTGTATGAAGGGCACATACCTGGCAATAAGATCGCGCCGTGTCCCTTGAACAAGCGGGTGAGCCCCTGCCACTGTAAAAGCCTGAATAAGGTCTCACCGTATGGCAATCTCATCCTCAGTTAGCATCGACTCCAAATCCAGCGAATCCTATACAACCTCTGCGTCGGACAAAAGCCGTGCCATAGCGCCCTTTCAGCATCACTCACCTCCCAGTTGAAGCTGGTCGTTTCTGTACATCCCAATGAGTATTGGTATTCTCAAAGATAGAGGAGAAACTCGCTTGGATTATAGGCCATCGAAGTTGACACAAATCTTCTTCCAATGCAGCGTCTGGTCGTCGCAGTCAAGCTGCGGCTCGCTGCAGAGCCCCTGAAGGCGGGTATGGTTGAGATTGGCATTGCTGATCACCAACTGCTGATCCGACTACATAAAAATCCCCGAAATGTCAGATGCGAATGCCTACGCAGCCTGAGCTTGCAGTACCTTGAGGTTTGCTGAACGGGGCGCGAATGAACACTCGGATCTACGTGATGGATCCGGAGAAGTGCGGGGGGCTTCCGACTCGGCATCCTCGGGTTACCGCTACCGGTGGCTGTGTTCTCGAAATCAATTCAGCCTGAGCACTACGCTTGACTGAGACTCGTTGACGGCTGTTGATCATAGAGACCTCAGAGTATCGTCCTCTGGAAATACTGTCATCGGGCACGATATCGTCTTGTTCGGATTTCCGTCATGCAGAATAATCCGCAGCCTTTGTGGATGTGATTCGGGTACATTACGTAAATCATACCGGCAACCGGATTGCCGTGTTGGCCGTGACCACGGAAGGATGCAACAGCCATGGACAGGCTCGTCAAGCTGCTCGTCCGACCACCCTACTTTGTCGGTCATACTACTGTACTCTACACCTTCTGACCCAGTCTGCCGTACACCATGGAAGCATTGGATCTCAACAACTTGTTCGGCGTGAAGGACAAGGTCGTGCTGGTTACGGGCGGCAGTCGAGGCATTGGCAAGATGGTTCGCGCAGTACTCATATTGTCTTAAGATATATGTTCAATTGTCGTGTGTCTAGATTGCCACAGCATTTGCGTTGAATGGTGCGAAGGTGTATATATCGTCACGTTCGGCAAAGGACTGCGAGGCTACCGCCAACGAGCTGAACGCCTTGTGCCAAGATGTGAACAAGGCTGGCGGTGGACAGGTTATTCCCATCGCCGCGGACCTACAGAAGCTGTCTGAGGTGGAAAGGCTAACCGCAGAAGTTGCCAAAAGGGAGAAGTACCTGCACGTCCTGGTTAACAATGCCGGCGCGACGTGGGGCGCGACGATCGAGGAGTTCCCCGTTCGTGTCCAAGTCCACTCCGTGTTACATCGACATCTAATGCCTTCTTGGCAGGATGAAGCTTTTGCGAAGGTCATGACGCTCAACGTGCAACGAGTGTTCACTTTGACGCAGAAATGTCTGCCTCTTCTTCGCGCTGCGGCGGCGCGGGGCAAGCGGGGCGATATTTGGGAAGACCCTGCGAGGATTATCAACGTAACACATACCTCAACTTTACCGCCCTTTCATCGCTTGATTTCCGCGATCCTAGATTGGGTCGGTAGCTGGTTTGCGCGTGCCGGACTCTGAGATGTATTCCTACTCAGCATCGAAAGCCGCAGTACACCACCTCAGCCGGAACCTCGCCGGCAGGCTGGGCTGGGAGGGCATTACGAGCAACTCTATTGCCCCAGGTCCGTTCGAAAGCAAGAGTGAGTAACCTATGTGCTGCTTGCAGTTGTATTAGCCTCTGAATACTCGCTCACTAGTGATGGCCCACACGCTTCGCACCGCTGGGGATGCGTTAGTCAGGGGCATCCCGCTGTATCGCATCGGAAGTCCCGAGGACATCGCGGGGACAACGCTGTTCCTTGCGAGCAGAGCTGGCGCATACGTCAATGGGGCTACAATCAGCTTAGACGGCGGTCGAACGACTCGGATGACCGGCGGCAAATGGGTGCACAGTGCTAAACGCCCATCCGCGAAGTTGTAATAGTAGACTGAAGAGGTGAATGGCAATGCGTAAGAGCAACGGATCATGTTGTAGAAGTTGCCAAAACATTGCAATACATACCTGTTAGGAAGAGACAGCATCTTGCGTAGAGCAAGCTGAGAATTCGCACACCGCCTCAATCATGGTTACTTACATCGAGCATGTCTGGCAATTTGGATTCCTTCGTTTCATCCTCACGGCCACCTCCTGCAGCCTCAGCAACCTCGCAGGAGATTCGTGACCGCAGTTCGACGTTTGTAGCGACCATCTACCGAGCCTCTTCTCCCAGGCTGGCCCGAGAAGCCATCAATCACCACAAGAACGTGGTTCATGCGTCCAAGCCTGCTAGCCACGAGATTGCAGCCTGGAGATGCATGGTGCTCAAACCGGGCAAAACTGGGCTCAGTGAATCGATTGAAGACGACTTTGAGCTAAGTACCGGGTGGGATGACGATGGCGAGCGCTTTGGTGGGGTTAAGATTCTGAAGACGATGGAAGCAGAGGGTATCATCGATGCCGTGGTCATAGTGAGCCGATGGTAAGTAGTCTCTGATGGTCATGCTTCATTGTAGGTGATGTCGAATGTCGGAATAGGTACGGAGGCATTATGCTAGGCCCAGCGCGATTTGAGCATATGGAAACATGCACGCGCGAAGTCTCTCGGACGTTCAAGCTCACGGATGAGTTGGAGGAAACTATCACCACCATACGCAGCTTGGACGACATTCTCGCCGATTTGCGTCGGGAATACGCGTCTCTATCCTCCAGCGAAACGCAAGGCGAAGGGACCACAGATAACGGCGCTGAGAAGAAGCGCCCAACGGTGGACTATTCCGCGATAATGCAGGAGAAGGACCTGAAGAAGGCGAGGAGACTCATCACTGCGAGGGAGAACTCTATCAAAAGCGTCAAGGCCCTCATAGCGAAGAAGAACCAGCCAGATGCCTTGCCAGGGTCATGACCCTGTCGTTGCTCTCAGGAATCTCCGCGAGCAATCGCATGGAGACCGTTCCATCTCGACCCAGGAATCACCTGCGTTACTCAGACGATCCTCGGTTTCATTCGCGATCAGACCATGGCCTATAACATGCAGATTGGGTTTCGATTGTGAGCGAGGCAGAGTGCGGCTACCACTCAAGAGAAGGAACAACGTCATTCCATATCACCTGCTAATGCCCGTCCCCCGAAGATCCCGACCCAGGAACCTTTGCAAGCTGGTAATGGACGTAGCAGGTGCTTTTCACGAGTATCCTATCCAGACAGTGTTGATTGGTGCAAAACAAGTGGATTACATGCGCCACGAGTGCTTGGCCGTTCGGCGGGTTTCGGCCGTCTTTCTATAGGCCTCGTGCCAAACCCATGCCACAGATAGGGTCGCACTGGCAAGAAGAGCGGAGACGAGGACGGCGGAAGGCCAATACGCCTTTGGAATAGCTGCGCCACCGCTGCCTCGAATGAGAACGCCGGCAATGGGCGCGCCGACGAGTCCGCCGAATCCGCGCAGCATGTAAAGCAGACCATTGACGGACGCATACTGGGCGGGACCAAATATCTCGACGAGTGACGCTGGGAAGAGCGAGACGTAGGCGCTGGCGAACGTACCATAGGCGAGCGAAAAGGCTATGAACAGCCCTCGACTGCCCTCGTGTCCGTTCAAGAGGGTGGATGGAATCCAGAACGCGGCCGTTCCCATGGTGCTGACGAGAGTCGTCAACACGAGAGTGTTGATACGACCCAGCCATCGATCGGCGATGAAGCCAATGACGATCTTGCCTATGGCGTTGCAGGCGTTGTTGATTGCGATGAAGTTGGCACCGGCCGTAGCGCTGTAGTCCAACGTAGCTGCGTAGGTGGAGAAGTAGAAGAGCGGGATGTAGTATGCAGCACCGTGGAACGTCGTTCCGAGAGCCTGTGCAGTGAACGCCTTGCTCTTGGCCACTCGCCAGTTGACGAGGGGTACGACAAACAATCGTGAGAGGAGGGACTTTCCAACTGCGTTCTCTTGTTGCCTGAGGCGGGATTTGCTGGCTTCGTCCCAGTCGAGGACGAAAGTGGCCGCTATTATGGTTGCTGCACCCACTGAACCGGTGATCCTGAGACCGGTGCGAAAGCCGTACCGCTCATTCATCGCCTGTATGGCAGGCGCCCAGACGAGGCCTCCGACTCCCGTGCCAGAGAGAATGATACCCATTGCAAGGCCGCGCCTCTTCGCAAACCATGTCGGCGTGACGGTCACGGCCGTAATGTAGGCTATGCAAGTACCCATCCCGAGCAGGAAGCCCTGGGTGAGCAGGAACTGCCAGACCGTCTGACTAAAACTAGCGAGCAAGCAGGCCAGGAAAAAGAGTGCGCCGCCGAGAGCAAGCACGACTTTCGGTGAGAAGCGCTTAACCCAGGCGCTCGCCAGAGGCGCTGCTATTTGCATGAAAGCGACCGATAGTGTGCCAATGAGGCCGATGGTGGCGGTAGAGGTGCCGGTGAAGGGGTTGCCAGGTTCCGCGGACATTTTCTCGTACAGGCTCTGGTATACTCCAAACGCGAAGTTGATGCCGCAGCACATAAAAATCACGGTAAATGCTGAGATGCAAATGACCACCTCCCGCCTTTCCAAGCAGAAGGGGCGCGCATGCATGAGTTCATGGAGCTGATAAGCTTCTAGTTGACGCTGCTCACATATGCTTCGGCTTGGTCTCTGGGGACGCAGAGGCCGCAATCACTTGTTCTCCTGAAGCGGATACGCTCAAGGGCCGTGTTATCGAGACCGTTGTTACAACCTGCGCAGGAATGGCTGAAGTCGAAGCGTGTGTGCTTGAGTCAAGGCGGTTGAGAACATGCTCTTCTGCGCCGCTCGCGTTTGTTGGCTGCGAACTCATGGATGCAAAGAGGTTAAAGCCGTGCGTAGAATAGTAGTGAAAGTTACGAAGGAGAAGCGCCACGGCGGAGCGAACGTACTTTTATGCAATGTACATCTTGGATATGACTCATGAATCAACATCAGTCCAGTGAGGTCCGGTGACGCGATGGTACTTAAAAAGGGTGCTCGGCCGCCAGTCTCAGTGCCTCGGCATAGCGCGACGCGGAGGTGTCTTTCTGATGAGTAGTCACGGTGATACACCTGATATGAACCACTCGTTTCATTTCTGTCCGCTCTCGTTCAATTCTTGCCCGAACCTTTTAGTGGCTTCATAAACAGATAGCCATATACACGTTCAGTCATGTTCTGAAGCCGCTAAGGGCTCGGTAACAGAACCTATTCTGCCAGAGGGATGCCGGTCAAAATCTATTAATAAGCCACCAGTGTGTATCGACCTGCTCGCTTTGCGTGGACTGCTTCTCTCACTCCGATAATTACATATCTCGTATACATCAAGACAATACCCTTACTATGATGTCTACCAGGTATTATATCATCAGAGGTGCTGTGGGATGCTGGAGACGGGGGAGAAAGGTGTTTCACATCAGGTGAATATTAACGTTGCCAACAGTGTTTCCTATCAGGTGGATGTACCGGAGCCATAGCACTACCACATATGTAATATAGCTTACAGGGCTTGTACCATTATACCCCGCGTTAACGATCAAATCAGAGCATTCCTATCCGTGGTTTCCAGGATGTTCCACGAAAGCGCTCACAAGTATAGCGGCTTTACGAAAACACGCATCAACGTCAGTTCAAATATGCAATCAATCACGTTACAAGCTTGGCGTAGAGAATGGAGTGTTATTCCTACATGATATCCTCTACAACATCCATAAGCGAGCGGGTAGGGTAACAGGATCCGACGAATGGGTACACGATCCGAAATGGCGGCATGGAATCAGAACAAGAACGGTATGACCGCCTTCCTTTGCTTTGGGTAGTCCGGGAATTTACTGTGGTACCACCGATGTCCCCTCCATGCGCGTGGTAGCATCAGCAGCACCTCCGAGAGTACGAATATCCAGGGAGGTGATATGGTCTCCAAGAATGCTGACGTCGACGCCAACGAAGGAGCGGGAGAGGCAGCAAGAGCGAACCCCACCCACTCGACCCATTCGCTGAAATAGTTCGGGTATGAGATGAGATTATAACCGTAGCCTTGGGGGATGGCGTAGTGTTCCTTGCCACCACTCTCCTTCGCCTTTCCTTTGGCTTTACGGCGGATGTTCAGCAATATTTCGTCGTGGAGAACATTGCTTGCGAATCCTGTTGCCCATAGCGACACGCCAGCCCAAAACCTTCTCCTCGAGAACGCTCCAGTGAGGTGATTTTCGGCAGATGGAGATGCCAGGTAAGCACCCATGAGGAAACCGTTCAAGAGGTTGAAACCGACAGCAAACATCGGAACGGTTATGTGTGACTTTGAGCGTGACGGTGTGCGTAGAGGAGAAACGAGACTCCGATTGGTGTAATGAATCAGGTATAGAAGTGCGAGAAGCGCCGACGGTGTCAGCGAGGATGGTATGTTGAGCGCAGAGGTAGGGAAAGACGGCGACAGAGGGTCTTGCAGGAACGTGGAGACGAACGTGATCGGAGAGACAAGCTCCATGAATATCCACGACTTGATACCATCGACGAGCAGCTTGGAGCTCGCAGGAGAGAAACGCCCAAAGCCCGCGTCTATAACGAATGTCACCGGGGCGATGAGGAATGGGATCACTGTGAAAGCCTTCCGCGTTCCTAGGAGGCATCGTCAGTATGGTGAGCGCTCAATTTTGCAAGACAAAAATCACCATCATATATGGCCCGCGCCTGTTCTGGGTTCTTGAGCCAAACCATCTGTTGATACGCCTCCGCAAGCGCAGGAGCGGCGCAAGCAGGCTTTATTGACGTCAAGCGCAAGGGATTTTGGTTCCAATGAGCTTCCAAAACTGGCAATTTCTGGGGCAAAAGCATTCGCCCACGGGTTTCAGCAAGCGCGCAGCCAGCGCAGGCTGTTTCGACGTGTCGTGTACCTCCCATCCTCCTCGTACATTCTCCCCTTGTTACGGCCCCATCCAGCTAGTTCACGACCGCAAATATGATGTCCTCCGACGAACAGGGACTTGGCGACACGACGCCATTTGCAGCGGCGCAAGCACACTATTCACGCCTCCACCGAGTGTACCAGCAGCAGCTTGACCGCATTACTCCGTTCGTTGCATATCGATGGCTTGGAACAGTTGGACTTCTCAGTATCTTTATGCTGCGGATTGTCTTGTCCCAAGGGGTCAGTTCGTTCCATAATACATACTAGACCATCGCTAATCTCGTATACAGTGGTATATTGGTCTGTGTGCATTCCTTCGTCGTGATCCCCGGTTCTAACTCTCGGCATGCTACTGATCTCACAGTGTGCTGTAAGCTGTGATGACCTGTCATTGAAGATGCGCTTTACTAACACTGCTCTAGATGCACTTGGCATCTATCTCCTCAACCTCCTCCTTGCCTTCCTGCAGCCACGTTTCGACCCGTCTCTTGAGGAAGACTTACTCGCGGATGAAATTGAGGGCGGTGGCGCGGACGAAATCCCCTCACTACCCTCGCAGCGCGACGACGAGTTCAAACCCTTCGTACGGAGGTTGCCCGAATGGCAGTTCTGGTATGTTTCACCCCTACTTGAGCGTGGCAGCTGTCGCTCATGGATGCGTCGCAGGCTATCATCTACGCGAGCGACGTTGATAGCACTGTTCTGCACGACGTCAGAGGCCTTCGACGTCCCTGTCTACTGGCCCATCCTGGTCATTTACTTCATAACCTTGTTCGTCCTCACCATGCGAAGGCAAATTCAGTCCGTATCTCTCGTCCACTTCCTGACTTCTTTGAATACTGAACTGACACCCGCAATACAGACACATGATCAAGTACAAGTACATACCCTTTGATTTTGGCCGCAAGGCTCGCTATGGCAAGCCCGGCAGATCATGACGGCTCACGTCGGCTCTTGCATCTTGCACTTCCAAAAGCTCTATCGTACCTTGCCGGGACGGCACGTCGCACTTCATTGTTATGCATTCTATAATGCGCGTCACACTATACACTTGTCCTAGAGTTTCTATGCGGTGCAGGCGAGAATATATGCCCAGTGAGAAAGAATAGTTTCGATATCTCAATCTCCATGATACGGCCCAAAGTCAGCGGATTATCGGGTCGACGCGTTCCGTGTCCTATGGTCATGCAGTTGTTGCCCCCCTCCCCCCCCTCCCCCTATCCTGAGTCGCTTCACTGTCATTGATGCTCGAAGGGCAACTAAATATGCATATGCATAGATATCTCTCCAGGTAAACGTCATGCGGATGCTACAGCACCTGCGGTAGCCGTTTCTCCCTTGAAACTCTTGTAAAACACCCAGGCGTCCACGTACTCTTCGCCTTGCCCGTCGGCGCGCTTAAGCCTACCTGCCCGAGGAATACGCCCCGCCTTGATGAAATCCAGCTTCTCCCATACTCTGACCCATGCGATAAGCCGGAGCGCATGCACATTAATCGTGCACTACATACCTCACTGACGCGTAGTTGTTCACAAATACGAGGTTGAAGACAGTCGCTTCGTAACCTAGCTTCGGCGCGTAATGCAAGTATGATCGCGCCAACACCGAGGCATATTTCTTCCCCCTTTGTGCGAGTGGCACTACAAAGCCACCGTTACAGATCTGGTGCGAAGAGGATTGTCTCGAATTCATCCAGAAACCTCAGTGCCGGGACCTACATGCGAAGAACGTCCAGGGTAATTGGGCTTGACCTATACGGCTCTGTGTAAGAGGCTTGATCTCATTCGCATAGAACAACCCACATAATAGAACCCAGCTACACATTCCTCCCATTCCCGTTCGTATCTTGCATTTTCCAGCTGAACGTCGGTCTCTATGACTCCATCTCGGTCTTCGACGGTCGTCTTGTCGTGTCCAATAATCGCCAAGAGCACGTCGGCCGCGAAGAAATACGCTTCAAAGTCCTGGCGGGTGTATAGTTCACCCTGTAATGTCTCCTGCGGGTAGGTAGTCCCGCGTTCTATCTCTTCCGCAAAGACTTTGTGCAAATAGTCCAGGAGGCCAGAGTAGTTAAGAGCCCGAGCGAGGGTCAAATGATGGATCGTAAGGTATTGCCGAGCTTTCGTGTCTGCTGTACGGGGCGTGACTGGCCAAAGAGTGGAACCCAAAGGCTCCAGTGATTCACTTTTCGCGATTGCTCCGTATGCAGACATCCGGCGAACGACGTATCCTTGCGTTTGATGAGCCTTTGCAGTTTATAGTGTAGTTCACGCCGTCGGAGGTCACAGAGATCGCGTGCTGATAACGATGCATGAAAATCCGACCGTCGCCGATGCAGACCATTTTTATATACACAAGTCGCGTAGCACCGAGAAAGACCGAGGTCTATTGAGGAGGCTGGTGTGCGTGGAGGGAGTGAGTGGGTCGCGGCGCATGTTTTTACGAGAGGACCAACGTGGTCAAGTCCCAGTGTATGAGATGAGGTGGCATGTAATCGTGGCATGTCCATGGCCTTCGGATTAGCAATAAAAAATAATCTAAAGGTAGCAGAGATACAGGGAAGTCCATGATCACCGACAAGGTGACACGATGATTCTATGAAAGCAGTGGGCAAATGCAAGCATGTAAAGACTGATGTGACAAATGTGCAGGGCGGATGCTAAATAGTGCAGGTTCATGATGAAGCGCGGGGCTTCGGTGAGGTCCAAATTTAGAGGCGAGCTCCGTTCAGCTGTGGAAGGCACCCCTTCCAGCCATGTTAGGTTCGCCACCAGATGAATAGCCAGACGCCTGTCTGCTAGGCGTGTACGGCCGGTGCAAAGGCGCTTCCCTGTACCCCGCCTGAGGTGGATTCATGGACAACGACGATTGCGACGGATACTGCAGTCCTGCGGGTGCATAACTCGGAAGGCTGCTAGCACTTGATGCCTGCGCGTACATGTGGCCAGGGCTGAGTAATGGTTGTTGGTCAGCTCCAGAGTCGTACTCGAGTTGGGCCATTTCGAATGCTTCCTGGCTACCGTCGCCACGTTGCGGGCCATTTGCGAGATAATGGTCAAAGCCAGGTGCTGGGGATGCCGAGCGCCCGTTGGCATAGAACATCGATTTGGAGGGTGCGAGGCTCGCGCCGTCGTTCCCTGCGAGGATATTCGTGGTCGCAAAGGATCGAGCATCCCAATCCTGTTCTCCACGATCTCGTTGGTATAGTGTGGGATCGTACTCGAGGTCAGTCTAGTTCGGGACAAGGTGAGGACTCATCCCGAATCGCAACATCTCAGTGCACACACCTCTTGGATACCAGCAATCTTCACGCCTCCGCCCACCACTGCTGCTTGCATCCTTTGACCGCCCATCTCGTCCATCTTCGTTTGTTGTGTGCCAATCTTACCGTTGAACACTTGCGCTAGCAACGGGACCATGTTGGCGTGAACCTAGGAAAACAGTCAGTCCCGTTGCCTCAACTAGCGCGATATGAGCTTACCATAGGTGTGAACAACTCGGAATGCATAACCGGATGTCCGAAGCGATTGGCAAGTCGGTTACCCTTGGCGTCAGCGCGCGCAGAGTGAATCCTTGCGTTTTTGATCTCCTCTTCCGTCGGATTATAATACCTGAAAGCGTTGGAGAAGGTACGACTGAGGTACACCTTGAAGGCCATGACGATGAGGATTGGGGGGACAGCAGATATCCATTGGAACGTTTTCCAACCGTACCCAAGGCCCGTGGCTGGGACATCGCAATGAGTCCACGTGATAATTTTAACGACCAAGAAGGACATACTGAGAATCACAAGCGCCTGCATAAGCATAACGGAAAAAAGCACCCTGTTAATGACCACATTCCATAGACGCTGGGTTGTCATGAGTTGGGTGATACAATCAGTCATAGGAAGTTGCTTACTCCACCTGTCTCCACCTTCGTGGTGAAAACGAACATCAGCTGGTATTTGTACACCCATGAGCTGATCCAAAAGACAATAGCAGCTGCAACCACGACCAAAGGTGCGAGCGGTGCAAACACCAGGGCAACACAACCCATGAAAACGGTATTGGAGCTATGCGTGACGCTCAGGACGCCATGCTTTGGAATGTCATAGGCCACATACTAATAGATTGCATATTGGAAGTCCGGGGGCTTGCACCAGTCACGGACTTCGCGAGGAGTCCGTCCAAATACCCTATATCAGTCGCGATGTTAGCGAAGGATTTGTGTAACAGCATGAATAACACATACCTCTTTTTGAACGTAATCCAAAGAAGGTTGATGATTTGGGCCAAATCAAACACGGCAAGGAAGCCTCGAAGACTAAACCAATCGTTTCAATTGTTGTTGCAGGACAGAATTGAAGAGGAAAGAGGACACACGGGAAGAATGTGAGCCAATAAGATGACTGATCAATGTACGTGTTATTGATGTTCTCAGGAAGTTCTGGAGCAAACTTGATGTCAGTCCTTTGCCGATCGAGCATGGCAGAAAGTTACCGTGGAGATTGTCGATGATATCTTTGAAACTCTTTTTTCCGATGGCCTGAATGATACTCTCGGCCGCTCCTACGACAGACATTGATATCGTGGAGTTTGAAGAAGAGGTACGTCACTTACTGAACCCAACACCAATAAGCGTGAAGATCACTAGCTGAGAGATGACGAGGAATGCGAAGTAACGTGCAACGACGGCACGATCCAGTCGAGAAGTTGTCAGAGCTCCTTGATACTGGGAGAGCCAGCGCATGATGACAGGCAGCAGATAACCGAACAGGGCGGAGACGGCCGGTGGCAGGATACCAGAAACAATTGCGAATGTATTAGGGCTGGCGGATTTCCACTGTCCAAGGAAGGCAACCGAGTTGGATATCTGGAAGCGCGGTTGAGCAACGTGGATATATACGAGGAATGCATCGCAACGTACAGCCGTCAAGTTGGCAAGAATGGAAATGACGAAAAGAGGGATGGTGTTAATGAAACAAACAACACCAAGCCAGACAAAGCCCATCGTCTTCTTGCGCGCGATGGCACCGTTTGATAGGGTCAAATTCTCCCATATCTGAGTTCCGGTCAACACATGTGTTTCTTCATGCATGATGGGTGAGGCTCACGATGTCCTTGGGATTCGGCGCCAATTGAATGGTTGTTCCCTTCGGTTTCTTGTTCTTCAGCATCCGGGCCACAATATGGGCATAGGGTACAGCAGCCATGGATGCGAAGCCGTAATTCTCTGGTTTGTTATTATCAATCTGAGCTCGGTATGCCTCCACCTTCGCCTCTGACTCGCGGATTTTCTCGGCATAGTAATCGATAGCGTCCACTTTCTGTCCCCCGAAGCCGAGGAACCCGCCAATGGTAGCCGTCGGTCTTTTTTTCCCGATTCGCCCATTCTTGAGATAACGGACCAGATAGCGTTCAAGCTCCCGGACGTTGTCGTTATGATGCTCGATGAGGGAAGGCAGGAGACCAACACGACGACCAACATGGACCGACGTCGTAGGATATGGAACCTACGACGGCACTCAGAGATGAGGTTGAAGCGAGGGGTGCGTAACATACCTGGAAGGATTCGAAGATAGCCCGGATGCCCTCATCGGATTGGTACTTCTTCGGCACATGCTGCACGACGAGCGTGCGCGCATAGAAGGTCTCCTGATATTCAGGGGATCGGTACCAAGCTTGGCGTAGCCGGACCATCGCCTTCCAGTGAACGTAGACGAAGAACATGACCACCCCCGTAATGACATAGGATGCGGCGATATGGACCAGCAAGTAGTCGTGGCTGACGCCGCGAATCGTCATCATGGACAAGATATCCCGATTGCTGCTCTTGACGTGACGCAGGTTATAGATGATATCGGTGGGGATGAGCACGGCACAGCAGAGGACTGCCACAGCGGTGAAGAGCCATCGAAACATGCGAAGAAAGCGGAGGAAAGTGACCGCGTCGAGTCCGAGTTTGTCGACGAGCTCCGGCTCCTTGACGTGGATAAGAGGTGAGACCCAGCCAAATGTCGAGTTGGGTATCCGCGGTGGTTGTTTGTTCCCCTCATGATACTTTAACTTCGGCTCGTATATGATCTGTGACCGGAAGTCAGATTCGGGAACAGGTGAAGGTATGCAACCTGTCTTGCACTCACCTTGTTGTTCGGCCGCAGGAGACTGAATGTGACGACGGTGACGAGCTAATGGCATGTCCAGTACAGTCTCTTGAGTTTGCCAATCGAGCAGCAACTCACCGAAATAACCGTCATAAGAACAAACTGCGACAAGACTGCCTTGGGCGCCAGCGTCCGTGAATTGGCATTGTCATTAACGATTTGGTCGATGCCCGACATGGCTGGAATGTGGCGAAGACACGCCGGATTAAAGAATGATAGTACAAGTGGCTAGGAGAGGTCGTGGTGGGGTACAAGGAACTCAGCGGTCTGTTGTGCTAACGTGGGGCGGTCGAGGAACGGCCGGCAACAACAAGGGGCCGTGGCGCAGAGACGGTCTATTGTTCCCGAAAGGTCACCATAGATGCTCCAACCATTATGCACCGCATTATGTAGCCTAATATACTTTTCGTCGTAGATTTCACGTAGTCTAAGGTACATTCACGTGTGTCAACTTGTTACCTACTTGACCGTAACCTCACAACTTGTGAGCGTTTCGTACGGAGATGATCATGATGAACTGGTGATGAGATGGCATTTCCTGCTGCGCCCGGACCGAGAAGTCATGTACCAGTGCTATGGCAACAGCCAAGGAACAGCGTCTGCTCGACGCCATGAATACACTGTAGCGGGTGCCTGATAATATGCAATGAACAGTGACTAGTGATTGTGCATGTCCTTTTCCCTCGTCCGCAGCGCTGTAAAACTATCGGGGCCTCAAAAGCGCAGCAAATGACCGGAAGCATGATTGGCTACACGGATTGAAGCTAAGGTTACAACACGAGTCGATCAAGTTGTACTCTAGGAGCACGCTGCTCACGGGAATAGTCATGAATGTGAAGGTTCATAGTATTCTCAGTCATCGTCATCGACGAGAAACTCTGAAAAGCGAATGAAACACGACACACGTGATCCCAAGCGTCGGAACCGCGTCGCGTTCACCGAGACTCGGAGTGGGAAGAAACGCGATTCCTGGAGAGCGGGCGCAACTTTCGCCACCTTAGCCGCAACGACGCTTTTGCCATCCCGCTAGACGGAAAATGGCACCATATGATGACTGGAACAAGCTGGACGAAGAGGAGGAGCAGGAGTTGGAAGATACCTCCGTGAGTCGACTCTACCGTTGCGTCGACTGTTAGGCGCAAGGCTCATCCCTCCACTGTTAAGTTCTACGACGCTCGCAGAGATGTGATACTGTTTGCCATTGATTGCTCTTCTTCTATGCTCGAGCTTCGTGACGACCCCACATATGAAGAAGGGGAGGTTAAGACATGGTGCGACTTGAGCCACTCCGTTGTACTCCGTACCCGCTGACAATTGTTCATGTAGTCATCTACTTGTCGCACTGCAGTCCGCGATGGAGATATCGAAGAAGAAAGTGCTAGTAGGGCCGAATGATTCCATTGGAATTCTGTTCTTCAATACAGTCTGTACCTATGATCTATGGTGGGCGTTCGGACATATGACTCATCTTGGAGTACTATGCTTCTCTCATCGCGTAGACGAGGAGGAATCAAAAGGGAGACAACATGGGTCAATCTTCTGAAATTAAACCCGGCGCCTACGTTTACCAACCCATATCGACCGTGAATGCCTCCAGCATCCAAGAGCTGATCCGACTCCTTAATGGCACGTCCGATGTTCGCAAGTTTATCACGCTCTTCTGAAGCTTCCACGTTCTGTAGAAGCTCGCGAAAATCCATCGTATCTTTCAGAGACATTCCCGCCTTTGCCAGATGGCGAGAAAATGGCCATGGGAGACGTCTTCACCAGCTGCAACTGGGTTATACGAGATGGGTACGGACTGGCGTTTCCGACCTACCACATAATCCAATATTTGCATTTACACTCGGACACTCACTAGCGCTCCCAAAACAGCGACCAAGCGCATATTCTTAATCACCGACGAAGATGATCCCACACCCTCTGGCTATGACACCAGCGCGGCAAAAGAAAAGCTCATAACCAGCGCGCAAACGACGTTGACCGTAGGCATATTCTCAAATTAGCTTCTTCCGTCTGCTGATGTTCTTTCTTTGCAGGACCTGACACAAGCCGGCATCATGGTCGAACCCTTCTTCATCTCTACCGAAGAGAGGAGCTTCGATATCGGTAAATTCTATACGGTACGTAGCAACCATACGTACTGTGACTACCACTCTGAACGGGACGTGCAGTCTGTCCTGAATTCACATATGCTCCCTACGGAAGAGGAAGACGGAGGAGCCCTGCCCGAGCAAATATCCATCACCCGCATTGACGACCTACTAGGGCAGATGCGCTTCCACGAAGTGCCCAAGAGATCTCTTTTCTCCATCGGTTTGGAGTTGGCCCCGGGGTTCAGAATCAGCGTCAAGGGGTGAGTGATCTCAAATCATTCATCCCTGATCCGACGACGAACACTCACAACGGTTTCAAGCTACGGATTGGTGACGGAGCAGAAGAAGGGAAAGTCCATGTATTTCGTGGACATGGGCGATCGCATGGAAGTCGCTGAGAGTCGGGCGGCATACGTCGACGAGGTCGGTGCAGTGTCGTGACCTACCTAGCTGTCATATACTTATTCGCATGCCCGCCAGGACTACCAGGAGGAGCGAGACAAGTCTGAGATACTTTTCGGGATGGAACTCGGTTCGGCCGCGGCTTCTGCGGGCCAAGAAGACCAAGGTGCATCCGGAGGTACCCGTCCGTTAGTCATGTGTAGGTGCAAGCTGACTCCCCCTCTTACAGGCGGGGTCATACGACCTGTGGAACGTGGAAAGCGCGTATTCTACACAGCAGACGAAGTACGGGGTTTCCGAACAATGGGGCTAGAACCAGGCAAGTAATTCCAGCCAGGCTCTGCACGTCGATCTGACGTCCGACTCCAGGCCTGAAGCTGCTCGGGTTCAAAGACCGATCAGAGCTTGCCTTCGAGGATAACGTGAAACATTCCGTGTTCATATATCCTGACGAGATGGTAATCGTGTAGTCTGTCCTCCACTGAAAGGATGCTGATCGGCCTTCTAGACATACTCGGGCTCCAAACGCACGTTCTCGTCCTTACTCAAATCCATGCTGAAAAAAGACAAGATTGCTATTGTACTCGCCCTCCTCCGGAGGAACGCAAGCCCCACATTTTGTGCCATGCTACCTCAGGTTGATACCGTCAGGCGTACTGAATAGTGTCGTGTCATGGACTGATCACTTCTGTAGGCAGAAAAGCAGGACGAGGCAGGCTGGAACGATCCCGCTGGGTTTCACCTGATTCCACTGCCGTTCGCCGATGATATTCGAGCGGCAGCATTGGAAGAAGGTTTCAGAGGCAAGCGCAATGCATTGCATCTCGTGCGTAAAGAACCATCTAACTGTCTCAGCATCCGAGGATGTCAAGAAAGCAGCGCAGTCATGGGTAGAGAAACTTTGTTTGAAGAATGGAACTTACGAACCCGATTCGTATCCAAACCCTTGTAAGTATTCGTTGTAATCGCCGACAACTATCGTGTGCTCAAGGAAAGCGCAAAGCCTTGGCTTTCCACAACGCGCAGTTGCAGGCCAGCGCTTTCCGTGAAGAATACGATCCGACAACTTTCGAGGACTTGACTCTACCAAAGATCGATATGATTCACAAGGTGATGTTAGATGTTTTGAGCATGTATCAGGAAATGGTGGTTGACATGTCATGCATGTCATACAGAGGGCCGGGAAGTTGATCCAAATGTGGAAGGAAGCTCTGGCGGAAGACCCATCTTCAGGAGCTGTTATCGCGACTGCCACAGGCGCGACCAAGCGCAAGGCAGATGCAGGTGTGAACGACGCAGAAGTACGATCAATGTACGAGAACGGATGGTTGACCAAGGTTAGATCCACCTTCTTGTGAACATGCGCCACAGTGATAACGTTCATGATACTGGTACAGTTACGCGTGGACCAACTCAAGGTGATTGGCAGAGCGGGCACTCATCCAGCGAAGTTCTGACGTTTTAATGCACAGGATTTCCTCAAGTCGAAGAGTTTACCGGTCTCCGGTAGAAAAGGAGAGCTAGTCGATCGAGCGGCAGAGTGGCTGGAGTCGCATGAGTGACAGAGATGGCTGAATATAAAGCCTCCACCCGACTCTAATACTGTACAAGCACCTACAAGCTACCAACTATTCTATCAACAGATTATTCTGAATAGCCGTCGTCCATGTCCTCGGAGCTGATGCTCTCGATGACCCTGCGTACTCGTTCGTATACGGCGAATACCACTGCCTGTCCGGGTGCAACGCGAAGGACACGGGGGGTTATACCTTTGTAAAACGATCGGAATCCCTCTTCGCGCCACATCGCCGTGGCGATGGTATTGATACGTGACCATGCCGATGTGCCTGGCTCTGCAGTTGATTTTTGCAGACCTGGATACACCTGGTTCAGCGCCCCGCGAGATAGGCTACGGATGTGGCTAAAACGTACGGGTCTTGATGGTGTCTATCGGCGCGTTCGAGAACGGCCCGCAAGCGCCGCTGATGAGTCCAATGGCCATCACCTGGTAAGAGGGCAATTCGGTAAGAGAAGGTTGTAGTTTGTGGGCCTGCTTCTTGAGCTCCTGATAGACAGTGAAGTTGGCGCCTGAGCAAATGAGGACGATTAGAATCCATCGACTTCCAGTAATCGGGTGATATCGGGTACGAACCTTGATTCGTTGCCTGACGGAGGGCCGTGAGACTGACACCACGGTACAATGCGGAGAAACCCTCTTCGCGGACGATGGTATATACAGCATGTCCTGCATTACGATACCGGGGCGTCTCGAGAGGGTCCGCAAGGGAATGTTGTTGCGCCTGAAGGCGGATCTTGACCACTTCCATAGGCGTCACGACTACGACAGCTTCGGTTGTACCGGCTCCCAGACCAGCTAGTAGCATTATAGCATTCAGCTTCATGCATGACTGGTCGAGTGAGGTACTAACCAATGAAGACTCCACCGACACCAGCTTTGCCGGTTTCCTTGTTCGATAGCCAGGCCTTATATTTTTCAAAACTGGCGAAGCGAATTGCCATCTTCGGGACGATTCCGGAGAGCACCGCACCGAGACCTTTGTATAGGGCAAGCGGGGTCTCTCGCCGCACTATCATCGCGCCTGTTTCGAGGAATCCTCTGGGCTTTGTCTACTCGGGTGCTCAGACAGTGATTATCGAGGAGAGATCGACGAAACTTACCCCCGGTAAGCGTCCGGAGCGCGAAAGCTGCATCCGCACTTTGATGGTGTCCAAAGGTTGGCAGCATAGCTAGAAAAAGATGTGTTGTTCATTCCCAAGCACGGATGCGCAGCCTAACTCAGTGCCCTTACCGCCTCCATCGCGCCGGCGATACCTCCGGCAGTTATATGGGTAGCGAACCCGACTGGCTTCTTGTCTGTCGATCGCGACATTATGACTCGTCAAGTTTCAGAAGTATTATCAGGCTCCTCGGCGGCAGCGTCGGTCAAGGCGAGCCCTGGGGCGTAGAATATCCGTGAAAGAGGGCTGGTCTAAGACAGCTTGGCATGGCTCGAGGGACGCATTTGAAGATGGACAGAGCGGTTTTGAAGACCCGTACATGTGATTACCCCACGGGGAGGGTAGGGGTGGAGGAAAAGGAGGAGACGCGTGAAAGCCGCGTCGCCCGCCGACGGAAGCCCTCTCCGCCACTCTTGCCCCGCCCTCCCGCATATCATCGACCGGTGCCGACTGGCTAATCGCTGGCCGCGTCCAGCCGTGCTGTTGATTTCCGCCCGACCTCCGGTGCTGGACGTCTCTACATTTCACCGCCGGTCCTCCGCCGCGCACGGGAAGCCAAATTCAGCGTGCCTGCATGTAGGGACTACGAGCGAGAGATTCTAGCCCCTAGGAGCCACTGAGGAGGTGCCCAGCGGAGTCCAGGCTATCCAGAACAAAGAGCTCAGCGTCTGTACCGGAACATGCCGTTGCATACAAACCGACGAGCATGCACCGTCGATCCCGATCCGAGTCAACAAAAGCTTCTTTCACAATCATATGACACATTACAATTGATCGAATGGAGTATTCTATCGTCAACTGCCCATGTCATAGTTCACCGTCGCTTTCCCCGCAAGCTTCGTTCTTTCGCTGCAACTACGGAGTCGGGGTCAGCTGGGAACTAGCTATAGGGACCTCGACATACTGCGGGACTATGCAGCGCTGCAAAAGGATCAAGTTCCTGCTCGACAATTGTCTGTGCAAGTGGAGAAATTGCACGCTTGTAGGGGTCGCTGTCAATCGCTTGCACATCTTGATCGTAGCCCGAAAATGTTGATTGCATGCAGTTCAAGCTATCCGAACACCGGAATATCAATAACTCGATTTCCAGGATTGAATCGAGATCAAATGCTCACAAGGCAAGCGCGCTGTTTACGTATAGACTCGAGGCGCATGCTGTTAGAGGCACCCATGCAAGGAGCTCCACTACTGCTACAAACTGCTACAAGCATCAGGAATGTGTCTGCTTCTTATCAGAAGGGTTACGTACAATCACAAAGCTCACAAGGAAAAAGGCACTCATTTGTGAAGTCAGACTGAAAGCGTATAGAAGATCCTGAAACACCAACGTACTTTGCAAGACATGCCATGATGGTGAGCGTGTGTCAAGATCGGATACAGGCAAGGGGTAACGGAGTCGGAGGACCGAAGTCCGAAACGTATATACGTAGAATAGAATGAAATAGAAGGGAGGAACTCAAGAGTGAAGTCGGAGCGGAGTCGGAGACACGTCGGAGACGTGTCGGCGTGAAGTCAATAAGTCGGAAACGTTGGTGGAGTCGAGATCGGATGCGGACCAAGCCTAAGCTCGTGCACTAGGCTGCTACGCGCTCTGAGTCCGCAGGAGGAATAGAGTGAAGCTTAGTCGATATTCGAACTGACTACCTACGGTACAGTTCGACGGTTTATATGTACAAAAGAGAACAATGGTAAAGTCGGAGATGTCGGAGATCGGAGGCGCCGTTCGGCGCACAAAGGGAACATACGGAGACGAGAGATATCGTATGGAACACAAAGGGAACATATCTACGGAAGAGGCGGAAAGATCGGACCGAAAGATCCGTCGCAAGCGACGGGAAACTAGAGTCTACAAAGGGAAGCTATGATGTCAGACAAAGGGAGCAGGAACCAGGAAAATCGGAGTTGAATCCGTTCAAGATCTGGAACCACCGGGGCGTTGAGCCACCGGTGGCCCGGTGCATGTGATAGGCGTATCCCGCCCTCGACCGAAACGGGAAAGTCGGGATCGGCGTCGGTGAAGAAGTCGGCGAAGGGTCGGAGATCGGATCGGAGGAGATCGGTGTAGATCGGTGACGATCGGCGGAGCGGATCGGCGTAGGTCGGTCTGGATCGACACGTGACAGTATCCCCCTCTTAGCCGCCGAGCCCTCGAGGCGATCGATCTGGATAAGTGATCAGACTTGATATCTCGAATTTCGTCTCTCGCCTTCGTCCACCATGCCTCCCCGCCCTCAGAGGAAGAAAGCCTCAGCTAGTCAGCCCTCCGCTAGTCAGCCGACAGCCCGCTCGGTCTCCGAAGAGCGGGCCGAGTTGCGCGCCCGTCTCCGCGCTCTTGAGGACGAGAATCCGCCGGAACCGGCGTCGGCGAGCGTCGCGCCACCCCAGGACGATCCTATGGGGTCGCCAATCGAGGAGCAGGAGATGCCAACGCGTCCAAAGAAGGGCGCTAGAGGTAAAGGGAAGGGCCGAGCGTCGGAGGTCCAGCGGAGTAATCGAGTGGAGGTGGTAGTGCCGCCGGTCCCTGCGGCGGGAGCGGTGTCGCGGAGCACAACGCGCTCCGATGCGGAGGTCCGCAGCGAGGTCTCCGCCGCGTCGAGTAAGGTGTGTATCCAGTACGCTGTCGGAAATGGAGTCAAAAAAAAAACTAATCTTCGGTGATTTCTAGCGGCGCCACGGTCAGACGGAGCTAGCGCTCCCAGACCCGGCCCCTGTGAAGCGGGCCAAACACGACGAGCCGGCCTCCGTCGTCGATGATGACAATATGTGGCAGGTAAGTCATCTCCGAAAGAATAGCGAAGTCGGAGTTGACGTCGTGTAGCCGGAGGTGAACACTCCGTGCATCCAGTGCAAGGCCGCGAAGAAGGGGTGCCAGCCGCCCGTCGCCCGAGGCAAGGCCACGGCTTGCCGCAATTGCGCGCGCAGCAAGAAGCCGTGCTCGTTCGCGAACTCCGCACCGCGTGCCCCGACCGCCAGCGCCGCTCCGCGCGCTCCGACGGCTAGCGCCGTCGTTCCGCGCCGACAGGAGTCTCGGACCGCCCGTCCCCGCCATAATGAAGATGCGCTGTGGTCGGAGGTGATGGAGGCGCAGCGGGCGTTGCGCCAGGGGGAGCGGTCCAATGACCACTCCTTCCTGCTCGATGAAATCAAGCGAATCGTCGGCGGGTCGGAGGAGCGGGTGCAGGAGGAGCTGGTCAGCCTGCGGCGGCAGGTGGAAGCTCTGACGAGTCGGGTGGCGGAATTCGTGGAGGGGTCGTCGAGGCAAGGCGGATCGGAGTCGGAGGAGGGCGAGGCCGAAGGCGAAGAGGAGGGCGAAGAGTCAGAGGAGTAGGGGTATAGTATAGTATAGCGTCCAAGTGTCCTGTAGGCGAGCCCAGCGCCCGGTAAGCCCCGCGCCGAACAAGGCGGGGCGTTTATGCAATCAATATGTCGGTCCGGGTTTATCGGGGTAGCGAGCGTGAAAGGCCGCGACGAGATCCGGAGCGTGAGTCAGCTCCGACGCTTGAATCCACGATTTCTCGTCGGAGGTGCCTTCGTATCCGAGCCAACGAACCTCATAGAACAGCGGACATCGTCGGTAGCGCTTGTCCAGCTTCGAGTCTAAGATTTCGGCGATTTCGTACTCGAGTTCTCCGTCAATTTCGATCGGCGGCGGCGGAGATTGTATGCGGTTCGGAATGGTGTTCGGATGAGCGGGCTCGAGTTGGGAAACGTGGAAGACCGGGTGTACAGATCGCATAGAGTCGGGCAGTCGGAGGACGAACGAGGAAGGGCCAGCCTGAGATATAATGTCGAAAGGGCCAAGGTACTTGTCAGACAGCTTTTTCGAGGGACGTCTAGTGCGGAAGAACTGAGCTTTCACAAACGCTTGAGCTCCGACTTTGAAGTCCGGAGCTGGTAGTCGGCGCTTGTCGGCGGGACCTTGATACCAACGTTGCGCCTCCGCAAGCCGAGAGCGGAGTTCGCGATCTTTTTCACTCCTTTCCAAACAATATATACATCTGAAAAAATCTAGATCACTATATGGCACTACATAGTGCCATATAGCCTCCATAGGTCCATAGCGATGTCCTTTGCTACCCATACTAGAAATCTGCCAGCCAATGCTATCATAGTGCTATAGGTGCTATAGAGGGTACTGTCATGGCTACAGTAGCTATGTAGGGCACACCTTAGTGATATATAGCTCACACACTAGTGCTACTGAAACTATATATCCTATGTCAACTCTACAGCAATCATATGCTCAATAGATATTGTAGCCACCCGAATGAAATTAATTAATTAATTATTATATATCACTCATAATCAATCAAAATCCTGGTACAAAAAAGTATTGTCTTCCATCATATTCTATTTAAGTTACAAAAGTGTATCAAGTAGTACGAAGTAATTACGTAATCAATACAGACAAGCCACAGATACGGCAAAACTGTCGATTTCGCTACTGGGGGACCGAGCTGGGCCCGTCGAGTCGGCTAGTGCTCAGCGTTGGGCACAGGGAGGAGCCGAAGCCGAAGCCGAGGGGCGGGGAGGAGAAGCGACGCCGAGCGAGACCGCGTTGGCGGCTCGGGCTCGGCGTTGGGCGAAGAGCGGGGGCGAGGGCGAGAGGGGAGGCGATGCGGAGCGCGACCGCGTTGGCGGCTCACGCTCGGGGCTGGGCGGTGTGCGGGGGCGAGAAGGGTGGCGACGCCGAACGCGACCGCGTTGGCGGCTCGCAGAGCCAGGGGTTAGCGCGTTGGCGCAGACGGGTCGAGCGCGTTGGCGCAGAAGACGTCGAGCGTATTGGCGCCGTGGAGGTGGGCGCGTTGAAGCAGCGGAGACGCCGAGCGCGACCGCATCGGGGCTGGGCGACAGGTGAGAGGGGGAGGAAGCTGCGCGGAGCGCGACCGCATTGGCGGCTCGCGCTCGGGGCTGAGCGAAGGTAGGCGTGCGGGAGGTAGGCAAGGCCAAGCGCGACCGCGTTGGCGGCTCGCACTCGGGGCTAGGCGAAGAGCGGGGGCGATGAGGAGAAGCGACGCCGAGCGAGACCGCGTTGGCGGCTCGTACTCGGCGTTGGGCGAAGAGCGGGCGCGAGGGCGAGGACGGGGGCGACACCGAGCGCGACCGCGTTGGCGGCTCGTACTCGGCGTCGGGCGAAGGGGGGCCGCGAGGGTAGGAGGCGACGCCGAGCGCGACCGCGTTGGCGGCTCACGCTCGGCGCTGGGCGGTCTGCGGGGGCGAGAAGGGAGGCGACACCGAGCGCGACCCAACGCGGTCGCGCTCGGTGCTGTGGGAAGGAGGGGCGAGGCGACGAGACGACGCCGAGTACGACCGCATTGGCGGCTCGAGCTCGGCGTTGGGCGGAGGCGGGCAAGAGGAGGGAGGCTGTCGGGGAGGCGGGAGGCTGGCGGGGAGGCGGCGCCCAGTGAGACCGCGTTGGCGGCTCTCGCTCGGGGCTGGCGAAAGGTGGGCGAGGAGGTAGAAGGCTGCGCCGAGCGCGACCGCGTTGGCGGCTCGCGCTCGGTGCTGTGGGAAGGAGGGGCGAGGGAGCGAGGCGACGCCGAGTACGACCGCGTTGGCGGCTCGCACTCGGCGTTGGGCGAAAGGGAGCGCAAGGGCGAGGACGGGGGCGACACCGAGCGCGACCGCGTTGGCGGCTCGTACTCGGCGTCGGGCGAAGGGGGGCCGCGAGGGTAGGAGACGACGCCGAGCGCTACCGCGTTGGCGGCTCACGCTCGGCGCTGGGCGGTCTGCGGGGGCAAGAAGGGAGGCGACGACGAGCGTGACCGCGTTGGCGGCTCACGCTCGACGCTGGGCGAAGGGGGCGAAGTGGGAGGGGGCGGGGCGAGTGTTCGAGCCGCCAGCGGCAAACCGGAGGGGACTCCGGCTGTCACGTGATGCGTGATTTCGCGTTGAATCTCTAAGTCCGCGTTGGCCACTGTATCTCATATAGTCCACAAGCTCCTTGATACTTAGCAACCTTGTACATAGTTTATTCATGCATATATCTGACAATGTATAGGCTAATATTACAGTTCAAGACCTGAGACTGACTTAGATCATGGAAGGTACAAGTTGGGAGCCCTGCTATCACCACTATACAGATACATACCAAATCTATGGGTGCTATATTGACTGCACTTATGAGCTATATATCACTATGTAGCTAGTACTTTGAACTATATTACCTATAGTTACTATATAGCATTATATAGCGACTGAGCTACTTCTACATAGCAACCATAGCACTATATAGCAACTGGGCAACTTCTATATAGCAGCCATAACACTACAATAGTGTCCATAGTTCTGAGGGGCAGCTATATAGATCAAGATTTTTTCAGATGTAATCCCCGCAATGAAGGCATTGCTCAGAATTGATAGGGAAAAGAAGACACTTCCAACGATCTGAAGACACGAAAGTCAATGATAGGCTGGATTGTCTCACATGTCTGAATATTTACCAGAAGCCAAAAGTTGCTGGGGCTTGATCCAAGGCCATCTCATCTAGAACAGGAACCCTATCAGCCTGCCAGCCTGTGGTCTTCATTGGGCATGTACAGCCTAACAGTGAATACTATTTTGCATATATGAGGCTCTTGCATTTTCATGTGTAACAGAGGGACATAGTGATGGCCAAGGCTGAGAGAGGTATTGTTTTCAGTGATAGGGTCAAGCAATTACATCCGTGTTCTCACCCCATATCGACAATTGTAAGGAAACCTTTTATCGGGGATTAACTAAACAGATAGCAACTTGTTCAGAGCACTGACCAGCGGCATCGCTGTGTACTTGTGTGAATATACTATACAGTGCTTCAGCTCTATCAACACGCAAAGGCCAGAGTTCACCTACAGGTAAATGATATGATAGCGAACAGTGTCTGGATGAGACTGAGCAACACCAGCGCCAGAACCGCAACGATCTAGCATCATTTTCGTCAGATTATCAGCTTGCAGCTTTATGCCTACTTGGGAGTCTACCTTGATTTCCCTGTTGAAATTGTTCTCCATTTATTCAGACATGAGTCATTGTGAGGTACGTACCAGGAGATTAGTTGAGAAGATAAAATGAGAACATTGTTGGTGATGTTAACATTGCATTTAATGTACTGCGTGTAGAATATCAAGATAGATGTCTCAAAAACGAATAAGATAATGACCTAATCTCTAAAGTGAGTTGGAGGTCAATGCCCTCCAAAAAGCCAGTGATTACAGTAATCTTCATGACCACATGATTGGCTCGAAATTGGGTAAAACAGCAGTGCACTGTGACGGGTGTGATTCTTCAAGTGCCGAGCGTAAATGATATGCATTGCATATTTGTACCTTGTATGAGAGCAAATCCCGCCATAAGCAAACAAAATATCAAGCCAGCAAGTAGAAGCCCGAAGGTAGTAAAGATTGTCGTTGGCATTCAAATGAGAACACAAACAAGGGCAAAGAGAAACCAATGTAAAGAAAGGAGATGTAGCCTATGGAAAGCGACAGTGATGATATACCTGACTGCAGACGTGGTGGCCGCCCATGCATCAACGATACTATGCTCAGCAGTTTGATGGCCTTACAAACGCAGCACGATGAAACTGACAGAAAGGCGCTCAATCATCTATGAACAGTACTCATACACCTGACATGGAGGGGCTAAAATGCTAAAACACCATCCGCGCTATCATTGAATGACTATTTATGGAACCATCCCAGCAGGGAATAGGGGAGAGTACACCATCAGCGCTCAAGCTGCTGTGCAGCTGTCACATGCTGACGTAAGGCCGGGCTTCTAAAGTAGTCGTCAAATTCATTCCAAGGCAAGAATTGCATATTGAGGCCCGTGCTTATTTATTATTATCGTCGCGGTGCTGGTCGAGTTATACAGGGTTCAGAGAAGACGTTTATAGTGAACTTATATGAGGCGCAGCGAGGAACAAGGGGACGACGTTTTGATTACTATGAAGCGCCGGCTCCAGCGGTTGTCATGTACTCTACAAGCCAATGCAATCAGCGAACACGTCGAAATGTGTACATGTACTCGTCATCAAAGTTGAGACAGCTATGAGAAAAGGCCAATATGCAATAAAGATAGTGTGGCATGCGTTTCATCGCCCTAAACCCGCCAGTCTTGGAAGAACCCCCAGTCGCGCTGCACGAAGTCCAGCATATACTCCAATACAGTGCCACCCTCGTCCTCTGCGTCGGTCTCCGCATCTGCTTCATCGACCTCATATACATTGTCAGTCCCCTGCGGTTGAGCCCTATGGTTCGACGGCTGCCCATTCGCCGCATCTTCGAAGTCAGCCTCATCTGCGCCTTCGAGCATGTTGGCCTCGTTTGTAGCAACGGCAGCGGCGTGCGCATCCTCCTGGTCCTCGAATGCACCCAAAGCCTTGGTTAATGCCGAGTCGGCTTCATCCTTGAAAAGGGATCGCCAGTCAAATCCACCCTTTTGGATCACCATATCATCCAAATGTCTCTTCTGATTCGCTTTGCGCAGTAAGGCTTCTTCGACCGTGTGTTGAGAGACGAAGCGGTAGATATGAACATCGCGAATTTGACCGATCCGATGCGCGCGATCCTCGCATTGGCGATCCATCTGAGGATTGAAGTCACTGTCGTAGAATACTACTGTGTCTGCACCGGTCAAGCTGTGGCATCCTGTCAGCGTCGTCAAATCTGAGCGATTCAGCGAGACTAACTTAATGCCCACTCCTCCCGAGCGAGAGGACGAGATGAAGCAAAATATCCTCGGATCAGAGTTGAAACGCTCCGTGATGTACTGGCGATCCTCAATCTTCGTCGCGCCATCAAGACGCAGATAGAGATACCCGTGTAGGTTGAGGAAAAGCTCGAGGATATCCAGTATCCTGGTCATTTGAGTGAATATCAGAACTCGATGGCCTCCGGTTTTTCTCTCCTTCAGTAGATCGTGCAACTTCTGTAGCTTGCCGCAATCGTATTGCAACAGCGAGGGATCGGGAAACGCAACTTGGAGCTTGACGGCGGCCTGATGGAGTGGCGCGTCGAAGGTAGGATCGTACTGCGCCGAGTCTCCGACGAAGTGACCTAATCCGGCCAGCGCTATACGAGGGAGGTCCAGGGCTACAACAGCAGGAGTTACGAACGCGAACTTGTTCACGATCCAAGTTACGTCTGCGCTACGTTGTGACCAGGATTTGACGGCAGCATTGATAAGGGTAGTAGTATCAGAGTACACCCTTACATTGACCGCCGTGAGAGGGAGAAGAGGAGTGCAAAGACGGCGGACTTGGGTTATCAGCTCTGTGCTGTAGACAGGAACGTATGAGCATCGGAGCTGATTGAGGTAGGCAATGTGCTGCCATCGTGCGATGGATGCCGCTCGCTGTTGGTATTCACGCCACCTGCGGAAGCCGGCAATCGTTCTAGTGTCGCGCGGCGGGGGTTCTCCCAAAGGCGTCGTATGGAAGGCAAGTTGCGGCGATGCGTCCAGTATCCGAGTTTGAATTGCAGTGATCTCGGAGGTATCCTGCCTGTATGCGAACCGAAGGCCAAGCAGATCACAGTCCAAAGTATCGCTTTCCTGCAAGAAACGACGGCGAAGCAGTAACTCCTTCGTCTCGTAGTCCGCGATGGCAGATCGTTGCATTGCGAAGGAGGTCACTATTGGTCGAACCTCAAATAGATCGGGGTGGTTGCACACCTTGCGGAGCTGCATAAGAATATTCGCAACCTTCAAGTAAACTCCGGAGGTAAGGTCCGCCCGCGTTTCCCGCCGAGACATAAATTCGTCGTATAGGAAGCGCTGACGCTTGGACAAGGGACAGAAGACGAGATGTTCGTACTTCCTTGGGAGTTCCTTTTCGACGTCACGCTTGAGGCGACGAAGGAGGTAAGGCCGCAAGACGGCATGCAGTTTGGAAACACGCTGCTGCGTCTCTTCGTCGAGGGTTTGTCCCCGCTCGATCGCCTTCTCCAGTGGGTTCGAGAACCATTCCCCGAATTCTTTGAGGTTGGCGAAGTCAGTACCTGACATAAGAAACTGCAGAAGAGCCCAGAGTTCGGTCAAATTGTTTTGCAGGGGGGTGCCGGTAAGGAGAAGACGACGGAAAGATCGGAACATAAGCAAAGTGTTCCACCGTTGTGATTTGAAGTTCTTGATCATGTGAGCCTCGTCGAGGATCATATAGTACCATGGTTTGCGTCGAAATATATGTGCGTCTCGGCTTGCCAGCGTGTAGGAGGTAATGCAAACGTTGAAATGATGTTTGTTGCTCCATCCTTGTCGCAATTCTTTCCTACGCTTCGAATTTCCATGATAACTGATGATTCTAAAACCGGGCAGGAACTTTTTGAACTCCATTTCCCAGTTCAACAGGACGCTCGTGGGCACGATGATAAGGTGCGGCCCCCAAATGCCTCGATCACAGGCAAGGTGTGCGAGGAGCGATATTGTTTGAATCGTCTTGCTATTCAAAAGAGAAGAATCAACTTTGAGCGGTGGTCAAGAGGAACATGAAACTTACCCTAGCCCCATCTCATCCGCCAGGATACCATTTGTGTTATTAGTATGTAAGCTTGCCAGCCATTCTAGCCCAGTATGTTGGTACGGACGTAACGTGCCGCGGAGCAAAAGCGGTGGCATGACTTTGGTTTGTGGATCCCATGAGACAGGTGCTACAGAGAAGGGTTGAAGATAGGATGGAATGTCATGATCATCATCACATGTGTCGCCATCGTCCTCAACTTCCGTATCCGTGACGACCGACTCCGGTACAAGGGGAACGGTCCGGTCACGACTGCTAGAAGGTTCGTCTTCAGCGGGCAAATCCTGCCCCGTCTGGAGCACGGGTTCTGGAGTGCCGAAGACATCCGCTGCCTTGCGTTCTTTTTTCTTCTCATGTGCGATCGGTTGCGCAGAAGACTCGACTGGCTCATTGGTTGTCACGGGGCCCGTTGAAATGGATGATTTTGTTCGCACATGAACATGTATGTTTTCCGCGTAACCCGCGGGTTCCTTCTCGGATATGAGAGACGTGGTGGATACACCAAAGTCTGGAACGTCTGAGCCTTCGGATAGCCTGTCGACGGCAAGCGGGAGATCCGCCGTGTTCATGTCCCCGTTGATCGATAGTGCGTGCGTGATCGGGGTTTCCGCAGAGTACAGAGGAGGAGGTGATGATGATGATGATGACGATGACGATAGCGGGGGTATCGCGGAGGAGGAAGCAGAGTGTTGTCGTGGAAGGGTGAGATCGCGAAACGGATCGCGCTCAAGTTGATGAGATACGTCCAAGTCCGACTGTGCAGAGCCCTCGTCCTCTCCGCGCAGGGCCCGCGCAACAGAATCGCGAGGTGAAGCGGCCTGTGCGAGATCAAAGGTAGTAACTTTGAGTTCGTCAATGTGACGGTCGACACCTAGACCTGCTGGACTGCCGCGCCGAGAAGAACCACGAGAACCACGCTGTGCACGCAACATGTCGAGCTCATCCGGCTCACTTCTTTCCGTCGTTGTGCGCATCTCTTCGTTAACGTACTGGTCGGCACCACCAAGAGCGTCTGGACTGCCAAGTCGGGAGGACCTACGAGAACTACCCCGTCCATGTAGCATGTCGAGTTCATCTGGTTCGCTTCTCTCCGGTGTTGTGCGCGTGTCGTCGACACCGCTGCCTTCGCCTCCACCTGGCTTAGCGTCTGCTATGACATGCTCCTGCGTGTCATCTTCGTCTTCATCTTCGTCTTCGTCTTCGTCTTCGTCTTCGTCTTCGTCTTCGTCTTCGTCTTCATCTTCGGTGTCTTCTGGTCCTCCTGCCGTGTCTGAGGACATGCTGCGGCTCAGCCGATCCCTCGCCAACTCCACTTGTTGGGCTTCAAGAATTTGGCCCGATTGATCCAGTAAGGCGCTGAGGTGCTCACGTCCCCGCTTGCGCTCCTCCTCCTCCTCCTTCTGGCGTTCCTTGTCACGCAGATGCTAGGTAGCGAGTATTTGAGAGGACCACAACTACTAGATCAGGGGATGAATACTCACAAAGACAACCTTTCTCCATTCATTGGCCACAAGTCGGATCGTTGCTTTCGCCAACGCTCTCAGACGTCTCTCCTCCGCCGCTTTCGCTCTCTCTTCCTTTGCCTCCTGCGCGTCCCAGTAATTTCGCACGATAGCCGCACACTGTGCGGAAATGAGTCTTCCCCGGCCGACAAGATCTCGGGAGAGAGCCACAGCATCATCAACAAGCTCGTCCCATATGTTCGGGCTATGTCGTACTTGTGGAGACGGGGTACTGGTCAGTTCAATTCTGGATCCCTCGCGAAGCAGGCGTAGTCTGAGTTCGAGATGCCTGGAAAGTCCCTTTGCCTGAAGCCGAGCTAGCCTTGTGCGAAGCATCGCATCCTTCTTGGCCATATCAGATAGCTGGGTAGGCGTCAGGTCCTTGTCGTCAATTCGGACGTAGGAAGTCAGTAGCGACTGTAGCGATCCGCTGTGGACAGGCTGTGGAAGAGTCTGGGAGGGATGGGTTAAGGGAGGCGGTGGTGGTCGAACGATTAGCTTAATACGCTTGACGCTGAACCGTGCCGTCCCTTTAGCAGGTGTACGAGAATTGGGAGCATGCCCGTTCAGGCCTGGAGGGTCTGGGCGGCGAAGTCTCCCGGACCTCCTCGTTAAACTCGTTTCCTGTCCCGCGGGGGTAGACATCTCGGGATCGATATCAATAGGAACAGAGGTGGCAACTCCGACCCGACGCTTCTTGCGAGGGGACGTCGTAAAGGGTACTCCTTGCATGCTATCATCACGGAAGCGCTTCAGCGGAGGCGCCGAAATCGAAGGTAGCCTTGGCGATACTGGGTCGGTTTGAGCACTGTTTTGGGCGTGAGTCGCAGATATGGATGAGAACGGGCCCTCCTCTTCGGCAGGTCGAAGCTCTGGACGTTTTATAACTCTTTTGTCCTTGGTTTTGTTGCCATGTAGAATAGACCAAACGTCATTTCCAGGCGGAAGATCTTTCTTCTTCGCCTTCTTGTTCACGGATTTAACGACAGATGTCGTAGGTGCGCCTTTCAGGGAGTCAACCAACTCATTCCTACCCCGTCTTGTTCTGCGCGAGGGTCCCTCCGAAGTCGATAGGTGTTGCATAAGATCATACTGGTGTCTGTACTATGCCAGGGTTAGCCGAGGATGAAGGGGAATATGTCAAACCTACGGTTTCGAATACAGTGGATTTATCCAATTTGGCCTCCTGAAAGATGAAACATGTTAAGAGGAGCAAGAAAACATTCGGGAGGGACGCGTACGTTTGGGTTATATGACAACAACGAGCGAAATCGCTCCAACTGAAACTGCTCCCTAACCTGGATGTACAGTCAATACGCCGCGATATCGCCAAGAACAATCACGCACTAAATCGTCATGTCTGTCCACGATCCTCTCTAGCTCCGCTTGCCTGGACCTCAGCAAGGCCTCGCGTCTTGCTTCGACACGGTGCGTCAGCGCCGCAGGCGTCAACGCCTCTTGTTCGTCGGAAGTCCCATTCATGTCTCAAATCCGAGGGAGCTTGGCCAAGCTCACAACTGGGGTGGCCGACGCATGAGCCGCGCGTGGAATGCCGGAGTCGTTATGGGAGATCTCTGTGGATCCCGCTTGCTTTTCAAAGATTCTTGGACGAGCAGGTAGCTGACGTTTCCCTGAAGCAAATGGCGACAAGTGCAGCAACGAAGTACGCCGACCTAGTCGAGGTTCGAGAACGAGAACGAGTACCCATTTTCGCCACAGATGAGGCACGTGGCAAGCGTCAGCGGTTGTGGCGATACTCTGGCGATTCTGGAGTTGAGTCGGCAGTGACCATGATGCATGTCGATCTCATCCATTGGCCATGATGAAATGACTTGCTTAAGATCTTCGAGGCTCGACACAATCTATATCGTCGTTAAAATAGAAATATGAATGGATCGACCGCAGGGCCGATGCCGATGAGTAGAGTAATCATCTGTTCATATCTCGTGCCCATTCTTATACTAAGGGCCGAACAACGGTCCATTCCAACCAAGTTCCACTAACATGGCCTTTTTAGCGCGTTGTCAGCATGTTCCTCCTCCACTAATCCACGCACTTCCTGCAGCGTAAGCCGTCAACTTCTTGTTTTGACTACGTAGTAAACAGGTTATATGGTCCCTCGATCATGTGGATGTAAGAGGCCCGGTTTCATGACTGATTGAAAACGCCCGTGGACTGGGCATAGGTGCTGGTGCACACGTCTCCGTATGACCCTCTGTGTTGTGACAGACCATGATCTGTGTACAACCCGAAATGAGCTTGGGCATGACGCGATGCTTCAAGCGACCGGGAAGATGCGACGAAAGCATGAAAGACAAACCGACTTACTCAATTCCCAACCAACGACGCAGTACCGGAAGTACTGACAGGCGATTTTCTCGCTCTCGTAAGCCGCTCAAAGGCAGCTGCCACTTCCAGTAGCTTTCCCTCTTCGAATGGTCGTCCAAGGAACTCCACCCCCACAGGTATGCCTACGGGTGCAGTTTCACTGGGTTCGGAGAAACCTCCTGGAACTCCGACCGCGGGAAAGCCGTTGATGGCGGCGACGAGCCCGTTACGGCCGACTTGACTGGGTGATCCTATGGGCACAACGAGATTCGACTGGTGGGGGTAAAACATCACGTCGAGGTTTTGCTCCGCGAAGCGCATGGCGAGCTGCGTGCGCAGGCCGTCAATACCGGATCGACGTGTGAAATATGCTGGGTTTGTCTCGTTGTTGGCTCCTTTGGTGGCGTTTCGCATGAATTCCCCAGTAAACGCATCGCCCTTTTCGTAGAGGTCTTGCTTGATTATAGACTCGAGGTTGCTGGAGGTAACATGTCCACGATGCGATGCAAGGTACACGTCCAGTTCGTGCTTGAACTCGTAAATCTGCACGTCGAAGACCGAAGAAAGATGGCTAATGACGAAGGTGGGATCATTGATGCGCAACAGTGTAGCACCTGCTTGGTCAAGTATTGAAAGGGTAGCATTGAAGACCTTGTTTACAGCAAATACTTCGGGATCCGACTCGGTTTTGTTGAGTAGAACGTCGAGGACTCCGATCCGTAAGCCTTGCAAAGTGTCGACGCTTCCCTGATCGGTTCGCGAGACGTAATCCTGTACTTGGCCTACACCTAGCGCGGTCACGTTGTCCGCGGCATCGAAGCCGACGCTGGACATCACGTCTAGTAAAAGCGCAGCATCGCGAACTGTGCGGGCAATCGGCCCGATGGCGTCTTGGGTTGTCGATAACGGGACGATTCCCGTCCGCGTGATGAGCCCCCTTGTAGGACGGATACCTACGAGCGAGTTTGCGGACGCGGGTGAGCGAATCGAGTTCACCTAGCGACAGCAAAGCAACTAGTATCAGGGAGAAGTGATCTAGGATGCGTGATACTAACTTACGGTGTCGCTTCCGGTCCCCAGAACGGCGAAGGAAGCAGCTACTCCTGCACCGGTACCACCGCTTGAACCTACAAGCGGACTCAACAACAATATGTATGTTAGTAGGAATCAACGCACCACCAGGAGTGCGTGTCAGATCATACGGGTTTTTTGTCTATGCCATGCGGGGTATAAGTGGGAGTCTATCGAACGAATAGCGTGCGCACCTGGCCGAGGATGGAAGAGATGGTAAGCCCGGTGATCGCAAACTCATGCATATTTGCCTAAACATTCCGGGAACATGCGATGAATGATGGGCCACCATTCTTGGAGGTCAGTCCGGTACCTTTCCGAGTATAATGGCCCCAGCTTCACGTATTGCCTTCACCACAGGAGCATCGGCAGGAGGCTGGGACCCCTTTAGACTCAAACTTCCAGCGGTTGTGGGCATGTCGAATGTATCATAGTTATCCTTGAGGAGCAGGGGAACACAGTGCAGTCGGCCCGGCACGAATCCATGTGTGTTCATCATTGCATCAAGCTCGTCGGCATACTGAAGAGCATGTTCATTCGTCGTTATGATTGCATTGATAGTAGGCCCTGTCTTGTCAAAGGCCGCGATTCTATCAAGGAAAGATTGGACGACATCGCGACACGAGATCAGGTCGTGGAATATGGCATGATGGACCGAGGAAACTGTCGCTTCACGTGGATCAAAAGGTGCTGTCCTCGACACCACGACGGCATCCGCAGAGAAGAGGAGGACGTGGAGAGCTGACAACAAGAGAACGGTGATCATCTTAGAAGTGATGGGGAGACAAGAGCGTCGCCGACCACCATCCACTGAGGAATATCTGTACATTTTGGCGGACACCGGGTGCGCAAGAAGTTCATCCCTTGTGTCTAGAAGATCCGACCTGGGAGAGCTGAACCTATGACCGAGACATCTTCGAGCGAAGAACGCAGGAGACGGACGTCGACGTTATCAGGCAGCTAAGAATATCGAACGAGACGTTACAGTGCCAACCGACGGAGATAAGAGGTATCAAGTGTATTTGTTACTGTTTGCCCATGTTGCAAGACTCGGCCAGCGATGAGAAGGTGGACCATATATCGTGTATACTGAACAAAGCTTGAGCAAACCTCCAGTTCGCTGCAAAAGACTGGGTCATGTGATGGTCCGCGTATGGCAGCAACTGGCGCGTTTGTCCGCCCGTTTGATCAACCCTCTCGGTTTCACTGTCTGATTGTCTGAGACGATGAGACTTTCCGTGTCCTTCGTCCGTCCGGTTCTGCAGCAACGCCCAAGAGGATGATCTGAGCAAAGATTGATGTCATAAACATGACATCCGTCGTATGCAAGATTGATATTATTGACGTGGTAATATGGTGCACCGGACAGATCCGAGAACAGTGCTTGATGCAGGACAAGGTCGCCCCAAGTGCGTCTTGTCATTGTTCCCCCTTTGTCCCTCCTGTACTCATATTACGCCTTCAATCCCGTTGTCATAGCTCAAACTTGACTTTCCTACATCTTCGTTCTGCCAGCCAGCCCTCTGTAGATGATCAGACGTATGGCGGACAAGTTGGGTAACCTCCAGCTGGGGCATGGCAATCAGCCCAAGTCCCAGGCACACATGGACGCTCCGCTGCAAGCATCCGTCTCGTCGACTGTCCATTTACTCGCCTCTACATCAGCGAGCTCCCTCGGGCACCGAGCGTCCGTATCGACCTCAATCAGCGAATGGAGCAAGACAACCGCCACAACTGCAGAGAGTTCAGATGCGTTGCTGTCCATGGACATTGACCAGCCCTTGGTTCAAGCGCAAGCGCGCCGGCGGACGAAGCCCAAGGGCACCTACCGGTTGACCGACTTCATCATCCAACGCACGTTAGGCTGCGGTTCGTTTGGTCGGGTCCATCTTGGTGAGCATCCCAGCTACATCCCACGGAATCACTGATAGATTAGAACATAGTGCGGAGTAAGCACAACCTCCGGTTCTACGCAATCAAGGTTATCAACAAGCAACATGTCGTACGGCAAAAACAAGTCGAGCATACGAATAATGAACTACACATGCTGGAGACCGTGCAACATCCTTTCATCATTAATCTTTGGGGCTCATTTCAAGACTCCTCCAATCTCTACATGGTCATGGACTTCGTCCCGGGCGGCGAACTCTTCACTCTACTGCGGCGGTCGAACGTGCGTCTTGTGATCCATCGCTTCATGATCACCTCATGAATATCAAGAATAGCGCTTTCCCGATCCTGTGGCCAAGTTTTATGCAGCTGAAGTTGCGCTCGCGCTCAACCACCTGCATTCCCTCGATATCATTTACCGCGATCTTAAACCCGAGAACATATTACTCAGTGCCGACGGGCACATCAAAATAGCCGACTTCGGCTTCGCAAAAGAGTGCCAGATAAACACGTATACGTTGTGTGGTACGCCTGATTATCTCGCTCCGGAGGTTAGTGCGCTCTGGTGTTTTATCACTTTTGTCTGATCGCCCGCTTCGTAGATCGTGTCCAAAAAGCGGTATAATAAGTCAGTTGATTGGTATGCCCTCGGCATATTGATCTACGAAATGCTTTATGGCCTTCCGCCCTTCCACGAACAACCGACTATGGAATCCGGAACGCCAGGTCACGAAGGCGAGAAGAATCAGAAGCCGCACATCGTCCGCCTTTACGATCGTATCCTACAAGGCCCTTCCGCTGTCCGGTGGCCGCCATTCCAGCCTCACGCTACGGATCTTATCTTGAAGTTACTCGAGAAGGACCCGTCTAAGCGTTACGGCAACATGCGTGATGGTGCAGGCGACGTGTTCGGTCACCCGTGGTTCAGGGAGGTGGATTGGGTCAAACTCCTGAATCGGCAAGTCATGGCGCCATATATGCCCCGAATCACAGGAGAGGGTGATGCCAGCCAGTAAGCAGGTTCTATTTCTCGTTATGAAGTCGGGCGCTGAGTAAATTATCCGTATAGATTCGAGAAGTGGCCGGAATCGGACGAGCTGACCAGGCTGTATGGTCAGCCTGCTGCAGACCCTTACGGATGGCAGTTCCCTGGCTTTGACTATACCATGTAGCAGTCACGTTCGGGATGCAGCTCTGCGTTTTTATGGTGCTGGCCACAGTGGACTTTTCGTTCTAACTTATTCTTCCCATTGTCGCATCTGTTGTGATTGCATAAGTGTACATACGCTCACCGAACCGCCATAGTCGCTGAACCATCACGACTTCCCAGGTCCCGTGTAATACCTCTCTACCCATGTCCATGTCGGAAATGTGTTCATGCACTACCCACATGAACCATGTTGATAATGTTATCAGTGTCTCGAATGCCGTGATACACTGCGAATGGCTGTGCTGCGCACTTGCGGCAATCCATGTCATTTCATTGGCTCCATCCGCCCACTGCGCACTCCGCTAGCGCTGTCGCTGCGCGCCCCCTTGACTGAAAAAGTTCGGGGTTGGTCCTCTTTGAGCAACGCTGGGGATGATGAGTCCGACGCGCCGCCCACCCGCGCTCGGTGTGCCAATGACTCCTGGTGGCAATACGCCATCCGCCACTTCGGTCAGAAGTGGATGGAGTGCCCCTGGTACTCCAGGCTACCAGACTCCTCAAGCCGTCGAACCGGACGAGACCACGGCGCTGAGCGCCGACGCTGATACCCGCGATTATGGTAGCGTTCAACCAGACCATGTCAGTGACGGTGAGTGCCAGTCTCGCTTGAAGATGCATTATACTCATTGGGTGTGCCATGATGTAGACTCCTTCAAAGATCTCACGAAAACGAGGCGAAATACGCGCTGGGCGAAATTACGATACTATGTGCCTTCTGTGGCCTGGATTCCGCAGTACTCATTGATACTGTAAGTGGAGGTTTTTTCGATGTTCGGAGTGGGGGCTTATATGCGTTCACTAGGCTCGGAGGCGACTTCCTTGCAGGCTTGACGGTGGCATCCATGCTCATACCACAATCCATCAGTTATGCTTCATCCCTATCGTCGGCTTGGTCAGTACCCGTTTTACACTAGTTTCCGTCCCACGCCGACAGTTACCCTACTGTAGTTCTCCGCATCTATACCTGGCGCTGTGTATGCACTGTTCGGTACTTGTCGCCAACTCAATGTTGCACCCGAGGCATCGCTGTCTCTTCTAGTCGGCCAAGCGATCGCGGAAGTCCTGCACGACCAGGGGCATTCCCATCCCCCCGATCCTTCGCGCACAATGCACGTATCCTTCGCCGTGTCCACCATGATTACTGCTCAGGTGAAGAAGTGACCGGATTATCTATATGCCACCTGCTGATAGCCGGTTCCTCAGGCGGGACTTATAACATTCCTCTTAGGCTTTTTCCGCCTCGGATTTATCGACGTTGTCCTCAGTCGCGCGCTTCTGCAGGGATTTGTTTGCGCAATAGCCGTCTTGATTATGATGTACGTGCGAGCCATACAGGGCCAGCCACGCACACTCAAGATGTTGCTCACTGTAGCGAACAGCTGATCCCGATGTTCGGCCTCTCCGCTCTAGAACAGGCCGTTTCGCCTCACTCTACCCTCGATAAACTGGTCTTTCTCGTCGAAAACATTCGGGAGGCTCACGTGCCTACGGCCACAGTATCCCTATCAGCGCTTCTTGCTCTGGTGGTGCTCCGGGCCTTCAAACGGACATGTGGTCGAAGCCAAGGTTCGTTCCGTGTCTTCAGGCTATTACCAGAGGTCTTCCTGGTGGTGCTTCTGTCCACCATATTATGCTCAGTACATCGCTGGGACGAAGATGGCGTGGCAATTTTGGGGGATGTTCCAGTTTCACTCGCGAGCCATTCATTCGTCCGTTGGCCGTTCAATGGGGAGAATCTGAAATACCTGCGGAGAACCACCACGACGGCTGGCGTGGTGTCCATCATCGGATTTTTGGACAGCATCGTTGCTGCGAAGCAGAACGGGGCGCGGTTCCAGTATGCCGTCAGTGCCAATCGGGAGCTCGTCGCGCTCGGGCTGGGAAATGTTGCCGGAAGCTTCGTACCTGGCACCCTACCAGCGTACGGGTCCATTACGAGGTGATGGCACTCGCATAGTATCTCGTGGACATCGGCGCTTACTTTCACCTCCAACACCACAGATCCAGGATTAACGGAGACGTCGGGGGTCGGACGCAGATGGCATCCCTCGTGTGTTCGGGAATAATACTGCTCGCCACGTTCTTCCTCCTGCCCTACCTCTATTTCCTGCCGAAATGCGTACTAGCCTCGATCATCTGCCTCATCGTCTTCAGCCTCCTCTCCGAGGCGCCGCACGACATCAAGTTCTTTTGGAGGTCTGTTAGCTTGCGCTCTCATAACGGCACTGAATGGGTGCTGATTGCACCAATATACTATAGGATGCATTCCGCCGTCGATCTCGGATTAATGTTCTTGACTTTCTTCCTTTCCATAGTCTGGGACGTGGAAATCGGCCTTCTCGTGTCTGTTATCATATCGCTTTTGCTTGTCGTTCGCCGATCCTCGAAGACGCGTATGACCATCCTGGTACTGTACAATGATTGTTACGCGGGCAGTGTGCTCATTCCAATTCTGCCAGGGTCGCATTCATGGCACCAACGAGTGGGAACCAATTGACGAGAATCCGGACGCCATCGAAGACGTTCCTGGCGTGCTCATCATCCGTATTCGAGAAAACCTCGATTTCGGTACGGTTACCTTCTATTCATTGACCCATGTCATCGCTGATGATGGCATGTCCAGCTAACACCGCACAGCTGAAGGGTATGAGTCATTATTTCTGGTTTGAGAGCATTCGCCTCACGCCCGTTTTTGTCACAGAACGTCTCAGGCGTTTGGAGCTGTATGGCGTAAATCCGAGCCACCCCTCGGAGGAACCACGAAGACAGCAAGCGTCTGTGCTAGTGTTTCATCTAGCAGATGTCAACGTCTGCGATGCTGCCGCTGCGCAGATTTTTTACGAACTCCTGGAGACCTACAAGGCGCGCGACGTAGGAATATTCATCACTCACCTCCGCGTCGGCCCACGCAAGCAATTTAAGCGTGCAGGTATAGTTGACCTTTTGGGTGAAGGGGCGTTCTACGACAGCGTGAAGTCCGCTATGTCGCGGATAGGCTTAGTGCATGGTATGATCCCCTAGAAATCTTCTTCCTTTTCGGTAAATGATGTCCTGGTGTCTTTTGACAACAAGCTAACACGTACTGCAGGCTCATGCACATCTTCATATGTCCAACATAATGTTCGGAACACTGTGATATCGTTCGGGAATACATTTGATTACTGCCTCCAAGCCACGGCTCGTATAGGGGAGCCATCGCTTCCGCGGAGATACAATGGCAGTAAGCTCACGATAAAACCCCATTCCTCAAGCGCATCGAGGTTTGTGAGGTTTTCGGCAATCACACCGCCTGCTCCCAAAACTACTCTGTGAACGTCTGACGGACCTAGTTACACGCCCGTGTCAGCCAGCTGGCACTGAGCCGCTGTCATACGACATCTCACCGAAGGCCCCATCAAGACTTGTTTCATCCGGGCTTAAGGTGTCTACGCCGATGACGCGCACACCGGTGTCCATCACGCGGGTGATGGCCTCTTTGTCGAGGAACGGGTGGTCAAAGTAGGTTTGTGATCCCCAGTGGGCCGACCACCCAAAGCGGAAGAGGACGACGACGCCCTCCTTCATCCTGGATTGATACGCGTTGAAGTCCTCCCATGTGACGCGCTGGCGAGGATTTTTCCCGGTGAGATCGATCACGAGGACCGGTCCGACGAAGGTTTCCACCGGGAGCTGATCCACGGTCTTGCCGTCGTGGAAGAAATGATATGGTGCGTCGATATGTGTGCCAGTATGTGAGCCCAGCTGGATGGTCGATACGTTCGAGCCATACTCCTCAATAGTGAGGACCCTCTGGCAGCAAAACGAAGGGTGACCAGTGCAGGTCAGCACAGTCGTGCCGTCCAAGTCGTGGGTCAGGTCAACGATAGCGGTGGCCTTGGGGTCCATTCTAGGAATTATCCGTTAGGGAAAGAGGGGGCTCAGATTCACAATACTTGCCCTCACCTTCGAGTGGGTACTACAGGTCGAATGAGTGTCTGCACATTTCATGGGTCTACGGGATTAAATGGTTGCCTCCCTGCGTCGGGCTAGCGGGCCGGAGGACGAAGGACCCATATCTCCCCGGTCTCATAACACTTGATCAATTGAGCGGGTTGCCGGAAGGCTTGCACCCCCCATGCTTATTGGGCGTTCTCCGACAAGGCACCTGCGTGCTTGGGGTGGGGCCAGATAAGACGTATTATAATATACCTACAAGCTGCCATTAACTCCAACGTTACCCGGCATCAGACCGTATGACTTCATCTCCCCGAAATTCATCTATGTGAATAGCATCGCAACGAGCTTCCTCGAGAGTTAATGCCGTCTTTTGTCCGTTAGGAAGGTCTCGGGATGCCTCTTCCGCATTTCTATTCCCGCCTATAGTCCGTAGTAACAACGGTGAAGCCTGGAAGTGCGCACGCACGGCGTCCACTCCTAAGGACCTAGATTGCCGGCGTCCGTTGACCCATGTGATCATCAAGGTCATTATAATCTCAGCGTGCGCTGACGAGCCTTGCAGCATAACATGTAAAAGATAGATGAGTGTACCAGAGGGGTGCTGATCGATTGTATGGTGCAAGTGGTCGGTCCTTCGCGACTTGTGTAGCTGTTGTACTTAAGCCCGGGCCTAAGGTTCAGGACACTCAGAATGATTCTAATCACGTGACTTAAATGACGCACCCTTGGTTCAGGTTCAGTCGACGCTCCATCTGCTGCCACTTCTTGAAGTTGGACGACTCTCCTTAGCTTCTGATCATATTCTATGGTGTCGAATGATTTTGGCCCTGCCTCTACACTAGAAGACAGAAGAACCACCGCCGTCATTTCCGCTCCTCTCACTGTTATCTGGGGGTGTTCCCAGCCACGCAACGGCATACATAATTATTAGGTGAGCCTACATCCTTCATTTGCCTTCTGCAAAGATGTTCGAGTAAAAGGGTCGACCTGGACGATGCCACTCTATCTGCTCGCTCTCGCATGGTGGACCTTATCCCGAGCCGCCCGCGCTTCAAAGATGTTCGAAAACCTGATGCGCCACTCCGAGAGTCCAGTGGCGCACCTTAAGGCCGGACACACATTGCACTCCGTCCGAGTAGGGCTCAATCATGGCTGCTAGATCTGGAAAACAATGATCTGCCAGCAAAGGCCGAGTCTACAACTCCGGTGGTCGCACTCTCGGGTTGATGTTCGTCATGGACCGCGGGGGTGCACCGTCTCCGCGTTATGCTAGCCAAGCCTTGTCGGATCGAGCTCAACGCTCGCCCCTCCGACTGGGTGGTATCAGCAGTGGTTTCACCGACGCGATATATCTTGCACGACATAAAGCGCGCGGACTCGAGAGAATGCTCGCGCGTGTGGTTGCGTGCGCATATGGGCTGGTTCGGGGTGCATAAGGACCGGGCGAGGAAGAAGAGATGGTGTGCGAGCGTATCCAGGGCATGAGATCATACAGATTGACCGGACGGTCGCCTGAGCTTTCCGTTTCCTCGTGGACCAGCTGTGTGTCGACAGTACCTTACTAATCACTCTACTCCAGATACCATGGTCTCGTCCTCCGCGTCTGCCATCCTCCGCCTAACGGGATGGTCCTATATTCCCGACCTGGCCACCCGCCAACTCCTCAGCGTCTTCCACCGAGTCTATCCCAACATTTTCCACGGCCCCGCTCCTGCCCCACGAACCCCTCAATATGTTTTACATTATCGCCTCACTTTCGCGGTGGTCGTTCTTGGCTACCTGTCATATAACTTCATTGAAGCCTCTTCGACGATGCGACCGAACTTCTATGAACTATTAGGAGTTGGTCCTGATGCGGATGAGACTGCGTTGAAGCAAGCGTTCCGAAGCTTTGCGAGGAGAAATCACCCCGATCGGGTTGGATCACAAGGAGAAGCACTCTTTGTAGAAGTGAGGGACGCGTATGAAGCCCTGAAGGATCCCATAAAAAGATTTGCATATGATCGGTGAGTATTCATCCCCAATGTTCATTCTATAGGCTCAACTGATGCGCTCGCAGGTTCGGAGCTGATGTACTATCCTGGAGCAAGTGTACCACTGTCCGGGAGTATCTCCGGCATGGCCTCATGCAAGCGTCCGGTTTCCATATTGTAACCGGTGTGATCCTCTTATTGATGGGTGCAGTTGGCAAACCCAGCCCTGTGGCGTTCGTGAGTCGCCGTGTTCGCTCACCAGCGGAAGTCAATCCATTGACGTGTGGCTCCTTTGTGTAGTGGCGATATATCCTCTTTTTCGCTTTGTTTGCTTCCGAACTCACATTACTGCTGGGTCCATCCCCGTCCCCGGCATCCTCCCCCCTGGCCTCCGAAGCTTCTATCTCGCCATCAGGCAATCTCTTGACTTATTTGTTCCCGCGGAGAGTACCCTACCAACACGTACTTTTTCTTCATCAAATTTTCATGTTCATGAGCGTCGCCCTCTCCCGCGTAGCACCGGTTCTGTTCCCCGGCATGCTGGATGATGGAAAGTTGGACACGAAAGTCCTCGTCCAAATGCTCGAGAGAATAGCGTCTCTCACGAAGGGCCTAAACCACGAAGGTTAGCAGAGGGTCTGTCTGCGCGAAATGTCTTGCTAATTCGGTGGTTCAGCGATGATGATGTTGCACACGGAACTTAATGCAATTCATCATACCGATGGTTCTAGTTTCGCTACTCCAAATCTAGTTCCTCAACCTGATCCCGCAATCGTTGAGACACTCACCAAGGAGATGGAGAATATGGCCATCGAGGCGCGACTGGTTCGTGAAGCACATGCCGGTCCGCTCAAGAGTGCATGGGAAGCTGCCATCGCTCGTGGGCGATCTGCCCTCCATATATCGTCGACTCCGGCGACGGCCCCCGTGAATGGCTATGCTGGCAAAGAGAACACGGCACCTGACAGCGAACGAAGCCCATTGAAGAGGTGGTCGAGCAATTGGTGGGAGCGTGCCGGCAAAGTGGCCGTTGAGGACGAGGATGTCGACCCTCCGATGCTGCCAAGCCCCAGCTTGTCGCCAGTGGAAGGCCCAGGTGAACGCCCCGGAGTACTACAGGAACCGAGGCTACCGAGTCCCAGGCCCAGTCCACCGCCCAGCCCCTGGATCTTGGCGGGAGGCGGTAGGACGCCAGTAAAGAGGAAGGAGAGCTACACAAGAGGACGGTCGATATCATACTGAGCCTCCTGCCTACCGCTTTGGTATATATTATCAGCGCTATGTATTCCGCCAATGTATACTGTGTATCATAGAGATGGCAATATGGGTAACTGGAAGCGACCAAGACGCCTATGACTAGTTAAAGTGATTGTCTTGTAGTGGACTTAGTTTCTTTCCCCGTCTTTTATCGGATTTTGGAACCACGCGGCTGGTCCTGAGACATCCTACAGACCAGTAAGAAAATACTGTGAACTGTGGATATATCGGGTCCCTTGTTCCGCATGTCGGGCGCTCCGCCTTGCCTTGTCGCGTTCGAAATTTTGATTTAAGTCCCGGGAAATGAATATATATTGCTCAGGCGCATCGAACATGGTTTACAGCGATAATGGAAACCAGCGCCGTCAGCAATATGCCAAAATCGCGACTGAATAGGATTGAATGCATTTGGGCGTGGCTCCGAGAATCTCAGATCAGACCACATAACTACATGGTGCGTGACATTCCTACCCGTGGTGTACATGTATAACGAGCAGGGTACCACAATCCTATGATTTCATCTTGATTTACACCTACAAAACGCCTCCGATCGCAGAGCGAAGCTTCACCAAATCCCCCGCGCTCGGATCGTCGAACCACTGGATCTTGGTCTGAGGGCGGAACACTAGCGCATGCGACGATGCGCCGAAATGGAACATCCCGAGCTCATCCCCACGATTGACGCGTTGTCCCTCTTCAACCGTCGCCTGACAAGTCGAAATCTCCGTCATGCCAATTGCGATGAAGCACATCAGGCCGATGGACGGGTTATCTGCCTCGATGAAGATGAGCTGGCGCGCCGTGATGGACACGTGATGAATGCAAGCGATCGCAGGAAGGGGTCAGACTGAGGGTCGTTGAGCAGTGCAGGCGACTGCACGAAATACGTTCCGGGGACGTCTACAATTTTGCGTATAGTCCCAGTCACCGGCAATGCCCAACGGTGGTACCCTGTAACCTGAAGGAAGCCCTGGAAGATCGTGCCCCCACGAGTTGTGGGGCGAATTTGTCGTCATTCAGCATATGCTGGAGACTGTACGGCTCGCCCTTGATCCAAAACTCGTCCATCAATTGGACGTCGTTTTGTATATTGTACAAGACGGACTCGCACGCGCCACCAATGATGTCGTTGCGGTCTGGAAGTCCTACGCTTTGGATGCCGAGCTGGAACTCGCGGTTGAAGTAATCGCTCCAGGACGCTTATCCCCAATTTGGCTGACTCGGGTCGGAGACGAAGATCTGCTCGACAGTGAGTCCGGGGAAATCCTTCGTGGTCGCGGTGAGCGCGTCCACATGGAACCATCCACCCGGCTGGTCGGTAAGGACGTTGCGTGAAGCGGGGGATTGCAGAAACTTGGCCCAGCCCTCGAACAGGATTTTGAGCTGCTCGCTGAGCTTCTCAGCAAGGAAGGTAGTGAACCCCCCTTCCGTGTTCATGACTCGAACATGAGCATGTAGATGGGCGGGCCGATGGGCCCAAAAGATGGCGCCTGCTGGAGGACAACATTGAATGCAGAGAGAAGATCGCGATAGTCCTTAATGATAGACTATAAATTTGACAATTAGATCGCCATTCGGCGAAGGCACGCAGTGATCATATGTGCTCACCTGTGCACTTTGTTCGAACATGCGATTGAAGCCCATGTACATGTCTCCGTTGGCTTCGATGAAGTATTTGAAAGCCTTCAGGCTCGGGATCAGAGCATCATCGCGATGGGAGTAGCGCTGATGAGTACGATTCCGTGGTGTCTTATAGGTGGTCCCGAATCTAAACAAGCGCGGTGGAATCATGAATGATTAGTGGCGTCCAGAACGTCTCCTCAAGCACTTTACAACGACGGCCCTGAAATGGAGAACGTCTTGCGTTTGCGTAGACTTCGTGGCAATATGTAAGTCGCGCGCTGCGTGACCTCACGGCAGAGGAGGTTTCAACGTTCGTGGGCAGATAGTGGCGAGATGACGTTGAATACCGGGCCGAGGAACATATCGCATGACGGCAGCTTGACTTCGTCTATTGATGTAGACACGCGAAACATCGGCCAGTCCATGATGTTGCGTTGAACTTGACGGAGGGACCTCTGCCCGGTCCGAACTCGAAGTCAGTCTCCCGAAGGCAGCTTACGCTGCGTGAATGCGAAAATCCAGGGTAAGGGAGAGACGATAGGGCATCGTACTGAGAATCGTGCCTACCGCTCAAGGATATAAGGCTCCTGTGGTTCACGGATATGGCGGCAACATCAGAGAGTCTTGCCTTCAAAACGCCTATCTGACTGTTGACACATGTAGCCAAAGTGATCATTTCGTCGACTTGACGTGGACAGCCACATACCACGTAGCTTCTCTCTGTCTCTCGTTCACGCCTTCGCACCGCGCGGCTGGTCCTGCTAGTACAGCGCATCCTCGACGGCATCCAAGCGGTTTTTGTATCATACCTGGGATGTGGTGTCCGAAACTGCTCTTATGTCTTGCATGCTGGGCGGTTGGCGCGCTCGCACGGGTGGATGAAAGCAAGATCGCGAACAGGACAATAGAACGGGTAAGCGTCATACTTGTCCTGGGCTTCGTGTGGAATGGAATGGAATGGTTATGCTTGCTTGCTTGGACGGAGGGCATTGCGCTCGTTCGCTACGGTCTACGAAGGCATATACTGATCTGTACTCAAGACTGTTCAACTACGGACACACTCCATATATGCGCCGTACATCGACCAAGACCTCCAAAATCGGTGCGGGACATTGCCAGTTCCTTACCCAGTTGGCTGACTATGTCGAATTTTGATTGTAGATGGTGGGACTTCGGTGCTGATGCATACATTGTGCGCGAAATACAACGTGTGGTCAACGGACCGGCATACTCACCTGTACAACACAGAACACAAACAAACACGTTCGTCTTACCCGTGCTCGACCCTCACAAATGGTAATGCACCTGGTGTCAAACGCCTAGCCAATCTATCTACACCTGACACACGTGTAGGGCTGGCTATGGTCGCGGCTGCCGATAACAGCCGCTAATTTCGTTATAGAAGTGGAATTCAAGGTCAGTATACAGTTGTCCCGCGAGTCTTGACACATTCGCTGATCATGTTCCACACTAGATATCAGGAGACTCGACGCATTTATTTGGTGATGGTCTCGCCATCTGGCTGACCAAAGACCGTGCGCAGCCCGGACCGGTATTCGGAAGCATTGGTGGGCACATTCACCGTTAAGATTGCGAGCCTCGCCTAACTCTGTGTTCAGACAGGTTTGACGGGTTGGGTATCTTCATCGATACGTATGTCTATATCCTTGTTTGTTGGTTTTGCGTACGTGATATATTTTGTACGATATCACAGGTATGCAAACAGCCGGCACTCGTACTCCTTCCCTCGTATCATGGCCATTAAGGGCGATGGGAAGACCAATTATGATCTCGGCAATGATGGCGACTCGCAAAGTCTCGGTGCATGCTCGGTGCGTACTTCAGCTATCATATAACAAGTTCCCTCTAAATTCAGCGGTAGGCAAATGTTCGCCGAACGAACGTGGCTACGAAAGCCAAGATCACATACGTGAAGGACGAATATCTCGATGTGGGTTCTTAACTACGTCTTGGAATCTTTGCCTATAAACGTCTCAATTGCTAGGTGAAACTGCAATACAAAGCTTGGGATGACTGGTCCGATTGCTTCACATTGAAGGGACTTTCGCTTCCGATGTCGCCCTTCCTCGGATTTTCAGCTATGACCGGAGACGTGTTCGACAGTCACGAGTTCGTTTCAGTCCTTTTGTATACATCCCTTCCCACTTACGTTTGTTTCCCGTAGCATCATTGCGGTGACGACGTCGTCCGCCATTCTTTCCGCTCCGGATTCCCCTCGCGATAAGATCAGGCCGTTCTCCTTCGGATCTCGCAAATCGTCCGGTTCTGGTTCGTGGATGTGGACGTTCATCAAGCTCGCACTCTTTGTTGCCTTCTGCTACGGCACCTACTACGGTTACCAGACCTACGTTCTCAAGAACGGTGGGCGTGGATTCGGTGGCGGTCATGGCAGAGGCTTCAGCTTTTCGGGATTCGGCTCGAACAGAGGGTTCGGTGGGATGTACAACAGTGGCAAGCGATTCTGAGACCTGCCGGGGCTATTCCTGTGTATATATCCATCTCGCTCTGATGCGTTACTCGCTATCTTATTGAATTACAGCATCTTCAGCGTGAATTCGGGGCTCTCCACCGCTTGCGTTTGATTACTATCTACTGAAATGACTACCTACTAATACTAACTACTAACTACCTACGGATGTGCGATGCTACTACTACTACTACTACTACTGAATGGGTTGACTACTGCTACGAAAATGGGTGATGTGCATGATGATCGACTGCACTATATGGCGGGTATGCAATGCGGTGAGCCGGACGGGTTCAACGTAGATACATGAAGTTGTTGCGATGAAGTACTACTGCTACGAAAGTTGATTCCAGATGCAACGAGAGAACACGAGCCGGGGACGGACACACAAGCAAGCAGAGGCAGGAGTCTGTTATATTACATAGAACCGAAAGCGGAAAAGTATGTCAAGATGTTAACCTCGAAAGCGAGCTGAAACGCGTTCAGACGTTGTAACGGGCCACAAGCCTTTCTTGGATGACCGGAGGGAAGGTTGCCACCTGTGCCTGCCACCCCGCGGGATCAGCTTGTTTGAAGCCCGAGAGCAGTTGCTGGAACATGTTTTGCAGCTCCGGCGACGGTGTGTTCCATCGCACAATAGCGTTGCAGAACCAGAGAATGCTCTGCGCGCCCCGTTGTGAGCTGCCTGCCTCAGCTTTGTTTAACTGGACTCTTACCTTGGCGATGCCGCTGGGGTTCGTCTGCACAAGCGTGCAGAAGCCGCGGAATGCGGAGTCTTTCTCCTCGTTGTCACGGATCTCGTACAAAGCCTGGCACCATTGCTGAGCAAATTCATTGAGGTACGGGGCGACGATGGTCGGGTGCACGAGGCCGATGCGACCGATTGAGACGGCTGCGTTCTCGTGGAGGCTACGAGGGGCCTTGGGATGCAACAGGATTGGGACCAATCGCGAGATGAGCGGGTTCACCCATTGCCTAAACTCAGGGTCATCTATGTTGGCTAGTTGAGACGCACGTTATATAGAGGATACAGCCGACGTTCTTACCTCGACCATATCGGAGGGCGACCTCACCCACGGACCACGCCGCATTGTTGCATGCGCTGATGAACTCAACCTTAGGCTCGGGGTCCAGTTGCTCGATGAGTTCGCTCATGATGCCCGGCATATGCGGTCGTAGCAAGGGGAAGCATCCCATTGCCATATCACCGACGAGCGCGTACGCTGATTGACGGACCGGCGCTTGAGGATGTTTCAGGCAGACCGTCAACAGGTTGAATAGTTGGCTTTGGGCGAGGAACGGTTCGAGTGCCATGCCCAACCCTTGAGTGAGACCCGAAAGAAGATCAAGGGCGACTACTAGGAATTGCCGGTCCGGTTCATCCAGGTCGGAGTTCTGTTGATACTGCTGATATTGGAGAAGGGAGTGGTGGATGATGTTCTGGCAGCGTTCAAAGACCGGGCCGCAGTACGGGAGGAAAGCCGGTCCCATGGCAATGGTCACCGACGCGAGACACTGGAGGGTATAGATATCAACCGAATGCGCCTGTCGGCATCTAAGCGATTCTCACCTCTAGGAGTGGTACCAAATCTTCATCATCATCCTTGAGTTTAGCCCACCTCTTCGTAAGCGGGGGCATCAAGATGTCTACGTATGTAGGGTTCGCCATGGCACGTCCTACAGCGTCCGCAAGCGTGCCAACGGCATCGTATAGTATCAACATGTTCTTGTGTTGGTATTTCTCGAAGGCAAACACCAGGTTTCGCAGCACGGGCTCGAGGTACGGAGCTAGCTCTTGGCCTGCGTCCTCCTCGAGAGTGGCGAACGCACTACAGCCCGCTTCTTGGACGCGCTTGTTGTTGTCCAGGACCATGCGTAAAAGCTACAGCACGATTATCACACGGATTCAACCAAGCGGTGCAAGAGTGCTCACTCCTTCCATAGTAGGAATGAAGAATTGATTCTTATGTTCCTCTGAGCCTCCTTGTGCACACCAGCTGGCGTACCTCCCGAGCGTCCAGCAGGATATTGATCGAACGAGGGGCTATGTATCTCTTCAGTTCGTGGTTGCTTCAAGAACGTGAACCAGACATACTTTGGGATCGTTGAGCGTGCTCAGCAAGTACGGGATCAACGTCGGCAGGTGAGGCTCGATCACCTCGATGCAGCCTGCAGACGGAGATCAGATTGCACGATCCACCCGTTTAACCTTGCTCACCCTCTGCCATGGCTCCAAGCGCAAGGATGGCGCTCTCCCGTTGTAACCAATCCTGGCTCCATAACTTCGCTTTCAGCGGCTCGAGCAAAACATTGAGTAAATCCTGTCCAAATCGTACGGCAAGCACGTCCAACGCCGCCGCCGCACACTTGCGGAGATTCCACTCCGTAGACATCTCATCCGCAAAGTCGTCATCGTCATCGTAGTCATCATCTTCTTCTTCATCCAGTTGCTCTTCGCCGTAGGCTCCCTTCTTGGCCTGTGTGCCCTCACCACCATTGACTGCTTCATGCTCGAAGCCATGAGATTTGCCACCGTAGTGTCTTGGCCTGATGTCGGACTCTTTGTCCGGCACCGCCGAATCGTCTTCGACGTCTGCCTCAAGCCACAGGAGGTCATCCTCGCCGTAAACCATGCAGTCCAGCAGGACAGGCCCGACCTTCGGGAGAAGCGGCGCCAGGTACGGAGCGAGCTCAGAGTCCTCAGCGAACGTGAGCCAAAACTCGCAAGCCTCAAGCGCAACGTTCTCGTTCTGGTCCTTCGTCGAGTATAGCATGTATTCAGCCACATTGTGCATCTCCGGCATAAGTTTTTCGGGGCGGGAGGCCAGGAGGAGCACGAGGGCTTGACAAACGTGCCTCCGCACACCCGGGTCGTCGTCCGACGCACGCTTGAAGAGGCATGCAATGAAGGCGTCGAGGTGCGCCCAAAGGCTCTGGGATTGGATTGGGACGAAGTATGCCAAACACGCGATGGCGTGGGAGCGCATTTTAGCCGAGGGGTGTTCGGAGAGTTGCATGAACTTGGGGATCATGAAATCGAGTGGGCGCTGGCCGTTGATGTCGATGTCCATCTTGCGGGGATAGTCTTCGCACGCCTTCTCCAACGCATTGAATGCGGCCTGTTGAGAGACGTGAAACCTTTGATATTTGCGCCTAGCGGAAGATGTATGCGCCACATACCTCTTGCTGATCTGCATCAGCCGAGTCTAACGTGGCGAACAGGTGCTGCAGACACTCCGGCCAGTTCTTCGGTTCTAAAGTTCCGAGGAACGCGACGATATCCTGTCCAGCAGCGTTGCGAACGAGGACAGAGGGGTCGTTGAACGCCTGGAGGATGGAAGTCTTAACAAATGCAGCGACCTCGGGTGATGATTGTAAGATGAGCTTCGCGTTGTTCTTGAGCAAGTAGCCGGCTATTGTGCGGATACGCTCATGCTGTGCGGGCATATGGGCCAGGATATACGCGAGATATGCGATGTAGTCAGCTACGCGCGTAAATTCGCTCAATTTCTGAATATGAGATGAGTATGCATTCAGCAATGCGTGATTGACGCCACTAACTTGAGTGATAGCTCGTTGAATGGCTGCGTTGTGGGTGTCCATGGAGTCACTGATGGTTTGAAGGATCGTCTGAAGACCCCCTTGATCGGGCGCCCATGTCGACATGGTTATAGCGGTCAAATACGCGCTTGCTAGTTCGAAGAAGTTCTTAAGTCCAGTGTCGGGCACAAAGGTTGGTGGTGACGGGGATGTTGGGCACAACGCGTACGTTCGCCGGTACTCGAGCAAATGATTGTCGAGGAATCAGTGGACCGTGACCGTGCGAACAGCTCTGACAACAACCACGTGATCCCGCCACCCCGGTCCCCAGTCTCCGCCCCTTCGTGGACACCGATACGAAGCATCAAAGTCCCGTCGAACACGTTCACCGCCGATGCAACCACAAAGGGAATAGTGTGTGCGCGTGCGCAGCGCTATCTGCTATCTGATGCCGTCGTTTGGGTTCTCGCCAGGGTCACTGGGAATCGGTCAAAGCGGTAACCACGGATGGACCGTCATCCATTAGCAAGTGCTATGCGACTACAACGAGGCTATGCCAATGCAGCCGTGGTATGCAAGTCCATATTGTTTGCAGCTTGTAGAAATCTATGGTCAAGGAGGCGCGTTTCAACGATGCAGGGGTCATCCATATGCTGCGGGTCCAACTTCAGCCGGGCCATCAGAAGCTCATCTTAAATCTCCTCATAAGTATGCAACTGAATGGTATAATGCCGAATGTGTCCGACACGGTCTTCCAAGCGGCTTGCCTCTCGACTAGAACACGCTCATTTTCGTGGCCAGGCTTCCAGCTGGTACACGCTGGCTTCAGACTTCCTCAGCGCTCGCTGCCAGCCCGTTGCATGGCAAGCATGAATAGTCTCTCAGAGATGTCTGTTTGCCGTCGGCTTATGATTGTGACTGGGCTGCCGCCGAAAGCAGATTACTTTGAAGGGACCGGTCTCGAACGCACGGGCGTGTATCGATCCCGCGGATGATCACCCGGAAGCCGCGGACGGATGTCTGATGTCGTTCGGAGAGATCTCATTTATCGAGCATTTATCATGCGTCCGGGACGAGAAAGCGGCGAACGCTCTGGGAATTGGTCATGGAAATGTACGTTTTCCCGCTCGACAACGATCCGCGACCAGCAGCTGTAGTCTATGGCGCTGGAATATCAACTCTATTGCTGGGAATGCGTACTGAACGCCAGTGTTTGAATGGACAGCGGCCGAGTGACAGCTCAACTAGAGAAACTACGGCGCCACCGGTTCAGATCGCTCGGCGGCGTCTGTCGGCACCGGAGCAACAATGCTAGACTCGACTGGCGTCGCCGTCCCGGACGCAGGTGCTCCAACGCCGGGAGCCGGGACCAGATTAAGTTGATCTGGCTGCTTGAAGTACTCGGCGAAGAATTTACGCCATGGACCCTTCGACGGCACGAAGTGACCTATCAGAAGAAAGATATTTCAATGCTGTCCCGGCCCCGCGAAAGAGCGCCACGAACCGCCATCGTGCTCCACGACCCTTTTCACTAGTGAGAGCTCCAGGAGAGTGCGAGCGCGTTCTTCGGTCACAACAATGTCGTTTTTGCCAAGGACGTGGAGAGTCGGCGTGGAGTATCCTGACTCGAAGATAGCCGCAGGCAAGTCCCCGCGGGGGAGAAAACCTGCTACAGATACGCAGAATTTGCTAACGAGGGTTATCCTCACGAACGAAATGAAGGACGAGCGCGAGCTTACAAGGGTGGGTGAGGAGGCTTTCCGTCAACCAAGAATTCAGGATAGCGCTCTGGCCGCTCTAACTGATGGGTGTGAGCAGGCTGTTGGATCAGCTGGGTATGCCACTCACGAGCGCCGTCAGCACCGCTGCCATAGCAGCACCTTGGCTAAGGGGGTTTGACGATGATGAGCATACGTACATGGGTCTATCACCACACACAACTCATTCATGGCTCACCTGAAACCAAGAACACCCTGTCAGCACGGAAGCATTAGCTTAGAGTCACAATGGCGAGGATGGGAGGTGCCTCATAGGTTTCGGCCTTCAGGATGTCCCTCAGCGTCGCCAGGGAGTCCGTGAGCTCTTTCGACTCCGTTTCTTGAGGGGTAGCCTTCCACCATGCTCGAGGAAGGAGTGCTGGATCCGCAGCATCGGCTGATGCCTCAGCAGCACCTTGAGAAAAAGGTCACTATGGGAGCATACGCGATATTGCGAGCATGAGCCCCACCCAAGCTTGCAAGCGATGACGACTTGTCTTCCTCTGCTGGAGTGCCGAACGTCGCCGCGATATCGGTGGGTGTCAGGATCGTCGGTGCATCCACGAACACTGGACGGCGACGGCTCAGCCAGGGGCATGAGACGGCGCAAACATAAAATGCGCACCGAAATCGATGTCTTTGGGACAAGCCTTGCGCATAGCTGCCACCTGTGGGAAATCGGGGTTACGATGAAGCTCCCGGTTGAAGGTTGCGGAGTGTGCTCGCCCGCTTGCTGAAGATGCTTGCGCTTTGGGTGTATCTACGAGGTGCATGAGACATGTGCACATGGCGGCTTAAACCCAGCGATGAGATGCTCACCCATGCAACATAAGAATTTTACGGCTTGGTTTAGACATGGTGTGCACGAGAGGAGATTATAGATACAAGTTCGTGAAGGATGAGTTGTGGCGTGCGGTTAGGACAATGAGGTCGAGGAGTCGAAGTGCTATTCTAACGATATCTCTGCAATCTTTCTATGAGTGGGATCCGGAGGCAAGTCAACCGGGGTGATCGCGGCTCCCTCCTCAAACTGAAGCCGCCGGCCAGAGACGGCACAGCCACCACACCGGCTCAAAATCCGTCGTGGCGTTGTCGTTGCCTCTGTTCGACTTTCCTTGTCAGATTGTTGGTCCCTCGCTATAGTCATCATGGCTCCTCCGCTTGCAGACATTCTGCATAGAGGCGTGACCACAACTCTGGCCGCCATCACCGTCTGGGGTTTATACGCTGGTGTCTCTATCCACCAGGACACGTTACGAAGGGGTCGTGGTCCGTAAATTCCCTGGTAGCGAGTCGCCATCCAACCTGACCTTTCGCAGAGGTATTGACCTAATCATGAATTTTCGGCCCGAAAGCTCATTGCGTCGGGACTTGCTGGTATTAGCTGGTAGCCAAACAAGAAGCGGAGGCAGCGAAACACGCAGAGGTTCGTTCGCACTTCGGTCTGAATCGTCTCGCCTCTCGGGACTTACGATATGGATAGCTCGGGCAGCTGACGCATTTGGATGAGGCACGCGAACAAGCTCTCGCTGAAGCGGCCACCAACGCCCTTTTACCTTCGAGCAAATCTGCATGAAACGGATAAGGTGTGCAACACCGTTAAGTCGTACCTATGTATGTGCTTACGATCATCCACACTCAGTCATATCGCGTGTGTGCCATCACATCGAGTGCACGGACTACCGTATGATATGCGCCATCTGTCCGCCTTACTCACTGTCAAATGGCGGAGATTGCGTGTGACCACGAGCTCGAGCCGGAGCGCCGAGGTCTGTTTTTTCCCCATCGGGGCCACACCGGTGCACCGCGCTGCATCATCGGGTTGTGGGTCAGAAGCGGTTGTCCTGTCGTCGTTAGCGCTGCCCTGTATCGTACCGAAGTCATCTAATAGAGAATGTACAGCATCGTACGTTTGGGGAGTCGTTTGCCTCCATGTGCAGCGCCTGCTGCGCGCCACGATGCCATCTCGGGACGGCTGCGGTGGGGCGGCTCTGCCACAATGTAAACAGCCGCAAATAGCGTACCTTATCAGTCGCGGAAGCTGACGACGCGTTCCCTCCAACCCCCACCATGCCTTCATTCCTGTCCTTGTCACTGCTGGCCGCGTCCGCGGCGACGGTGGCGTTCGCCAAACCGCTGTCCACTTACCCTTACTCCACGCCGCGCGAGCGCTCGCAGTTCAAGGTCGCCCCGCTGCATGTGGAGGAGCATCCCCATGGCACCGTGAACAACTCGTACATTGTCATGCTGAAGAGCGACCTACCGCCGGCGCTCATGCAGAACCACATGAACTTCCTGCAGGCGACGCACGAGGCGAACTCGGCGCTCGCCGGCGACGCGTTTTCCGGCGTGTCTCAGGTGTACGACGGTCACGTCAAGGGCTACGCGGGCAAGTTCAGCGACGACACTCTTGACGCTATCCGAACCATGCCCGAGGTGGAATACGTTGAGCGTGATCAGATTGTCCGCACCCAAGATGTTCCGAGTCTTGCGAGTCACGCAACCCAGAAGAACGCTCCTTGGGTGAGTCATCGGACTATCATGCCTGTGATTGAGGTGACTTAGGTTACATCCTCATAGGGCCTTGCGCGTGTCAGCCATCGTAAGAGGCTCTCCCTAGGTACCTTCAGCAAGTACGAATTCGAGGAGAATGGTGGCGAGGGAGTCGACGTTTACGTTATCGACACCGGGATCAACGTTGACCACGTCGAGTTCGAGGGTCGCGCGTCGTGGGGGAAGACCATGCCCCAGAACGACCAGGACATCGATGGTAACGGCCATGGCACCCACTGCGCTGGCACCATCGCTTCCCGCGCGTACGGTGTTGCGAAGGCTGCGCACGTGATTGCGGTGAAGGTCCTCGGCACCAACGGCAGCGGCACCATGTCAGACGTCGTCGGCGGTGTTGTATGGGCTGCACAACAAGCGACGGCGAAGATGCAGGCCGCTGAGAAGGAGTACGCTAAGACTGGCACAACCAAGCACAAGGGCTCTGTCGCGAACATGTCGCTCGGTGGTGGCAAGTCCAGGGCTCTTGACGACGCTGTCAACCGGGCAGTTGAAGGCGGTATGCATTTCGCGGTCGCGGCTGGTACGTCCCCTTTGTTATCTTCATCGAATGCCGTTTGATTTCGTGTATCAGGTAACGACAACCGCGACGCTTGCAACTACTCCCCTGCTGCGGCTGAGAAGGCTGTGACCGTTGGTGCTTCCACTCTCATGGACGAGCGCGCGTACTTCTCCAACCACGGCAAGTGCGTCGACGTCCTTGCCCCAGGTCTGAACATCAAGTCTACCTGGATTGGCAGCGAGGAGGCTACCAACGTCATCTCTGGTACTTCTATGGCGTCGCCTCATACGGCCGGCATGCTCGCGTACCTTCTGTCGCTTTACCCTTCGCAGACGTTCAACCCCGACCTGAACGAATTTGTGCCGTCTCAGATGAACAGCGAACGCACCGCCCCCAGCACATTCGCGACCATGTACTCCATCGCGCATGCAAGCCTCCCCAGCTGGGCCGTTACCTTCCTTCCCCCTCCGCAATTAGTCGCGTCCCTGGAGGCGGCTCCCACTGGCCCCAAGACCCTTTCCCCTGCGCAACTGAAAGCGGCCCTCATTGCTCTTTCCAGCAAGGACGTGTTTGCAGAGCTCCCCGACGGCACTCCAAACTTGTTGATCTTCAACAACGCCACTGCATAGGGTGACCGTTTCACGATCCGTCACGATCCAGGATATCAGCATGGTCGGGGTGCAGCCCACCCTATTCCCGACTCTGTACAGTACATAGCGGTCTCAAGCATGTTTCAGTCTTTTCAGCAATATATTAGCAATAAACATACGTGATACGCAGAAGGGATATGATTTAATACGGTTGCAAGTACTTTTTAGTGCGTGCGCGACTCCTACCCGGCATCGTCTTGGCTGTAGTCGGATGGCAGAAAACCACACGTTCCGTAGGTCCCATCATGCACTCTTGCAAGGAATTCTTGTATGAGTTCTTCGAATGGGGCAAAGGCTTTTCCGAAGTCTGCGCCGGATTTCAGGTCGAACGCCGGAGGTTCCTGGCCCTCATCTGACTGCCAAATGCTTGACAATGCTTGCTCAAGTTCTCGCCAATCCACGCTGTGCCTCGAAGGAATGGGACCGTGGGTATCACCCTGTGTAATTCCAATTAGCACAATCAATGGATATAGCCTCATCCCATTTACCAAAGTTTGTTGTTGTAGCTGGCTAAGCGGTGCAGATGTCGCGGTCTTGTAAGAACCCCTAGATCGTGGTACCTTAGGCGGGTACCGAACCGTCGTGGTTGTTAGACTTGGCGTAAAGTCTGTCGTTGTAGTCTAGGCTGTGTCGTGTGACTTAGGCGTGAGAGTTAAGACTCTAGGCGCACTAGGTCGAGTGGGGGTTGTTGTTGTGGTCGCGGTGTCTTAGTCTTAGTACTGAGAGGCCGTAACCGAACCGTCAATCGTTATAGCGCTAAGGGCGTGTATAACAGATGGACGAGCTGAAGTCCATCGACTTCAGCTAGCGTCTTATATACTACTATACAAGTACTGTACTAGAACCTTCCAGTACCTACCATAACGTTCTATACTATTCTACAATGTTCCTTATGAGTCACAGTCGAGTCATAACCTGAGTCACTACAAGTCCTAGAACCTTCAGGCGCATTCCAGCGCCTTCTACAAGGTTCTACTCTATTCTGCGTGTCA